CTAACGAGCACGAATGGATCCCGCGAGGTCCCACCGCGGAACGAAGAAGTACACTCCGATGGGGCCCTACAGGGATTAAAGGAGGATAACTGCATCGTAATCTCCAATCTGCCGGCTCCCCTGGGAAATACTTCCGGCGAGGACGCGAGCGACGAAGAAAGGCAGACATTGGATTTTAAAATGCATTAACCACCTGCCACCCGTCAGCCCTCTCGGTCGTCTCTCCACGTGACACTCTCTTATCACCGATGAGGAGTTAACAGAAATGGTATCCCACGACAATTCCCAGGGAAATCCTCTTTTCCATGAAATAATTCCAAGAATTCCCCTCGAAAACGGGAATTATTATCCTGGGGGAAAGAAAACGAAATAAATGAAGTATTTTGTCAATTCAAAGAATAATCCAATGGACTGGAATGAATTCCAGTAAATTGGATGCAACGTTTCTTCGGAATTCTCACAATTTACTTGAGTTTATTCGAGTGAAATTCTTATTGTAATTAAATTAATGAGATATTCCACTGGTTGATTTTTTTTTTCTCAAGGTACAATTCGGCCGTATTGTCATTTTCTTCGCAGTCGCCATTGCTCTGTCATGGAAGTTGGATTTTTGTTTTCTGGGTTTTTATTTCCCGCGACATCGTTTCCTGGTTTTCAGGAATCGATCCCTTTTCCGGGCGTCCTTCTCGTGCCCAATTCCAGGATGCCCAATTCCAGGGTGGATCTAAAATGTTCTCGAGGATGCGGCATTGTCGCACGGAGAACGTCCTCACGCTCCTTCGGGACTGTATACATTACGCGGCGCTTGAACAGAAAGCGGGAAGGGGTGGCTCGTAATTAAACCGAGTGTCGGGGCGGTGGCGTCGCACCAGAGAAGGATGCGCCAAGATCATCGCGACTCTCGATTATCTGGCATTAATCTAGGCAGAAGAGGCGAGGCCGCGCGTGCCATCTTTGGCACGCGCCGACACGAAACGACGCTTGACGCGGCGTTTTCTCCCTGGGATGAAATTCAACGACTTGGATTTTCTTCATCATCGAAAATTATTGACGACTCCTTCTTTCCTCGATTTTTATCTCAGTAGATGCGACGAAAATGTGCGTCCCGTCGCTGCGAGTGAAGTTCGGTCGGAAAATATGTCGAGCGGAATTTTATCACCAAGAGAATCATTGATAACTCCGTTGCCTCTTATACAGGTGGATGCTGCGAAGAGCAAGTAAAACGCATCCGTTATTATCAATTCAACGACTTGGATTTTCTTCATCATCGAAAATTATTGACAACTCCTTCTTTCCTCGATTTTTATCTCAGTAGATGCGACGAAAATGTGCGTCCAGTCGCTGCGAGTGAAGTTCGGTCGGAAAATATGTCGAGCGGAATTTTATCACCAAGAGAATCATTGATAACTCCGTTACCTCTTATACAGGTGGATGCTGCGAAGAGCAAGTAAAACGCATTCGTTATTATCAATTGCTCCCAAAATGGAGAACGGGCGCACTGAACTAATCCCTTGAGGGGTATTTAAATTTGCCTATCCGAGTCGAGACGTCGCGCGGAGTCGGAAGACGCCAGGAGACGTCGCGTCAGGAGCGCCGCCGCACGCGTCGCTCGCCGGAGAGGGGCAACAGGACGAAGAGGACCTCAACCCTCGAGGGTTCCTCAGGGAGGAGGTGTTTTATGGGGGGAAATAAATTCCAGGGTCGTCGGGAACCTCCGCACTTGCCACGTCGCTGCGACGCTTCCTTATTGCCCGATCATTACCGACGGACGCACGCGCTCGTCGGCCGTCGCGACGTCGGAGCTTTCTCTCCAAATTAGAGGTCCTCCGACGACTCCTGTCGGAGGACGTCTTTTCATTCCTTTTTTCCAGGACACCAGCCTGGAGATGAATTTACCCGAACGTAAGGACGAGTCGCTGTCCCGCGACCTTCAAGCTGCAGGGACTTTTCCAAAATGCCGGAAATTCTAGAAAAAAGGAAATAAAAATATTCTATACTAATTTTGATTACCTTCACAAAATGGACATTCTAGAAAGAATGACGAAGAATATCCCGTAGGAATTTTTATCACCTTGACGAAATGGCGAATATTCTGGGAAAGAAAAAAAGAAATAATGACGGATATTTTTACTCATTTTTATCAGGATTACTAATGACAGAAATACAAGACGCGTCTCTTGATATTTCTCGCCGATCTCTCGCGGATTTGCAGTCTCCACTCGCTAGGTGAATTTGTAGATGGCGCGAAAGGGGATTCAGAAATTAGTTTCGACGGAGTTTTGAAAAGTCCCTCCCTGGCGATATTTAGCGAGGGGCCGGGTGATACGCGACATTTACCTAAGCGGCTCCGCGAGAAACTTTTTAAAGGGCTGAAGGGGAGACTGTCGCGGGTAGGAGCCAGGAATTTCTAGGGAATTTCTCTTGACATTGTGTATATACATCCGTAAACGCCAGCAGCGGCCTCGGAGGGGGTCGATAATGCCGACAGGTAGGAGCGGCGTTCATCATTCGGATTTCATTTGGCGGAGCATTAAATTTTAAGGCACGACGTGGTTAGAATGCCAGGAATTTCTTGGGACACTGGAAAACCCGACCAAATCTCGTGATCAGGAAATCCTATTTTGACCAAATCGACAAAGGTAGCTCTACGTTGGTAATTTAATTATTGCCAGGTTGGTTATTACAATTTTTAATTTCTTCTTTACGCCAGAATTCCAGGAATTTCTACGGATACCGAGAAACCGGATTAAATCTCGTGATCAGGAAATCCTATTTTCCGAGAATTTGAGCCAAATCGACAGAGGTAGCTCTACGTTAATAATTTAAATATTGCCCGGTTGGTTATTACAATTTTTAATTTCTTCTTTACGCCAGAATTCCAGGAATTTCTACGGATACCGAGAAACGGGATTAAATCTCGTGATCAGGAAGTCCTATGGGTATTTCCCGGGAATTTTAACAAACCTCTGCGTTGATCGTTTAAATATTACTCAGGTGGTTATTGCAGTTTAAAATGTTTGTTTATGCAACGTAGTATTTACCTTATTCATATGATCATTTTCGGTCTCGTTTCACTTGCTCCTCGGGAAAATCGGGAGTTCCGCGGTGTTAAGAGTCGCATAAGGTGATTTCCCCGAAACGTTGTACCCGACGGGAAATAATGACGAAGTTCATAAACGGGAACTATCGGAAACCCCCTCGAGAGAGAAAGAGAGAGAGAGACCGAGAGCCAATTATAATAACGCAGAGAACGAGTCGGAAGAACTTTTCCGTCAGTTCTGCAAAAACAAGTAGAGAAGCGCGACCGGAGCCTCTCTCTCCCCCTATCGATTAATCAACGCCGGTACAATTTGCGAGTTCGCAAATTAATTAATTAATTAACGCAGCTCCGCTCGCAAAGGGCGACTTTAAATCCACGTATGGAACAATCGAAACTAAAAAAGCGAAGCACAGAACAACAGAGACGCGTCGCGGCATAGTTACGGCGTTTCGCAAGGTGAACCGCAGAGGAATAATTATTAAAATCCAGAATTAACCGTGGATACCCTTAGCCTGTCTGAAAATGTTCGTCGAGGAATTATCGGTTTGCCGAATACGCCAATGCCAGGCTTAATTTCCACGGTAACATCCTCCAACGAAATATCGGAATCTGAAGCCCGCCATTGCCGGGAAGCTCCGTAAGCTCCACGCAACGATCAGCCTTCTTCCAGATTAATTTAAGTTGGCGGAAATGTTAGCCACGATTCTTTTTCTCTCTTTTTTTTTTTTCACCGACTCAACGAATTACCCCGGAGCACTCTAAATGAATAAAAGAGTCCCTGGACGATCGGCTTTCCCCGATTTAATTTAAAGCCGATAGAAAAACAAGGAATGATTCCTCGCGAGTTACACCAGCGCACCCTCTCGGTGAGTAAAGGAAGAGTGAGTCAATTTCCAAAGTCGATGGATATTCGTAACAATGGGTACGCGATCGTTCGGTTTTTCCTATTTGTCCACAAAGCGGGAATGGTTCCCAAGTTGCATTCTTATTGCCCTGGCAAATGGGAGCATGATTTATGATAGCCGTAATCCGAGCTCGGTTCGAAAAGCTCCCTTAATCTCGCGTTAGCCCACGGGTCTGATGGCCTCTTCCCGTGCCGAGTAAGCACCTGAAACCAACAGTTTCTCTATACCTAAGAACATTAACATTAAACCGGCAAAATCGCGGTTGGGGTACTCGGCTTTGCGAATGCTCCACTGAAAAGGAGCATCGCGATACTAGGGAGATTTCAAGGGAGGTGAAATTAAATCACGACTCGCAATTGAAATCGCCCATGGAAGTGGCTCTTCGTCCCCTCGTCATCAGATTCCTGGCGTTCCGAGCCGCGATTTGGGTCAGAACCCGAAAAGCCGTAGTGCGCCGAGATCAACCTCAAAATCTCTGCACATACCGAATATACTTTACTAGATTTGCGCTCTGCAAGATTAAATCACGACTCGCGATTCATATTCTTCGCCCTGAGGAGCGGCTCTTCATCGGTTCCGAGGAACCTTGAGGAGAGATTTCGGAGCACGGAAGGCTGTATACGTAATAACGCTAGCAAGTGATAACGCCTCCTGAACTCAACCTGCATTTAATGTAAATTCCGGAATCGGGCTCTATAACCGCGCTATCATGAGCCGAAGCCGTAGTTTGCATTCGAGAAGCGTCGTCACGAGATTCAGGGATGCACCCCTCCTCGGTTTAGCATTAACTCCTTCAGGCCAGTTCGGATGTTCACCCTGGCGGCTAAAAGATACATTATTTCAGTAAGTCAACGTAATTTATAATATAACGTGATTTTTAGTATAACTTATTTTTTAAAATAAATCAACGTAATTTCTAGGATAACGTGACTCTTAGCGAAAACACCAACGTAACTTATAATATAAATTTCATGTAAATTTCAAAATCAAGCACCACGACTAGACCCTCACAAGCCGAAGGCGGCAATTGCATTCAAGAAGGGTGGTCGCGAGTTTCGGGGATGCATCCCTCCTGAGCTTAGCATTAACTTCTCCGGGCCAGTTTGGATATTTGTGCCGATGTTCGTCGGGCGGCTAAAAGCCATGGCGTGTCATCCTAATGGCATTGGCGACGAGTCGAGTTCATCCGGAGATTCCTGCCGGAAATCAAGTTACACCTGGATCAGGGGAGCTTCGAACTTCCTTATCAGCCGCAATCGTCTCCGATGGGGTTACACGGAGAAATTTGCCGGAATTTCCCGGGAGGAATTTAAGGGACGGTCTTCGGGATCCTGGAGACCAGTAAACCGTACCAAAAATGAGCCATAGGACCAGGCACCTCCCAGGGCATGGTCGAAGGCAAATTGGTTCGTTAGCCCCGAGGGGAAGGTTTCGACGGCGCCCTCGGTCGGCGTCGACCCTCGGTGCTAATTGACGCGTCGCGACGCCTCACCTGGACCGTTGTCTGCCGTTTACACGAACCTTTCGCAACGTTAGCCTCGTTAAGAGGTCCTCGCGCGACGTCATTAACGGCCGCTCGTCTCCGGGGAGCTGGCCCATCCGAAGAGGGACGCAGGGCGACGCCATGGACGCCACCGACGCCTCTCTTTTCTACCCTGAAACGTTAATCCGGTATAAATATACTCGACCCTTTGCAGAATGATAAAATTACGCGTCCATATTCCCTAATTACATTTATACCTAATTGAATCGAGCGGGTTATTGATCCTCCAGGGGTATCTGGCCGACAAGCTGCATCATCTGCATCATCTGTAATTATTGTACATAAATTATAAGGGCGAATTTATATATTGCTATGTATGAATATTATATTCACCGCTTCAAGTACGTGGGAAGGGAGGGATGCGCCATAGTGGCGCTCCGTAACTACATTAGATTAATAAAATATATTTCCCGTTCATTTCGAAGCCATCGAGAAGGAAAACCGCGGTTGACGGCGTCTGAAGACGTCCATCCGAGCTCTTCGCCACTTCCCTCTAGCAGGCCCAATCGCATTTGCTCGTCGCGACGTTAGCGCCGCCACGTCGCGAGCGGGACGCCCCGGAACCGCGACGTCGCTCGGCGCGACGAGACGGAAACGGCTTTGCGGGCGACATAGAAGGGGACGAGAAGGGACCCTTTTAGAAAACTTGACAAAGTTATCGGGAAAGTTTCTCAAAGGGGGCCACGCCTTGCGGCATTATATTTAATAACCGTCCAATAAACGTTCGCTCGACGACGCTCGCGGTCGCGGGACGAAACATGCGCGCCATCTTTGACGCCACCTTCGAGATTCGCCCTTCGGGTTTGAAAACCGTTCGAAAACCGTTCGAACGACGCGAAGGGCTCGGTCTAGACCCTGCACCTCTCCCAAAACTCCGATTATACCGAGTGCTCGCCCTTTCCGTTCGCTGAAAACTCGAACTCGTCGATCGGAGACGCCACCGCCATATTGGAATTCCTGAGGGCGTCCGGTAATTGGTCGTTAGTGAGTTATCCGAACGGGACCGACCAATTACCCGCGCGGTTCTATCCCCAGAATTCAATATGGCGGCCCGGCATAGCCGGAATCGATCGCAGCCCCCGAAAATAAAGCTGAACTCCTTGAAAGTATTTGGGGGCCCGCCGAGAGAATGCCCGACATGCCACGACGTGGCGGCATGTTGGTTCGCGCGTTCCCAGGAAGAAATCAATTTTTGTCCTCGATTCCCTCCCAGGTATTATTAGTTACATTCCTAGCAGAGAATTCCGATTTCAATTGACGACTATTTTCAGCCCTACCCGTGCCAGACTTGCGAGGACCATCGAATCGAATCCGCCAGAGACCGTTAAACTACGTTTTACAAGATGGCGGACACGGTCACCGGAGCGAGGTGAGTCGTCTTCCTTGTCAGTCCAGCCGTCGATGCGGAGTTTCCGTTTCGATCCTGTATCTCGTCGTCGAGGAGCTCTCACCGCTGAGAGATCTTTCCGGCGCGGAATCCCCGCGAGACGGCGAGAAGAGGTGTCGGAACGGGCGAAGAGATCGTAGACTCGCTTCAGAGATCGGCTCACAGATGTCGCGAATCTCGCTCCGTCTCCGTCCCTCCATCCGGCGACTCGTCCGTCTTTCTCTGTCTAACAGTCCCGATTCTCGATCGCCGTCTCTCCCTCAATCTTTTCGTCCTCCTCTTCGGCGACTGCGGCTTTCGCGGGGAAAAGAGACACGACATTCTGCGGAGAGGACGACGGAGCGAGAAATAGGAGGGAAGACGGAAGAAACGAGAGAGAGGGAGAAGCTGGCACGGGGTAGCCGTGCGGAACGGAACGGAACGGAACGGCATGGAATGGGACGGGATCGAAGCCGGGATAGGGTGAGACAGGATAGGGATAGTGGTGCGCGCCAGTATTTATAGTATGGATTGTGTCTGCTTGGCAGCCGGCCATCTCGCGGACATCTCTCGTAGGAAAGCGAATTAAAGGCGCTGCGCGGATCCGCGACTCGCCCTGCGAGAGACGGCTGATGGATGGAGGAACTGATCGAAGGGTACTCGCGGAATAAATAAACGAGGACTATGCCGACCGCTTGGACGTTTGCAAGAATTACCCGCCTAAAGCGACGGCATCGATCTTGCCGAAGAATTTGACGTCTGAAAACGGCGACTCTGGGATTATCCATGAATTTTCCAGGATTTTTGTGGCAGCGCATGGACGACAGAGAAATTCAATCCCGATCGTAAGAAGATCCCTTTCTCGAGTGCCTCCCGGTTAACGACACGTCTACAAGGAGTACAACTCCATCGTTCTTGTCCGAAGAATTTAACGTCTTAAAACGGGGATTTAAAAATTGTCCAGGAATTTGACGGCGGGCGAACTTTAAAGAAGTCGAATCTCGCTAATGGAAATCATCCCTCCTCGGGTAGCTCCACGTCAACGGAGCGATAGAAGCGATCGAGGCGATATCGGGATCGATTTAACCCGGACCGTCAAACGACCAGGTCTTTTATTAGCCGCCGACGACACCTAGGATGTCTGCCAAACTAGGATCGGCCGAACGACGCCTTCGATCTCGACGAATCGAAAATAAACCTCCTGTCGCACTCTTTCCGCCGAAAGGAGCCGCGAAGAGAGGGGGGAAGAAAGAGAAGAAAAGAGGAGAGAAGGAGGACGAGCATTGCCGAAGAGTCGATGCACTCTGCAGGAAGAGAAGGAAGGGGCAGATCACGACGATGCCGGACGGGAACACCGGAATCGAAGGTCGAGCCAACACAATTTTCAGATTTCGCGCCCATCCCGTTCCCTAGGGACGGGCAGGTGGGCGCCTAAAAATATTTACACGCCGCACGTGACCGGAATCAAATTCCTCCCTTTTATCCAGGCTAGATTCCCAGATGACGCCTCGAAGGAAAAAGGGACCCTGGAAGCCAGGGCAACGACATCTTCAGGGGCGATCCTGAAACAAGGAGACAGAACATAACGTCAAACCCGAGCATCCTTAATTTTTAAAAATTTTCAGAGCCCTGGAGAGGGTGCGATAATTTCTCACGGTCGCCTTTTTATCCCCCTCTAATGGCTCCACTTTTTCCCACTCCATCTCCATCCTTGATCCCAGGACCTCTTCAACTTCCCGCTCGAGGAAGAACTCGCTGCTCACCGAGTCGCTGGAACTCACACACGTTCCTTAAACACTCCCCAGAGGGTAAGCGAGAACGATGGGTAACTTATGACTCTTTTCACTTACATCCTGGCTGGATCCCCCAGGGGGAAGAAAAACGCCCCGGAGACTTCAACAAATTACAATCGAGGACGAGGACGAGTTCCGAGGGGGACTTCATGCTTCATCCTGAGTAATTGGAGGAATTCCCGGCGTAAACCTGACGCTGCATGAAGTACAATCCCGGGAAACTGCGATAACGGTGTAGGGCATCTACGGAGGCGGACTGAGGGTCTTCCATTTTTTCTCCCCTGGTGAAAAATCGAATCCAGGTCGAAGTTGGGATTTTCCCTGGCGGGGTGGCGATGAAGCTCGCTTTCGTGCACGTCCGGGAGTCCTGGAAGGGACGGCTCGCCAGATGGATGGAAGATTAGGCGGATTTGTGGTCGCCCTCCACCCTCCTCGGAGGGTTTTGCACGCAAACCTACCCTCCAACTTCCCCGACAAAACCTGGAGAGAAATCCATTACCACGCCCGACGTAATAAACCGCCACCGGATTAACGAATTAAGATCTCCACGACGAGGGACGCGAAAGGGGTTTACACCCTTCTCTATGACCCGGGAACTCTTTAAACGCTACTTACCCTCCCCCCGGAAGTACATTCGTTATGATGATGCGCTCATGATCTCTCGAGCTCGGATTTCTCCAAGAAGTTCGCGTGCCAGAATGAACGCCTCTCCCTCTCTCTTGACGTTTCAGGACTCTCGATGCCCAAAAAGAACTCCAACTACCCCTGCAGGGGAATAATTCACTTATAACGAGAAGTTTCACTTCACTTAATAAAAACCCTCGAAACGCTTGAAAATGCGCCAGAAAAAAAATTGCCCGTTAAAACCGTTCTCGCAGGACGATAGAAAATTTACCTGCAATTAGGGAATTCCTGTTTCGGAGCCGTAGCATCTATTCGTCAACGCGACGTCCAAAATGTCCTGCAAAGAGGGGAGAGTGTCCTTTAACTTTACTTTCTGACGTTTTAACTGGGAAATTAAGTGATAGTTTACCTAGAGTTTGCGGAAGTAATCCATCGTTTGGCAGAAAATATGCAGAAATAAATTGCAGTTCGGTTCGGACAGGTCCAGCATCAAATCCCTTGGATGTCGATGCACTTCCGCGTTTCGGGGAGGCATAACACCGAAAATACTTCCAGCAGGTTTTATTCCGGGCGTATTATACCCGCCTCCGCGTTTATACACGTCCGAGCAACACCGCGCATTCTTCGGCCGAGCCGTGCATCAATTTTTCCCATTTTCCCCGATATTTGCGGATGCCGTTGGGAATCAAAGAGCCATTCCGCGGTTTTCCATGAAATGAGGCCGAAGGGATCGGAAATTGCCGGAGGGTCCTGGATCGAATTATCCCGAGGGACCTGGAAAATAAAGATAATTTGCCCGATTAACGCATTGCACCCTTGATAAATCAATACTCATACCGCGATAATAATCGCCCTAACGGTTAAATAAATTTACCAGAAAAAATAAAGACATTTGCACAGTTAATTAGTATTAATAGTATTCCTAATAAAGCGACACTCTTACCGCAACAACGATCGCACTAACGACATACAACTAACATTTGCAATCGTATGAAAATGCTCAAAGTACACGTGACTATCGTGGAAAGTCTCACCGAAGAAAAAGAGAAAGAACAGGGAATCGATAGAATGGGCGAGTAGCAGATTTCTCGGCCTCCCCGGAAAAGGAGGAAGTACCGAGATCGATTTAAGGAGAGTTTAAGAGGACGGGAACAACCGGGGCCGCATTGGAGATGCGGTATGAATTCAAATGAGACTCGAAATCGCGAATGTTTGGTCGATGGTCGATTCCAAGCTGAGCGTGAACCCGGTGTCGATACCCATGGGCGGAATTACCTTCTCGCATGGCGCGTTTGAATGCACTTACGTGGACCCGTGAGGTACGGGATCAACATATGGATCATACAGATCGGATACACGAAATATATCACACAGATTGCATAGATCAGGTTCCGCTATCGACCCGATATAATCGAATGACCGAAATCCCGCAGCAGGGCGCCACCCCCCTTCCCCCTGATAACGACAAATTAAATACATTTCCGCATAATTCGATCGCCACGAGTGGGCCAAACAACGTATCGGATCGATCAGATCGTTCCGACTCCGGCGACGATTTCCCGAGGTTGAGCGAAAATCCGCGTATCGCGTTATCACGCGTTATCGCGACCTCGTCGTCGAGGTAGTTACGTCCTCGACAACTCTCGTTAACCCCCGGCAACGGTTAATCCGGTTCGATTAAGGCACGTTCAACGGATCCAATTATGAGTTCCTTGTCCCTCTCGAAGGCGGACCTTCGAGAGGAGCGATTGATCTCGATCGATCGGAAAGGAAGCCGATAAGAGGCGGAAAATCGGGACGATTAACGCGCCCTCCGTACGTCGTAATTTCCGATTACTCGAAAACAATGCTTGAGAGGAAGGAAATGGGTTTTTCAGGGAGGTCGAGCCTTTGCCGAAGATTTTACGTGTGGAGAATCCCCTTCGGGGGGTGATTGAAATTCCCGGCAGGACCTAAACGGGGGAAGCTGCCGCAAATAAGCGAGCTGTTTACACGTGTCCAATCTGCGGCCCGGCTCATGGTGATCTACTCGAGCAAGATTGGCTCCGCCGCGGTAATTGTAAAATACGGCCGCGTCCTAGGTCAGGGTTTTCCCATCAAAGAATTTCCCCCAGTCCCCAGGATCCCCTGAATGTCTCATATCGGATAATTGACCGCGCTCGGCGTAAGGAAACGCATCCATAAATTTTTCTCCGCACCGTCGTCGCAAATTGCACCTGCGACCGTTCGAATTGTTCAATTTGTCCAGCTTTTGCCATGCGTTAGGAACATCCCTCGTGGACATACTTCCGGCAGGTTTTAACGGCTTATCGATTAACGATAAGATTAACGTTAACACGAGCGGCGAATCCGCAGCGGCTTAGCGCGGCCACCGAGTCAAGTCTCGGCGGGTTCCGTAATGCCTCTCCCGGATTAGTCCAGGCTTTAACGTCGGGACCAGACGGGATTTCAGGGGTAATTAAATCTTGACCGCGAAAAAGGAAGAAGAGAAAAGAAAAGAGACCGCGGCTGACCTGTTTCCGGGCGCGGGATTTCCGCGAGATGCGGCGAACCGGAAGCGTACCCTAAGAACGAGACGAGCTCGCACGCGAAGCGGTGAATTTCTGCAAAAAAAAAAAAAGCTCCGTGAAAAACGTTATCCATAACAATGGCAATAACGAGGGGGTATTCACTCGGGAAATCGTGGATTTCATCGCTGGAAATCGCGGAGACATTATCTGGAAAAACCCGACGAGGAATCAGGGGAAATCGTTAGAAATCGGCGAACACTATTTTAAGGCCGAGTTCATTTGTCACCGAGAATTGTTATTTATTTTATTAAATGAATATTAAGGCTGAAAGTCCCTCGTTACCGAATCGCATTGTTGCTTACCATATGAAATATAGAGGCAAGTTGCTTTCCAGGAAAATCGTTTTCCCCGATTTCCATGTGAATGGCCAGGGTAATGATAAAGGGCACGGACGAAATATCGCGTAAGGGGCTTACGCATGGATCTTCCCTTGGAGGAAGATCGTGGAAAGAGATCGTAGAAGGAGAGGCGCACGTAATCTGCTTATCTCGAGGCCGATAAGAGAAATCGAGAGGGGGGGCCGCGTCCAATAACAAGCGCGACGTTTCGCATCCATCTCGATCCTTAAAGGAGCCCGGAAAGTGGGAGGCACCCTCTTCCCCGAGAGGAGTCGTCTCGGCTTTTGTCTCGCGTATCCCCGGCGCAAAGGAGGAGAGTTTATGGAAATCTCGGGGCTAACGAAGGGGCACTCTCGCATGGGAATCGATAAAAGTCGGGGTCCGAGCGAGTCGAGTCAAAGACGGAGGGCGGGGGCGGGGAGACAATCCGGGAGGAATCGCATAATGAAAGGAGCGGGGCGCAAATATACGGGAACGTCTTCTTCGAAGGGAATCGCTATAAACGTATCCCGCTCGCTTCTCCTTTACGGCGTGGATAGGACGGGGAAAAAAAGGCCGGAAGCGACGCAGGGTGCGGAAGGGAGAGAAATTGCTCGGCCGGGAGCCGGGGAAGGTGGAGCTCTCGATGTCGGCCGATCGACCTCTCCTCTCCCCGGATCTTCGCGGAATGGAATTCTCGACCGCCGCGATCGCAGAAATTGAGTTCCAGACCGTGCGGCAACAGCCTGCGACGGTCCCGCCCCTGTTTATAGACTTTTCTGTGCCACCTGTAAGTCTAGCCGAGGACGCGGCTCCCCTTCTTGGATTCCAAGATGGCGGACGCCGACCGAAATCGGTCCTGGTGGAGGACGAACGCGGGCCCCCCCTCGTGCGGCTTTTCTAGCACGATATTATACCGTGCGGTGTCTCGAATTTTAGCAATCAGCAAGGTAGGGTCAGGGGTCCTCCCCGTTTATAGACTTTTCTACAAAAACGCGTAAATCTTGTCTCGTCCGACCCTGGCCTGGGATTCCAAGATGGCGGACGCTGGCCAGAGTGGAGAACAAACGCGGGTCCCCCCTCGAGCCCTCTTTTCAACCCTATATCGTGTTATACTTTGTCTCGGATTTCACTGATCAACAGGACGGGGTCAAAAGTCACTTCCACCTCTGCGACCCGAGATATGATGAATTTAGAACATCACCCTGCGGTCGAGGAGCGAGGTCACCTCCGCAAACGGAGCGACCCGGACAAACGGCCGACTTCGGAAGACATTCGGACAAAAGCGCGGCCCGAATGCGTCCCCCGCGTTGTATATACAAGCGTTTCTCTCGAATTGTCCCTTCGGTATTTGCGCTGCCCGGTAGTTCGACGTTTGACCGCAGAACGGAGTCCGCGACTCCGCAGTCGTCGGCTTTCCCCGCGGCCGTGGAATCCATTTGGAGGTTAGGACCGCGTCTCTCTCTACGGGTCGATGTACGGGCCGAGTATAAAGGCCGAATCGAATTGGAATTCGCGGTTTCCGAGCCGGAGAGCCTTTGATACACGGCCCGATAGACGCGTTATCCGGTTAATTCTTTCCTACTGGCCCGGCAAACGGCCAACCGGAAGTGACGTCCCTTTCAGCCGTTCGACGCCTCTCGTTCCAGTTTTCGGCAAAAACTCCGATCTGCCATCTTCCCCTCCCCCCATTTGACACATCCGATCTTCTCGCTGGATTTAAATCGACTGACCCGAAATTCACGTCCGGGTTTAAAGGGTTAAGTTTAAAGAGCTAGATTTAAAGAGCCCGATTTAAAGATCCGCCCTTCGAGTCGAGTCCCTTCAAAAATGTCATCCGACGAAAAAGCCACCCCTTCGATTCCCACTGACTATCCGCGTCCCTGATTACAAGCCCACTTAATTTTTTTTTTTCTTCTTCATTAACATATACTACATTTATATTGTTCTAAATAAATGTACGTGGCAAACCTAATCCCGTCGGATGAATTAATTTTTTTTCAGATTTTCGACCCGCCGCTTTCATAATTGCGAGAAATCGCCGCGCAAGGAATATTTAATCGAAATTCCAGCCGACGAGAAAGGCCTCGGTTAACCTCCTTTCCAGAGGACAGGAAGTCTCATAAGTGATGGAGGAGCGAGACGACCGTATCGCGCGCGTAAGTCGCGGTGTCACGAAAAGCACGTAGGTCACGGATGGCCAGGGCGTCGGGACGCCGGGGCAAGGTACGTGCATAATGCATGGGTACGACTTCGCCCCGGCGCGGCCACTTCAAAGAGTCGCTCTACCTCCTCTCGCATGCATGAACGGCCTAGGGTGCCGCGTAAAGGATTATTTTTAGTTCAATTTGTCGCTCGAATAACACCATAAAGCGCCCACGTTCACGCCGAGGAGGGTGGCCGCACACGCGTGCACGGGGCTACCTGGCACTGCATAAGGTGGACTAGATGGAAGTGCGAGCAGGATGGCCGAAGATAGAATTTCCCTAGAATTTCCACGGGTCCCCACGACTCCCATAACCAGGAAAGACGTAGGCAGAGCGCAAATGGCCCTAAACGAGATCAGCTGACATTTATGTAATTTAAGTACAATTGCGCTGCAATAAAAAATCCCTATTTATACCACTCGACGTGTAACTCCTGCGCAAAAAATCGGAAGCTGAAATTTAGCGGAATTTTACAAAATGTATATTTCGCTATAAGTTTTTGGGGTGAGATATGAATATGTGGCGCGGGAAGAGAAAATCGACAGGTAACGCGGTATACAATCCGGACGAGGAAAATGCACTCCGGATGGACGGGGAGAAGGTGAAAGAACGTGGCATGAGAAATTTGGGCAGGCTCGGTTTAGTCCGGGAATTTGATCGCAGGTGTCGGTTTGGCCTTCGCGGGCCTCGAAGACGGATTTCCGCGTCCGGTGGGGCAGTCGCTTCCGCGTCGGATTCGGTCCGGCTATTTTTAACAATGCACCGATGCACCGTACGGGCGCCCGACAAACTTCTCCGGGAGAAATCGATGGACGGCCGAATCCAGAGTGCAAGTGGGTAGAGGCAGGGATATAGAACTCCGATGAAGATAGATGGGGACTCGAATGGACACGGAAGATAAGGATAAAGTGTATGAACGAGGATGTAGACAGCAGGTGCATCCGTCTTTCCTAGGGGTACTTTCAACCCTGGTCCCCGACGTCTAACGAGCGCGTTAAACGGCGCTTCGACGAGTGCCGTGACGTTCGTCGCTTAGCTTTAAATTCGACATTGATTCGACATAACCGGTTTACGTTAAAACCGGCACTTTTAGCGGGTTTTCGGGATCCCGAGCGGCGACGACCGCGCGTTAAGCCCCGTCCACATCGGGCAAAACCAACATGCACCCTCTCGGCGGTAAACGCAGGCTCGCTGCCAAACGGGCGAAAATTCCGCGGACCGACCACGACGATAATTGTCAGTTATCCGAGGACTGATCGAGCGGAAGCGCCTTTGGGACGCATTAAATCGGCCATCCTTTTAACACCCCCCGGCCGCGCTCAACCCGCCCCAAAAAGTCAAACAGAGCGTGGCCCGATTACCGGCCGATTCGACAACGAACCGCTCGCTCATTTGGAAATCATTTGCACTGCAACGAGTCGACGTGTACTGCCACGCTGGACAGCGTCAACGGGGAGAGGAAAATCCGAGGCTGCGGCTGATCGCGTCGGGTGGATTTTCGGCGCCCGCCTGGCGGTCCCTTTGACGTCCTCTCGAAGTCCGTAATCCGCTTCCCGTTTGCCAGGACATTCTCGATGGACTGGAAATAAAAAAAACAGTTCATCATCCGATAAGCAGTCATTGGTATATCCTGTAATGATGAGAAATTAAATTTCACTGAAAATCGCGTCAGGTGGATTTTCGGGCTCACCTGGCGGTCCCTTTGACGTCCCCTAAAAATTCGTAATCCATCTCCCAGCTTTCGAGGACGTTCTCGATAGACTGGAAATATAAAGAGAACATTCGTCATTCGATAAGCAATCTACGGAATATCCCTTAATTATGACAATTGTAATTTGATTGAGAATCGAGGCTTACCTCTGCCGGCAGTTCGAGGGCTCCAGGAACGCAAGCTCCTAAATGAGATTCCGTGTGCACGGGGCCTTAGGTGTCCCACGAATCGAAATCAATAAGCCGATTATTGGCTGCGTTGAGCAGAGATTACCGCGCTTTGAATTGACACCCTGACACGGCTTCTCGCGGATTCAATCCAACAAACTCGGTCCTCCGTCCTTCGACCTCTCCCTCGCTCCTTTCCGCCACCCTTCGCCTCCTCTCCCTCTCTCTCGCCAACAGACTGCCGTTCGGATGTCCGTTCTACTTCCCTTTTCAGTTAAACTCCGCGAAATTCCTTCTGGTCCCCTCGATGCAATTCTGCAACTTCAGATCAGCCCCCAACCCTGTTCATCCGCTTCCGCGTCCATCAAGAATTGTTTGCCCAGCTCGCCGTTTACGTGTTGTCGATCCTCCATTTATATTTCGTCATATTCCGAGTTTCCTTCGTCCGCGTCGGATGAAAGCACTGACACCAGGCCCGATTAACTCGACGGGACGCGGGTTCTGTCTCAAAATCCTGTAAAATAAAGCGCAGTATTAAAATCTAATAAAATTCCGTAGACCTTTTCCTCGAATCGACTCTATACAAAACTTAGACATCGCGGATGGACTAGCTTTAGCGTTCGCAAAGAACACCGGTTAATTTCTCTTAACCGCCAGGAGATGATTTGAGCTTTAATTAACGCGATAGGTGCGTTCGCAAACGGATGCTGGATGCAGAGATGGAGGACGTCGTGTCGATCGGGTGCATTGTTGCAGTCGCGATTCTCTCCGGCCTGGCGTGTCGGTTATCCTAATGATATTTCCCAGTCATTGCCACGCTTCCCGTGGCCGTGACGAGTAATAGCGGCTTGCTTTTCGAAAGCCCTGAATCGACCCAGAAATTAATCAGGCCGAGTACTCGCGAGTGGCCCCGACCGAACCCATTGACAATAAAGTCATCCCTTATTACTCGTAATTCGGGGACACTGTTACAATGAATTACATCGTGGCGGTAACAGGCCGCGCGTTAATTACAATCCTAGTTACGATAAAATAAGTATGACCTGGGAAACGAGGACGCGTTTTGCGAAAACATTCGGGGAAAGAAAATTCCTCCAACGGAGCGACCTGTGAAACTGGGTCTTTCGCTTCCGGGCGACTGCAGCGACCCACTCTAGCCTGCACTTCTGACGTTTATGTAATATTCATACGAGTGTTACGTTAATTCCGATCCGAACGTCCAAGTTCCATCTTTTCATTGGGCCGGCTTGTCACAATATTTGAGTGACTTGACTCGAGCTCGCACGCTGGACAAGGCCAAATTTATATGGCGTTCCGCAAGTTCCCAGAGAAATTTCAATCGCAATAAATCTCTATTTTAAATACAACTGCGCGTCTAAATAAAACAAAAAGCGACTAGACCCCCGGAGAATACAATCTTAACTACCAGGCAAGAGATGAAATCTCTGAACCTTAAAAAATTCTCCAAATCAAATTCATGTTTCTTCAAGCCATGAATTTTTTAAATTCATGCGCTGATATTTGAAAGAAATTGCTACACCCAACTCGGAGAAAAATTTCACGAACGATTGACCCCCCAAGATGCCACTTTCACATCCCCTTAATCATGGGAAAGGACCGAAATTTCTCCGAGAACTTACGGAACGATACAAAGAACGGGGCAATTCTACACGTGTGTATGTACATTGTGTGACGCACGTCAAAGATACAATTTGGCCATTATCGGCTCGGCTGCGGAACATTCGGGTCGCAGGTTGTGTATTTTGGTTTTTCATCCGCGTCGACGCGACCCGTAATGACGGGCAAGGCTTAATTACTCCCAAATGTATGCCACATTTTCCGAAACACCTGGTTCTCGCTCAGTTTCGACCGTTCCTCGACACGGCGGTAATTGGACGGATCGGCGCCGATCGAGCCACCGAGCCGCGAGGTAAACAATTTCTTTTTCCGCCGCGGAAATTTTAAAATTAACGCGACGCCGGGTGACGGGGCCGAAATCGCGTTAACGCCGGCCGATTTAACACCTTTATTACATCACCGGGGAATTGTACTTGCAAAGCATCCGTATTCATGCCGAATAACTAAACTCAAACGGGTTGGTTTCACTCGTAAATTAACTATGCGGCTCACCTCGTTGCGCGTTTTAATGAGCATCGATCGGTGAAACATGATTAAACGCAATTCTAAATATGGACGGGGGAGCTTTCCGGCGCCACTTTGAAAAACTTCCCCTTGGCCTAGATTCCCATCGACCGTTTAAGCATCGGCGCAAAGTTTTCCCGATATAACGCGAGCCTTTTTCATGCCCCTCTCTTGCATGCGCCGCGAAACAACGACGCCGGAAAGCCGCGGAAACGTCAAAACTTGGCTCCCCGGGATCCGAGTCCATAAAATAATATCCAGAAAAATGGCAACATTTGAAAGTCACCCATCTCGGATATTTTTGTTACCATAAATCTTCGCCTATGGTGTTTTCAGAGACAATATGTCACCCCAGGAAGCGCTCGTTCCGCGTTCAATGACATTTCCATGAGCTGTCGTTCCATGAGCGTTTACGTATGCATTCGGACACCTCCGATCGGTAAAGTACAGCAACACTTGACATTCATTGCCGTAATTCCTTCCGACGATTGATAAACGTTCTGCACCTGCCTGGAAAAAGAAAACAAGAAAACATAAAGCATAAGCGCACAATAATTCATTAAATGAATTCATGCTGCTTTATAACCTCTTGAATTAAGGATGGCGTTTTAAATTCGTAATTCCTGCATCCACGTGCTTCGGTTATTAATTAATACTACGCTGTGTATGACCGTAGAAGTCGTTAAAGTGGAAGGAAAAAATTGGAACATCCGGTCGTAATGGGCCAAATGGTGGGACGTATGCCGGACACGTGGGAGGAATTACTCGAAGAAAGGAATCGGGTACTTCACTGGAGTGCCGAGGTCCTAGCTCGGGTTGACGACAATATGACGAACGAGGACACGTTTCTAATGGATTACGACAACGACAGGGTAAACGAGAAAGTCGAGAAATGGGTCCACAGTAACAGAGCTCGCGCGGATGCAGTCATCGCCAAATACCCCGATACAACCGAGGATTGCATCGCAATAATTGACAATGGGATGATCAAGGTGGCCGTTACACGTCTTAAATTTACATACTATTAAAATGTACAGTGTACGATAAACCGAGACCTACATCGTGAAATTTATTCGAGTTAACGAAAGAGTCCTGTTAGCTGTGGATTTTTTTTTTTTCTACATTTTTTAAACGACAGATGTGAATTATTTCCAATAAGCCGACTTTCCGTCCCGAGGGAACCTGTAGGGACTGTATTGGATCTATGCATAATTTTTGTCCCTTTTAGGGATTTCGAGGTGGCGTAAAATCCTCTTACGTCCTCCGCTCCTTTCTGCTTGAAAGCTTTCTAGTTCTTATTGGGTTTAAGGCGACCGGGTCGTACCGAGGTGGCGAATGTCTGGTTTTCCTAAAGTTACCCAACTGCGCATTAAATACCGCTTGTGGTCGTAAATGTTAACGCTTGCTGCGAGTTGTTAAAACAGCTGTCACAATTTTGGCCACTGACTATTGGTAATTAGAGATATTTACATAATCCATAACTGTACAATTTTAAGGGAATTATCATGCTTGTCTAGAGTCCGGTAGATATGTTTATAAGGCGCGAACGTCATTGCTGATCATCGCTTTTCGAAGGTAAGAAAAATACCCACTACCTACACACTTTATCCCGCGTAATTTGCGAACAATCTCGTGTAAAGTAAAGTGCAATCCCCCGAATAACGATTCACATTACTTCTGACCGTTCACGGTCTAATTTCCATTAAAAAATGAATAAGTCCAAGTGCCCAAAGGTGCAAATTTGGCCACTACCACATTATCCTCGATTCTCTAGCATCGAAATCCTTCAACAAGACGATCTATTTCTCGCATGTATAGTTGCACCTCCGATTTCAAATTGCCCTCCCAGAAAAATTCCCACATTAACCTTTAGAGGTGGCCAAATTTGTGACACATCCCATCCTTATTAGATACCAATCGCTTACATATTAAAGCCTATCAAAATGTTCAGATAATCGAGGAGATGAACAACAAAATGCGGAAGGACTATCGGAACGGGTACTCGGAGCTGAGGAAATTTACAAAGCGAGTCGATCGCCTCGGTTACAAAGAAAGGCAGATCCACGCATCGATCGAGCGGCTCGAATCGGAGTGCCAGGGTGATCCGAAGAAGTTCCAGAAGAAGCTGGGCCCTCTCCGGTTGAAAGTCTTCGACAACCTGGAAATAGCCGAGAAAATAATGTTCCAGGACAAGCGATACAAGACGGCATTCACAAAAAAGGTACACCAGGCCTTCCAGTGCACTGACCTCTCTCCTTCCCCGCCCATCGATAATTGAATGTTCGTCCCGTCAACAGGTCTACGACATCGACCACGAGAACATGGCCGAGTGCGCGAAAAGGTTCGAGAAGCTCCTCGCGGAATTCGAGAGGTGTGCACAGAAATAAGCTGGAGCGGAGGAACGGCGATTAATGTTCCACTTCCTGATACGGTTACGAGATACGCGCCGGGCAGCGTTGATTTTAAACGTCGATAAATAAGCAACAACCGGCTGTATATCGAGCCCCTGGAAATAAAGCACAGCGAGAGGCGATGCGAACGGAAAGCGGCACTCGAGGCACTCCCTTTCCCTTCCATATTGCCGACTCGATATTCTTTAAAAGCCCGGCCGTTTCCATTCTCCAATAATTTTAATTAGCAATTAAACAGGAGCAAGTCTCGAGCCCTCGGGTAAACGTCTCGCCAATGTCGCCCAGCAAACGAAGGATCAAATTTAATTTCGCATTTAAGAATCCCAGTCCGGCTAACATCGTCGCTTGTTTTTTATTAACCGGGTCGCGCGATCGACCCTTTGGATTTAACGACCGTGGGAAAATGATTACAGTAACGAACGTTGTCCTCTATCGACAGGATCGCTCGAATGGCTCCGCTCTACAAGCGCGTCGGATAATTCCGACGTACACGTTTTTCGTCACGTCTTCTATCGTTCACGTAGCCCGGATAAATATAAACAGGGGTGGCTCGATCCCGAAACCAAGTGGAACCGACATGGACATTTAGCGACGCTCCGTCAGGACAGTTTCTCATTCGTGAAAGCGGCCGCAATGCCGAGGAAAAACGGGGGAAAAATGCATTACCCCGTTCTCCATTCGATTTTCCCTCGGCGTGTAATTTGCTTTATCGTCCATCAGCGACGTTTACGCACTCGCTACTCTTACGTCGTCGGACCAATCAATCTCTTCGCTGTCGCTAAATACCTGGCACTCCTCCTAAGAGAGCATAATGTCGGAGCAGGTGCGCTTTCCGGAAATCGATAGTTGCAGCCCCGACCTAGCCGTTAGAGATCTCGTAGTCAGGGGACCAGGAACCCACAGAAGTCGCGTTTCTCTCCCGGACAAAAAAAAATACCTAAACAAGGGAATACAAATTTAAAACGGCGCTCTTCTTCACCGTGTACAAACTCACCCGAATAGCGGTGAACTCCAGCATCACAATTCGTTCTTGACAATCTCCCAAAGTCATCGCTTGGTATCGTAACATCATTCCCGGGATGACAAAAAATCCTAGGATGCACTTGGAGATAATCTCGCGGCCAAGCTCGTACTAATGCACGCCACAATGGTTTTATTTATCCTCCAGCTGCGAGGGAAGCTTTTCCTGCCTTCGCCGTCTTGAAATACTGCCTCGAGATGAGAAACTGCGAGTACGGTAGCATGTCGTAATTACCTTCTTGCCAATCCTTGAGAGTTTGCCGAAGACAGGCTCTCAACCGGTATGTCCAGGTAGAAATTAATCGGCGACTGCTGGTTTCACCTGGGAAAAATATCAGCAACTGGGTTAAAACAAGGTAAACTATGTTTCCCATATTCGGTAGTAAAATGTGTTTTCTTAATTCCGATGAAAGCTTACATCCGAGGACGCTCGGCTGGCTCTTCCCGTGAGGCGTCCAAAAATCCTGACTCAGCCCGGGCTGAATAATTCCCTCGGCAAGATGCCGTGAATTTACATTATTCGAGAGCGAGGAGCAGGAGAGCAGGTTGCAGGTGAGCTCTTCCCTCGTAGTCGGGGGTCGTTCCCTGGTCCGACGACGTCGTTAAACCTGAAAGGTAACGGCGGCCCGTAGGCCGGATTAGAGAGAGGGGCGGGAGAGAGAAGCCTCCGTTCAATATCTCAAGAGAAAATTCCAACAAAAGTAGTAACCAAACCTTCACCCTACAAGTAAATATAAGAAAGCTAAAAGTCTCGGAAGTCACCAGAAATACTTCCCAAAGGGACTGAGAAGAATAGAAAATATTTAATTTCCATAGCGATATTCACACATTTATTTTCAACGCTACGGGAGCAAATGAAACGATGGATTACCTCATGGCAGTTTAAGCTATCGGAAGGCACAGGAATTTCATAATAAAGTCGTCGGGAACGTTCTTTACGACGCGTATTTTGAGTAGATCGAAGGACTTCCGGTGTTTCCCGAAGTCGCCGCGTCGAGGTCGAGCGAGGTTCGCGCGCGTCCTGCGCGATGGCGCGGCGGTCACGACGCGGCGCGAATCGATCGGCGATCGGCGATATCGCGATTTCGCGTCCTCGAGCTCTCCTCCAGCCCGTCTGGAGCGCAAGCGACGTAAGGAGAGCGTGCCATTACAAACGTGGTGGACTGGAATTTCACTTGACGTCGTTGGGGTAGGCTCTCTCGGAGACTCCTCCGGCCAGGGGAACAGGAATGGCCAGAAGGTGAGCGAGCTTCTCTCGCGTGCCGCCGAGCTGAGCCACCTGCGCGCGCCGGTCGGACCGCGGCCCGCGCCGGCAGCTACCCGGATAACAAAATGTCCGCGAATTACCCGCGACTAGTGACCAAGATCGCATGGCTTGCACGCCGTGTGCGAGGCTCACCTTTTCCGGATTCTCCGACCTTAAATCGCGAAATGAGCGTTAAAAATAAAGTGGGAAAAACAGCGGCTAAAAGAATCATCGAATAAATCGACCGATTCTTGAGAATACTAAGCAATAAATTCCGGATATCGAATGGGAAATTAATTTCGAGATTTTGAACAGAAAGAGGTATACGAAGTTTCGCGCGTTGCGTTTTCAGAGAGGTTGGTTTGCTGCCTAGTGATGTTCCCCCACTCTTCATGACGGGAGACCAGGTTGTCTCTTTCTTTTCCACTCTTACCACGAGTGCGACAAAGAGGCAGCGATGTGGGAATGTAAGGGGGCCTTCTGCGTCTCCCCTGCCGTACCTGATGCTCAAGATGCTTTCGAAAATTGGTTACCTTGCCATGTTGGAGGGAATGCGCCTCTCGGCCGCTGGGCGCTCGCTCGATGTCGCCAGGCCGCGACGCGCCATCAAACCCTGGGCCTTCCCTCGATGCTTCTCCATGCAAACGAGGCACCTCGCCGTTGCGGCGTGAACCCTCGCGTAAACCGCCGCAACGGGACCGCCGCCGCCTTCCGCCCAAGAATCGGAAACGCAAGCGCTAAACCGCGACGCCGCGGTAGCAACGGCGGTCGCTAGCGGCCCATCTGGAGCAGGAACACAGACTGACGAGGAGGTGGCCGACTGGATTTCAAAAGCGCACCTCGGGCGTATTCGGTCGTCTTCGTTCAACTTCGGCTTGCCGCGACATTTGAATGCCAAAGATTTCCACTTAAGCTTCCAACCACAGAATTTACACAATTAACCGAAAACTTTCTTACTTCCATGTGAGCACTTTGTGTACAGAGCGTGTACGAACACTCTGAGATAAGAATGATAAGAGAATGTACAATAAAATCGACGCTTATCACAGAATATTCAGAGATTTAACCTTCCATCGTTCGCCGACTATACACATACATCGTACTGTCCCCTTCTTTCTGTATTAAATACTTACGTTATCAATTTTAACAACGTTGTAACGTTTATAATTAAACAAGTGCGAAGCAGTTAGCGTCGGATTTGCAATTCCTGAATAGTTATCGATTTGTCATGGAAAAAAAATAATCTTCGACGGGAACCGAACACGTGACAAGAGGACTTACGGACTGAACGTCTTTCTACCAGGCTACGAAGGATATTAAAGCATCGTTTTTTATTATAGAATTAATGATACACGTCACTGCTTCGCAACGACGGCGAAATGAGTATCAGGAGATCATGAAAAGAGTGAGGTTAAGAGACAACAATTGCGAAACTCGATTTGGCGAAACCGCTAAGGTTTGCGCGCGCATATGCGCTCACTCGCATTGCGACATTAGAGAGATTGTTATGGAAATATTAAATGCTTATATAAACAGCACTTCTCATTCAAGCAGCGGTTGGCGTCGACGATAACTGAGATGTTTCTATCGCCAGAAAATTCATTGTTACGATCTTACAAGAGAATAAAACAAGTAAATCTCTGTTCACTCCTATCCACTCCTGGTCATAAACTTTGGCGCCATTTTTGAATTCTTGAAGATGTCAATTTAGAGGTTTCTCTTAATGACGTCTTTTTAGCGAATTCCTCGCTACTTGAGATGTTTTAGCGTTGCTCCATTTTTGTTTTGCTACGTGATGTAAATTACGGTAAGCAGCTGGCGAAGTTGACCATCAGGCTACTGTGGAAATCAGGTCCAACGGATTGCTGATATTTGTCAGCAGATTCCTCCATGCTAAAACTATAAATCAAAGCCGGAGAGCGCAGTTTTCCGCAGTGAAGACTCGAATTTCGCAGCTGGTGGGTAAGGATCAATCTCACCAAAGATTTGAAGGAAGCTGCAAGTATGATCTTACGACTGCATTTTCTAGCACTGGTTTCGGTGCTACACTCTGCAGGTGACTGTTTATATTTTTATGGCCACCCTCGAGTCTCCTCATTGGCACTAATCTTGGAATTTATTTGTATAGAACACCATGTAATTTATTTCAGTTGGTCGCAATGTCCCAAACTCAAATGATGAGGAGTCTTGTATACATCTCTGCTCCGCATGCCAAGGAGTAGCAGTCTTTGACAATGGACAATGTCAGTGTCACATCGGAGGAGACAGTGAAAAAGGTATAGTAATTACGAAAGGGAGTTTAACAAGTTTTGACAATTCATAACCCAGTGACCATGATATATGAACATATATGTATATTTTTGCCGTTATAATTTATAAATTGGAAAAATTATTCACAGGTGCTGAATGCATTGCTCGAATAAAAAGAGAAACGGAGGAGTTAGATATGCAGTTAGTGCCTGCGGATCCTGAAGATATAGACCGCCCTACTCGTTGTTTGGCATCGGGACTCACAGGATCATCGCACCATCTTTGGACTCCAGGTGACAATGGAGAGAAAGCAATCCAGTGGCTAAATTATTTACCTATTTTTAACTGAGAGTATTGCAGGAGATGTGGACCGAGTTGCTAAATACTTTATAGGCGACGGTCCTGTATTAGGCCTGTCACCGTTCCTCGAAGCAACAGGCACCGAGGAGGAACCGTGTGTTTCTATGGCACAGAAGAGGCCCTCAGGGGCAAGAAAGTCAGATTCTCAGATTATCGGTTCGAAAGCTCCTGCAGCAGGAAGGAGTGGTTACAATACTGCTTCGAATATCATGTCAAATGCCCCAACATCTGGCACAAGATATCCAACAATGGGCACTAATTCTGCAGCCACAGCCAAAAATCCTTCGGTTGGCTCGAGCAGACCAGTTAACCCTATGATTGGTGCACCGAACTCACTCTGTATAAAGTTGCGAGGCACAGATCCATTGGCAACTAACCCTCTGCAAAGGTTTGGTCCAGCATCAAATCCTTTAACCGGAGCTCAGCATTCACCATTGATTAGACCGATGCACATGCCTCTCAACCATTTGCCACATCTTACACTTCATCGTCCGATACTTAATAGCGAAGCACGATTTCCATCCAGAGCATTGCATCTTCCATCCACAGAAAACTTACAAAGTACATTGAAAGACCTCTCTCACGTGGTAGGAAGTCAGTTAGAAGGCCTAGCGAGAGCTGTGCATGCCTACGGAGATCAGGCAGCTCATAAACCGGTAAGGATAGGAATTCTAAAAATCAATTATTATATTTCAAGACATACCAATATTTATTAATTATATAAATTTTATAAAATTATTTCTTGTTACCTTTTCTCATCGTGATGTTTCTTTTCCTAGGCCACTGCTCCGGCACATCTTCTGGCTAGTCCCAAGTATGATAAACCATCGGAACCATCATGCATAGGAGCACCATCTCCAACTAACGATATCGTAGGAGCTCTTCGGTCAAGTCATCCTGTAGTTCAACCTGTGCAACCTATACAACCCATTCAACCCATTCAACCCATTCAACCTTTATCGCTTCATCACATTCCAATTTTGGGAGCAATAAGCTCACTTCTGTCGGGATATAATTTCCCGTACAGTAACTACAGTCCCGATGTAGGATCACCTAGGTACATTGTCGGAGCTCCTGAAGCACCCGAAGCGTCGGCCTGTCCAAGTGCAAGCCCTCAGATTGAACGCAGTTCAAAAGTAAAAATGTATCGAAACGCAGACTCTGCTGACCAGAACGTTGGTAGCAGACAACTGAAAAAATCAAGAACGCGTGACGTGGATGACGATAAGATAAAAATTGCTGCCACTTTGCCTGAAAAGCCATCGATGCCTGAAAGGAAGAATTACGAAAAATCATCAAAAAATGAAAGCACGTCGCTTCGACAGAAGCCTAAAGAAGCTAAACCTAAAGCTGCCGACCTTACTTTAGAAGATGAACAGAGTGAATCTAAGGAGAGTGCGACAGTATCCAGGAATACAAGGAAGATTCTTCCAATACTTCCAACACTGTCTTTAAGAATATAATGTAATTTAAGTGACATTATTGATAGTGTAATATTTAGTAATATAGATATCATCCTATAGACTTCATAAAGGCAAAGTTCCATTACATCACCCAACAGAACGATATAGATAGGATAAACAGTGATTTCATTGACAATTTCTATTGTACTTTGATATACAGATTTTTCTAATAAAATAAATCTAACAATAATCATACAAGAATTATTCAATGAAACATGATCCACATCAGTTACAAACTTAGAAAATTATTACCAAGAATATAATTTACTATTATATTTTACATTATGGAACCTGGTATTTGTAAATCGTATTACACCGATATCACACAATATCAGGATATTAAATCTCTAATGGATAAATTTTATCTACGTCCCTTTCCTTTTCCTTTTTTAGACGAAGACGATCCTTGTTGAGAAGAAGACTCGGAGCTGACTTGCTTAGTTTTCCTAGTCTTTAGTTTTGGAATCATAGCACCTAAGTAAACTAAAAGAGAGTCTCTAGTTGGAAAAATAGGATTCAGTGGAAGCCCATAGGGATCCTTCAGTACCACCCGAATACGTCCTCTGTGTTGTAGTTCTTTGCTCCGCTCTCTAGGATGAATCTTGTTTTCAACGCCAACACATAACCCCGCAGCAGCCAGCACATCTCGAATCTCCTCATATGTTGGGTTCTCCACGCACTTGTCCTTCGCTAGTTTGCGTCCCTCTGCCAGTGTTTTCTTACTATTTATATAGACTGGATAGATGCACACCCACCTATTAAAATGAATGTCTGAGTTATGATACCATTTTATATTTAAATTTAAAAACATTCACACGACGCCCAAAAATCTTTCACGATAAACAAACGTTGAGGTTAACATGACAGATGGAGGTCGCTAACACTACGGATACGGAGTCAGAGCAGTGCTTTGTTGTTACAACAATATTTCAAAATGTAAGGAATAAACTGAGCGTGTCAACTAATATATTAAACGTCAAATAAACAAACTTCTTAAAATCAAGGTTGGTCAGCGAATCGCTCCACGTCTGCGACACCGCCATGTTTTTAGACAGAAAATCAAATATGTTCGGTAAGCCCTCTGTCCAGACGACAGTCGAATCGCTCGCCTATGATACCGCCATCTTTCTAGGCCATTCTAGGCGAAAACTCTTCTTCTTCTTCGTGTATTGGATTTCGGCCCAATAATTTGGGCCCAATACCAGCCAGAGATGAGTTGGGAAATTGCTTACGGCAGAGATGGCCAATACTAAGGATTTATGATTTTTATCTCTTTTTCCTTTTCCGCCTTAAGATGTTTTCCCTATGTTCTCGTTATTTCTTCCTCTTTGTGGTTAGCTGGGTTCTTGGGACGATCAGGGTTAGTTTTCCCTGTACTATCAAAATGATATCTTCGTTGCCCAGGTTGGATTTGTTTAGCCGCGGCTTCTAGACGGAGCCGGAAGCCTTGTTTTGCATATTCTATTGGAGGGATTTACGCTTTCTTCATTTTCTTTTCTCTTTTTCTCCTTTTTGCCTTGTATGATTGTTCTTAGTGTTCATATCATTAGATTATCCTCCACCAGGTGGCAGCACAGAATGCGATTGAATGACCCTGCCTGTGAGCAATCTCCCAACTTATATCTAATTCCGATTGCCCGCAGAGAAACAGAGAAGTAAACTTCCGCCACACGTTTTCTTCGCAACAATGATGACAATTTATTATTGTTAATATATTATTATATGCAGGATGTAATAATACTTTGCAGGGATAAAAAAAAAAATGAAGTACGGGCTCGTCCGGGATTTGAACCCGGGACCTCTCGCACCCGAAGCGAGAATCATACCCCTAGACCAACGAGCCAGGTACCAAGATTGAAGAAAATTAAGTTCAAATCCTAAATACCATTTATGTCTTATTATTTTTGTATGTACCTTTTAAATTACATTTAAAAAGAAACCAAGAACGTTTCGGTTAAGCTGCTACCTCGAAAATAAATAATTTAATCTAAATGTAAGGATTTATAATTTACAGCGTAAATGTGTAAAAATCAACTGGAAGATTCACTTTAATTCCTGACGCTATGCACTCGTCGAATGAAAAACGAAGCTAATCAGCCGAGAAACATTCTTGCGACTTGCATCACGTGCTTTAGAGAAAAGCAAGAATGTTAACGGTGACATATCAGAATAATAAATTATTCAACATAATTTCCCTTATGCGGGTTCACGTTTTACAAGTTTCCTACTTAGCTTAGGTACGTGCACGGTCATTAGTACCGATATATCAAGCAAAGTGTATTAAAGTCAGTGCATAAAAGTAAGAATTCGTAATAAGTGATAGTATAAACATTTATAAATAATTTATGTGATATTAACTTATAAATAAATATCGATTAATGGAAAGTATTCTGTCCATTTACTTAAGTAAGCTTAAGCAGTACTTGATACCCAAACGATGAATTCTTTGTGTGTTTGCAAAATAATAGAAACGTGCCGACTTGAAATACAGTGGATAAATGTCTTGGCACGGATTTAAAGATAAATCTCTGAATATTATTAGGAAAAAGAAGCCGGTAGCGATTTTTTAATGAATGCCAGTTCTAGGCTGCCACCGCGATTTCGAAGTAGTGCAACGAAATTCCCCAGAGATTCCGCGGAGATTTCCATTAATCGTAAAGCTGCGAATTAATTAACATTGGATCTTGTCGCCTTCGTCTGCCGGCTCGTCTCTTCTCTGTTTGGATTCCTAGACAAAATTTCCGTCACATTATACATGCATTCCCCTGAAGTTCCCTCAGATCACTTTTCGCTATAATTGGTTATAATTTAAAATCAGTTAAAATCCGCTATAATTGGTTATTAAATATAAAGTCTGAAGTAGAAGTCTTTTTCACTTTACCTATATTTCGAATTATTTCAAGGTTACTTATACAAAAGTATAATTTTTCTATCCAATTTATTGGTCGTTGCAATATACGGTGAGAAAATCCGAGACGGCCTGACATCGCGTTTTGCACCCATGGAAAGTGAAATAAAAAAGTTTCGCCAACAAGGGCCGAAATGTACAGGCATCAAATTGGGCCGAAGAAATCGAGCCTATTTAGAGATTCCTTCCTATCCGCAGGTTTAAATTTTCATTCAGCAGATTCCGAGGAAGCTGCCCTACGGGCGTTCGTTTTGCGACTTGGGAAGACGCGACCTGAAAATGATTTATTTAGCAATCCTGACTTATGGATTCCTAATCGTACGTATATTTAAAAACTTCTCAACACCTGCTCTCACTAATGCATCGTAATTCCTCCCCAGGTTCGAGGTCGCATGCACTGTATAAATTCGATTTTTCTCGGATTTAGCGCAATAGCGAGCCTCCATGCATGTCCCGACACAAAATCGGAACTCGCCTCGAAGACATTGAAATTCATCGACCGCAGTAAGGATTTCCTTCGGGAAATTCCTCTTCTATAAGTCCTTTCCAATGCAGAGACATTAAGTAAATATTAAAATTGCGTTTCAAGGCACCGAAGGAAGCACCCTGAGGAATTTCCTGCGTCGGGTGTACAACGTACATCTTAAAGATGAGGAAGGCAAGAAGTCCTCGGAAGAATCAGAACATCCGCCGCTTCCTCGTAGGGCTGAAGAGGAGGACGAAGATTCCCACGATTCGGAACATCACTTCGATTACAAGTCTACAGAAAATTGGGCCGATGATTATCCTGCCTGTGGCGGGGTCAGTCAATCTCCTATTGACTTGAAGCCCAGTGAAATGACACGACTCGAAGTGCCTTCTCTCTTGACCTGGACAGGCTACTCGAAACCACCGAAAGAAATGACCATTACTAATAATGGTCACACGGGTACGGCTTCTATAAAAAAAAGATTATATCAGCGCAGTAATGGTAAAATGTACCGATACCTATTTTTGAATACCTATACCACGAATTTCCATAACGACTATACGGCCTAGAAAATTCATTTTGTAATCCTACAGTCCAGGTATCCGGAAAATGGGAGCAAGGATTGACGCCGATCATCTCGGGCGGTCCGCTTGAGGGAAGTTACACGTTTGCTCAATTTCATTTCCACTGGGGTGATTGCAACGTCATTGGCAGCGAACATTTGGTCAATAATAAAAGGTAAAGCGTAGGAAAACATGCAGTAGTGAGTGAATGATACATTTCTCTTGTTGCAGTTTTCCACTGGAGATTCACATGGTGCATTACAAAACGGAGTATGGAACACCTGAGGATGCGGTTAAGCATGGCGATGGACTGACCGTTGTTGGGTTCTTGTTCGAGGTGGCTTCTATAATTGAACAATTATAATTAATTTAATGGACTATTATTTTTTACAGACGTTTTCTGTAAACCCTGACGTGTACTGAAATATTCTTACGATGTTACAGCTGAGTCTGATACCCAATTACGCACTCAATGCAATGCAGGATGGCATAAAGAAAGTGAAGACAGGAGGAGAAGGGAATTTGAAGCCTTTTCCTTTGGACTTTTTCCATTTATCTTTACAGGCAGATTATGCCGCATATCTAGGCTCCCTCACGACCCCTCCATGCAGCGAAGTCGTCACCTGGATAATTTCCTCGATACCTTTGAGCGTGACGAGGAAACAGGTAAATCGCATAACGCGTCGCTTCCAAGTCAGCGGCTAAAATTCCATTTTCTTCCAGATGGAGATTTTTAGAGAAGTAGAATTGGCCCATAATATCGAGCACAATTATAGACCTACGCAGCCGCTGAATGGTCGAACGGTGTATTATGTCCCCTTTTGAAAGGACTATTAAGCCTCTTCTGGAGAAAGCAAGAGTAGCCGATATGAACGCATGGTGTGATTACAATCGTCGTTTTAGATTGTAAGATGTTAACGCATGACACTTTGGCAAACGCACGTTTTCACTTGAGTTACGTTATAGGAATATTTAGCCTAATTAAGGTATACAGAACGATTTGTTAATATATCACTATGGTGCCTAGTTTCCCCCATGATATTTAACTTGGCGCATTCAACTTCCATGCTCGCAGGGAATTATTTATTTTCCCGAATCACTCCGCTTATATTAAAATTAAATTACATTTAAATCGAAAATTCGGGGTAGACTTGGCGTCGCGCTAACTCTGACCGTTCAGAGGTCGGGCAAAAAATTGTTTATTCAAAAAGAGCAGTCTTTTCTAAAACGCGAGACCAGCTTCCTCGTAAGTTTTAAAAATCTTGTCGATGGCGTAGCAATACGCAGCTCTTCGAATATCCAGACAGAGGTTGTGTTTCTCCGCGGTTTGCATAATGTGCTGCAACGAAGAAACACGATAAATTGTCAATTATCTTGAGACCGTGTGAGGTAACAATTGCAAAATGTAATAAAGTTCTAAATACAAATGCTGCGTTCTCCATCGAAGAATCTAACCCGCTGTTGACGATGTCCCTCTCGCTTGCCCCCGTTAATCTTTTTTCGAAATCCTTCGTCGGCTTTATCCGGACTCCCTTGAGTTTGCTCTGCAAAGAATGTTCCACCGAGTCTAAAAATAAGGTGTCGCTACGATTATTTCCCTGATCGTATTTGAAGAATGTAGAAATGTATCTATGGATCTCCGATTAAGCACCCATCAAGTGGAAAGTTGATTCCCTCTCGTATTTGAAGTGCATTCGACCATACGATACGTGACTTAGATTTTTCAGCCACTCGAAATACGACACGGTGACACCTCCACCACTCATGTACAAATCTGGAATCACTAATATATTCCTTTTGAGAAAGACTTCATCGGCTGCCGGCGTGCACGGTCCATTTGCGCCCTCGGCTATGATCTAATCAAACATTAATCATTTTAATTAATCGCCTCACATAGTCAAGCCTTTTTACCTTCGCCTGTATTTTCTCTGCATCGGTTTTCTTAATCAACTTCTCAGCAGCCGCTGGCACCAATATGTCACAGTTTTCATACATCAATTCCCTGCCACCCTTAAACTCCGCTGCCCCTTCGAAACCCTTGATCGTCAATTTCACATTCATGTGTTTGATAAGAGCCTGAAATACGATGGATCAAAATTCCCCGGTAGAGATGAATTCCTGAATGACTCCACGTCCTCCCAAAAAGTCATTCCAATTAAACAACCTCTGCATCGATGCCTTCTTCACTGTACAAGGAAATGTCTTTTTCGATCACCCCGACGAATTTAGCGCCAGCCTGAGAGAAATACAAAGCAGCGAAACGACCCACGTTACCGAATCCCTAAAAGAACAGAGGAATTATTTACAGACGTTCTTTTCTATCCACATAGCTATCTCGAATTCGCACTTGCACAATGAACGTTTTGTCTTTAAATCCAGTGGTGAGACCAATTTGTGACATCCACTTTTCCTCCGATAAGAAGTTGTCCACCGCGTGATAAATCCCTCTCCCGGTAGCTTCGTTACGACCCTGAACTCCTCCTTGATTAATCGGCTTTCCAGTCACCACGGCATGTGAATTAATGTCGTTCATCCCTGTAAGACGGAGCAGAATTAACTTATTAAAAAATTGATCCAAGATAAGGAGTATCAAACGACATGTTCATAAAATACCCAGGGTCTTGGCATAGGTGTCCGCCATCCACGACATTTCCCGAGGTCCAGTATTAACATCAGGTGCCGGAACATCAATAGCAGGTCCGATCATGTTCTTCTTCGCAAGTTCTAGGGTAAATCGCCTGGTGATTTTCTGCAGCTCGTTTGCCGAATACTTCTTCGGGTCGATCACGACACCAGCTTTGGCTCCGCCAAAAGGGACGTTGCAGCACGCGCATTTAAAAGTCATCAGCGACGCCAAAGCTCGGACTTCATCTCGAGTAACGTCAATGCCGAACCTCATTCCTCCTTTACACGGTAGCCTAAACGATAGAGATTGAAATTAAAATCCGTGGATCCCTTAAAAGCGTGCGAAGTACCTGTGGGTATTATGGTGCGCCCTGTATCCGGTGATCATCTCGTACGCCCCGGCGTCTCTTCGGATGGGAAAGGATATCTCCAAGGTGCTTTGACAAACGGACATGACAGATATGATCCCCTTGACGCGCCTCTTTCTGCCCTCCTCCGACATGTGGTGGTACTTCCGGAGTTCCTCCATGAAGGAGTCCTCCATCACCATGACGGCACGGTGGTAATGGTACTCGACCATCTTGAAGAAATCCGGATCCTCGGCCTCGCCGACATCCTTGAGACGTTCTGGCATCTTATGGCGATCATCCTTCTTCCCATCCGATCCTCCACATTCCTCCTTGGAGAACCCTCGACGGTTTCGCAGGACTCCCGCGATCCTCGGCAGCCTCCGGAACATTTCTCCCGATACGGATGTACCATAAATAACGAGATTCAAAGAATTAGGGCGAACGCAGGACACGCAACACGCGCACTTAAGATTGTAAACGTCCCGCTGTACACCGCTTTGAAATAAGGAGACGGATAAATCTCGAGTCCAGCTCCTCGGCTGTTTCAAGATCCCGTCGTTCCGCTTATTCGCAGAATTCCGAATAAACGCCAATTACCTAGACCGCTCTGGCGAAAGGCGTACTCGATTTACGAGTATATGTTTATTAACATAATTCTCCAGCTGCATAACAACGTTTTTGCTAGTATAATACATGGCATTCCGTCGGTCGGTACAAACGCGCGTGTTTTAAATAACATCTGTGTATAGGATTCACTTTCAATTAGTTACAACGAGGTACAGCGAGAGTGCACGTCACCACAGGGTTACAATTAAAATGTGCAATTACCGATCGTACGTGGTCATACATCGCGTTCCTTAAACGAAGTGATATACCGATAAAAAGTGAAATATAAAAATGCGCTGCATTTGTATAAGACTCTTACGCGTTTAGTCGCGATCGCTGTACGGATATTAAGTTAGAATCCGTTGCTGCTATAACACGCACGGTACGCATACCGTGCGTGTACGCTGTCTTTAAATTAGGCACGTCGTAAGACCATACCGAGACTCTCGCCTAGGAGGAGAAAATAAGTAAGATGAAGAGTGCCTGCATCTACATCGGGAGGTTTGGTCTTCGAACTGATCACCGAACTCTGCACCAGCAGTTATGGAGTGTGGCTTAGTGAGGGCTTCGAAATACTGGCGTACCACACCGTCGAATCGTCGCACATAGTTTCATTCATGATCTTCCTTCGCGAGTGTGTATATATATTTCCCTTTTCCTTTTCCTCGTAACTTGACTATGACTAGCATTTAGAAAGCGAGACCAGCCTCGGAGTACGTAGTGAAGATCTTCTCAATCGAGTTGGCGTAAGCGGCCGTCCTCAGGTCGAGACCGAGGTCGAATTTCATGGCAGTCTTCATGATGGCCTGTAAATTGACGTTTAGAACGATTAGCCCGTGAATAATGCACGCCAACACGGTGTACGCCTATCGATTACCCTTGCAGATCGCTCCATGGTGTAGTCCAGGCCGGAATGAACAATGTCCTTTTCGGAAGCGCCGGCGATACGCTTTTGGAAAGCTTCGGATGGCGTCACTGGAATGCGACCCCCCACGCGGCCAAATCTGCGTTCCAAAGATTCTTGAACCGATTCTGTTGGTCGTAGAAAATAACAGAAATCGTTAAGTGTTTACCAGCCAATAACGGTAACGTGAACCAAGCTCCTTACCCAGCAGGTGAAGGTTGGACTCTCTCTCGTACTTAAACGTGAGACGTCCATAAGACACGTGATTAAGATTCTTGAGCCACTCGAAGAACGACACCGTGACACCACCGGCGTTGATGTAGAGATCAGGGATGACGAGGATGTTCCTCTTAATGAGAATCTCATCAGCGGCAGGGGTTGTAGGTCCGTTGGCAGCCTCGGCGATGATCTTCGCCTGTTGGAATAAAATATCGTTAACCACGAGTCTCGTGAGACGGTATTTAAAAAAAATATATATATAAACTTCTCTACCTTGATGAGTCCAGCGTTTTCCTTAGTGATGACCTTCTCAATAGCGGCGGGAATGAAAATGTCGCACGACTCGTACATAAGGTTCTCGCCTTCGTATGGCTTGGCACCCGGAAAGCCGACGATACTGCCGGTTTCAATGCGGTAATCCTCCAGTTTCTGTTACGCAAGGCAGGAAGACCATGTTTAGGTAAAAAGAGACCTATCATCGGAAGTCAAAGTAACGGAAATGATAACGCCTAGGCAGAGATTGACTTTACCTTGGGGTCAATGCCCTCGGGATTGTAGATAGATCCGTCGTGTTCGATAACCCCGATACAAGTGGCACCGGCGCGATGCAGATAACGCATCGAGTGCAATCCGACATTACCAAAGCCTTGAACGATGAAGGTCTTGCCACCCCAGCCAGGTGTAGTGCCTGCAATAGCGTCACGTGTACATTATCACGTGCAACCAGCCGAATAGATTTTTAAATACGATCGCATGACTTTCGAAGTTCATCCGCTTTATCAATATGGATAGTCTACCGATTATGCTCATGTAATTAGCCTCGTTAATGAAGTTCTCCAGCCCGTGGAAGACACCGCGACCCGTGGCGGAAATTCGCCCGTGGATGCCACCTTGATTGATCGGTTTCCCCGTGACACACGCGTGTGCATTGATGTCCAAGTGGCCTATTGTCTTCGCGTATGTATCCGCGATCCAGGACATCTCCCGTTCCCCGGTTCCCATGTCGGGAGCGGGCACATCGACGCCGGGTCCTGGAAATTCAAATTACGATTAATATGATTAACGATCATGGATCATAAACTGGGTTTCCAAGATAACCAACGACTGTACCGATGAATCCTTTCTTGGCCATTTCCAGAGTGAACCTCCTGGTGATCTTCTCGAGCTCGTGCTCGGAGTACGCTTTGGGGTTGATTTTAATGCCGGCCTTGGCGCCTCCGAAAGGTACGTCCACGCAGGCGCACTTAAAAGTCATCAAAGCGGACAAGGCTTTCACCTCGTCCCGGGACACGTCCATGGAGAAACGAATACCTGAAAAAGAGAAGCGGGGCTAAAATCAATTTCCTTAAGACACAGGACAAGAACCTCGCAAACCATTGTTCCGCCTCTAGGGTCCGCTCGAGAGGAAACAGAGATTAAATTCTCACCCCGGAATGAACGATCAGAAGCCGACGAAAGCAAGACATCCCACCGACAAAGGGAAATAAATTAATTCGTAATATAATTAAAAATATAAGAAATCCAGGACACCACGAAACGGATCTAATTCAGGAATAATTAAACGAGACGACACACGTCGCTATGAATTTGACGCCAAGGTTGATTACGCTCTCAACAATTAGGGAACATAACATCGTTTACGCAAGCAGAAAGATCCTGTTTATCCGCCGATCCACCGCCGGAGGCTCGCTCCGGCTGGAATAAATTAAAGTCCTTCCTCTCATTAGCGGCTTTAACGACGTTGCGAGGTTTTCTCCTTGTACCCTATCCAGGATTGTAAATGTCATCGAAGTCGACCCCGTGACTTCTCCGGTGTAAAATTATCCTTGGTCAACACCCACGACTCGCTCTAGGATCTATTTCGAGGGGAAAGTCTGGCACCGGGCAGCATCCCTAGCCTGCATCTGGCAGGAAACAATATCGGTTAGAAATAATGCAACTATATGTAGAGTGCATAGCGTGACACACGACGTGTGTCATCGACCACCGGTCATTACTCACGCGAAGTGTACCGTAAACGTCACCTGAGAGTCTTTCAAACGAAGACTCGACCTTTTACAAATATATATTTTTAAATCCCCATTTTTCCAGGAATTATTCCTCCCCGCCAAATGACCAAGTCCTCCCGTATAAGATCGCGGGAAAAAAATTAATTCTTCGACATTTACAAGTATATCCGCCAACTTATGAAACGATACGATAAAAAGTTATTATGAAATCAATGTTGATCGGGAATTACGCATCTCGTTAAGTCTTCGACTCTTTGATTACATCCATGAAGGGAATTCTTTCAACTATAACGTCGGTTCTGGTAACAAGTGATCGACAAGAATCATGGGATCGTTCGATCGATCTTCGGTGAGGGTCACGTGACGATGACTAATTCGCACGTCTGTTTACGCTGCAGATAAGGGGCAAGGCTTGCCGAGCGTGCCAGAACGAGCCTCCTCCTCTATTTATAAGGCGAGACCATCGGGCTGTGATTGTTCGCAAAGGCCCGCGAAGAATCAAGACAGGTGGAGACCTTTCCGGGTGGCCCGATAAAAGAGTCACGCGAAAGAACGCGTGATGCGGCCAGGTCATACCACGGAATTCAAGGCCACTGGAGATTAAATTACGGCAAATCGAGGAGACGAGCCGATAAACATGTCCTGGACCAAGGCATAATTTCGTGCAATTCATCTTTATACCCCTTCGCTAAGACATATTTTAATTACTACAACGCCCACGTGGCATAGAAACCGCGACCTACGCCGCAAACGAATTCTTTTCTATCCGTAACTGTGCAATCGTTACATCACCGAGGATACAAATTACCTAACGCATGCAGATATCATCCGTGAAATAAAAAAAAAAAAAATAAAGAAAAAGAAAATAAAATAATAAAAACGTAACGTAAATAAATGAGCGTCTTTTCTTCCACTTCGGGTTCTACTCGGGAGACGAAAGAAGACCTTCTACTTGTTGCTTTAATTTTATCGATTTATCCCTTCGGGTCCTTCGACCTGTAACGGGACTGCCGAGAAAGCGGCAAAAACCTTTGTCGAATCGAACCGTTGGAGAAATCCCTCCCTCTCTCCTTCGACACGCTCGCATTCTCGACCGTCTTTGTGTGTACGTGCTTCGCCGAACCTTTCCAAAGTACTTTCGAGCCTGTTACTTCCCCACGGAGGTACCGATGTCCGAGAACCTTAGAGACCCGCAAACGAGTCTTACTTTCATTTATCAAACGCATTTTCGAGCGGCAATCGTTATCTCGAGCCGAACCCAATTTCCGCGCATCTACCAAACGTTTGCGATAAAGTCCATTTAGCGAGCAATATGTCAAATGTAGGATAAACATACCAACTTTGAAATGCAGTAAACGTCGGCCAATTTTACCGTCAGGGTCTTGCAACTCTCCTAAGGCAGCTTGAATTTAAAATCTAGGAATTTCCGTCGAGGGGAAAAAAAAAAACCATCCACGTAAAAACTTCGCGATGAGAAATTCCTTGGCTTAAAAATATCCCTGAATATTCAAGAAATATATTCCCCGCGAAGAAACAAATTAATTGCTAATTAAACCGTGTACTCTCCGGCACTTTCGATCGCTTCATACCGCCTTATTCTTAATATTCGCTATTATTCCTAAATTAATGACATTCTCAAAATTCACTGCCAGGAGAATTTGAGAGTTAAAAAGAAAAATTTAAGTAAATAGAAATGGACTCCAGTGAGACTCGTTTAACACGTCAGCGGCATTATTCACGACCCTCGTGACGGTATGATTTAATTAACGACACGAGATACGCGTGAGAGGCTACAATAAACGGGTCGCTCGATGTACAGTCTCGAAGAAGTGAAGTTATCCTCTCAACTTCCTCATTTCAATGCGTCGTTTCGCCTCGCCTTGGCACCGGGGGGGAATAAATATTTAATTTCGCAGACCGGTAAACCGACCGCAACGAGATGACGTCGATCGACCCAGACCTCCTCTCAATGTACGACAAATTCCTGCGAGATTACCTCGTCATGTACACGCACACAAGACTGGACGGTACATTGATCCCACTAGATCCACGTGTCTACGCCAACGTATGTACAATGACCTCGCATAATGCTCTTTAACGTAATCCTCGCAAAGAGGTTTTCACGCAGCTTGTGTGGATGAAGGAGAAAAAGAAAAAAAATAAGAAAAGTACACATACGACGCGAAGACGCGCCTCCGATTCGTCACTAAGGTCACTCTCTGACGTAACGGGATGCGCTCGATTTACAGGACTAATAAATAAGTTAACAGCTGAGAGATAATCTTATGAGACCCGACGATGACTATATACGGATTCGCTGCGAGGTTATAACAAATTGACGTCGGTACCACGCTATAAACTAATTGTTTTGCCACTCCGCTGTAGATGGGCGTGCAGGGGCGGCCTTCAAACTTTTCGGGCCATGGACGAGACTCGAGGCTTCTCGAGACCGCGGAATCGGTCCGACCTAATTCCCGGTGCAGATTTTAGAAAGCCATTCCCGACACTTTTCCATCTGCCCAACGCTTGCGGATTTCTCCACGGAGCTCCGGGAACCTGGCTTACGGCATCATTTCAGAGCTCCGATATTTATGGTCTGACAAACAGCATGGAGAGAGACAGAGAGAGAGAGAGAGAGGGAGATCCTCTGTAAAAATAGATAAATCTCGGAAAGCTACAGGAACCCGGCGAGAGCCTCGAAGAGGCCAAACACGTGACGGCTCTTATATAATTCCAAATGTTGATAAGACCCTCGCCGCCCAATTGCCTGCTGAATTGTGATAATGATGATACACCTCGAATATTTTTAAAAAGAATAGGGACGAAGTATATTCTAAGCGAAAAAGAAAAATTCGCTAGAGAGAATAACTTGGAGTAATCATGATTAATGGATACGGAATGGAGATATTTTTAACGGTGAAGAATTTTTAATGGTTAACCGGTCATCGTATTCTCTCCTTTTTAGACGGGCCATTTTGGAGCCAACAATAAGGCGAGCCAAAAGTTCCCGCCCACTTTGTTACAGAGTCGTGCAAAGTATGCCTTCGTGTTCAGTGTCAACAATGAAACCGTTCCTGAATATTGAGGCAATCGGCGCTCGATTGAATTAATCGAGTCGTTCGGTTCACAAGACGAAGGCGTCATTTTTCTAGCAACGTTTCCCTCGACGATTTGGCACGAATTAGGTTAGAGTCTCTGGGTAAAATATTGGAAGATATATGACTGGTACGAGGGCTCCGGTGTCACGTGCCACCGAGCTATAACACGTACAATGGCTTTCATTGCTCGCATTACACCTCTCGGAAAGAATGCCCGGCATGGACAGAGCACGCGACAAAGATGGCGAACATTTTCGAGGAACATCCATGCCGCGCAAAACTTCCTCGTTCCGGCATCGTTCCACCGGGCCACCACAAATTTCCCCGTCTCGAATCACGACTCTATATAAAAATTCAAAATTTCGGGCTCTGGATATTCGCTCACTCTCCACGGTAGAAATCGCCATTCATAATGCCTGCACGTCCCTCAAGCACATGTAGACACGAGAACGTTCTCGACATTTTCATTCAGAAGCGACGTATTCTGCAAGACCCGTGCTACTCCTACAGACTATCTCCTCGGGGATACTTTCCTACCCGGGACCTAAAACCAACACAACTAATAAGTATCATCACCACCGCGCAATATCCTTCAACAGCAGATTACTCCGAAATCGACTTTTTCTTCCAGACAAACGGTCGCCATTAATAAAACATAAAAATCCATTCTCAAGCCTCACCGTCAGTATTTAAATATAAATCCCTTCCCCGCCGGCTTTAAACGTCAAAAAGACGTGATTTAACTCCAAAATTGAGGAATTGAGTATGAAGTACCAAATCGTTACAGCTTACACGCGTATAACGTACGTTTCGCACACGTGCCATGCTCCACCTCTCTCCCTCTCTCTCTTCCGCTTATCTCGCCTCGATATTAGAATTCCCTGAAAAGCATATTTTTCCCAGGAAGCAGGGTGGCCTTTTCCATGGGGAGAGGGTACAGGGACGAAGGAAGAAAGCGACGTTACCAACCTCCCTTGCAGGGTGTCCGATGCGTGGAGTGCTGAGCACGGTACCCAGTGATCATCTCGTAGTCCCCGGAGTCGCGTCTCAGAGGGAAGGTGGTCTCCAGGATGTGGTCGCAGGGTTGCATAAGCATGAGGATGCCTTTGACCTTCTTCTTGCGGTCCTCGATGCTCGTCTTGGAGCCCTTGCCAATGTCCTCGACGAGCTTGTCCTCGACGATCTGGCACGCCCGGTGGAAGAAGTACTCGACCATGTCGAAGAACCTGGGGTTCCCGGAGGTGCGGACGTCGACGAGTCGATCGGGGATCTGGTGGTCGGCGTAGCCGCGCGTCTGCAGGGTCGCGGGGACGACGCAGCGCGCCAGGGCAATCTGAGCCTCGGCACCCTGCAGGGCCTGCTTCAGGGCCGCGGATCGTGCCGCGCGCTTCAGGTGGAACATCTCGGGACCTGCCTCGAGACTCTCCGGTCCAGTCGACCTGGGCTACCGCGAACACGCTCTCCACTTACCGAACCACAGCGCCGACCAACCACGACCGACGACCAGCGACTGACCGATCTCCGTGTCTCCCTCCGATCAGCTCTGGCCCGTCCGCGCGCCCCGCCCGATTAAATATGACCTCCTCGGCGCTACCAACCCAACGGGGCAACTTCCACCGTCCCCCACCTGCTCCGTCCCATGACTGCGATTTTCCACGAAAAACCCTGAAAATTAACGACTCTTAGTCCTCTCATGAATTCGAAACGAGTAGAAATTACCTTTCCTACGCTGCAAGGCTCTTTACGGACCTTATGGCTTGACGTGAACCTTTGTCCACCGGCAGGTGATCTGGAGTCGTGTAGGATGGAAATTCAAAATGGACGCCGGGCGTCATGGCTCACCTCAGCGCGAGGAAACTCGTAACACTTGGGTTTATTCCCATCGGGGATGTATATATTCTGAAATTTATTGAAGGAGATTTAGTATTTTCACGGAAATGGAAAGGTACGGCTGATAGCAGTTAGCGGTTTCAATTTCGAGCGCGACAAGTTCAGCCAACATGGCGGACGAAACGGACGACTCGGAGGGCGCGCTTTCTTGCGGGTATTTCTTTCGCGATATTTTGTGATGTCTTACGTGTTGGATTTATTTAGTCTTGTGGGGAGAATTTATGTATGTTTAATCGATGGGTTCGGAACGTAAGTTGGGTCAGGGGAATTTAGAAACAATGGGAGGTTTAAATCCAACGCGGGAGTGTGCCGAGCCAAGATGGCGGCCGGACGTTCAGCGGAGTCTCACTGACCGCGTCGGGGGTCGTCCCACAGAACGCGGCGAATTGACGCGTTAGATAGGAACGACCAATCGGAACTGCGCAGGAAGTGACGCATGAGACTTAAGGCCATTTCAATTGGTTGATTATACTTGAAGAGTTCACGCGTCGCGCTCTGTGCGACACCCGACGCGCTTGGTGGGACTTCGGCCATGTTTCCTCGTCGCGCTGGGCTCCCTTCGTACCCTCCCCTTTTGCTTCGAAGCGCTTGCTTCCGACACTTGTGCGGCGGTCCGTGAGGTCCGTCCAGTACTCCCTTGGCTCGCACGTGAGCTCGGTCCTCAGAAATCAATGAACGATAAAATCCCTCGCAATGTGGAATTTACAAGCAACGGATGGTAGGACATTTAAATAATGAAACAATAACGCGATCCGGTTCGCTCGCGGAGTGAATAGAGCAGCTGACGGACTCGGGCATCTGCGAGGGGACCATTGCATAAAATACGTTGCTAGGAAGACGCTGAAACCTTTTTTCCACTAGAGTCGTTAAGTAATTTCCATCGTTCCCGCGAAGGGTCTTCACTGTCGGGCTTTAAAGTTTCGCGAAGGAAATCCAGATTTTCACCTCGGATTTCCTCATACCAGTTGTACGCGACTCAAGGACGACTAGTAAGTCAACTTATATACTTTGGAGGTATTATAATTTCTTACCGCTGGCTCGAAAATGCGGAAATTTTTAAGAAAAAAATCCCGTGATTCGCAGGGACGGACGCTAAAAGAGTATTAGTTGGGAGCGTTCCAGCTGTGACGGATAAATTGGAGGAAATCGTAGGACGTCGTTCGGTAGGTGTCTTGACCTCAGCAGTCGCTCAGCTGGCATTGGCAACATGTCGGTTGTGGATAAAATACAGCATTATCAACGCAGTATTGAAAGATGCTCCGGCGACGAGAAAAGGGTGAGCGATTGCCGTTGCAGCGATTTTTGGATGCTCTTTCATGCTAGAATCATGATTTCCATAGTCTGGGCGAGATCATTTAAGCTGGACGAACATAACCTATAACACGTCGATCGCACGGCTGTCGACTCCTTGAGATTTAATTGTTCTCTTTAATTACCTCGATATTTGTTGAAGGTTTTGTTTCATCGAACGCTAGGATTCCTGGTTTAATGCGAATTTATGTTTTTGTTTAGTTGAGATTCAATTTCAGAGGGTGTTCGATGAAACATCTGGTACACTTGGGAAGAAATAAATTATTTTATGGAACTATAAAAAATAGTTGGACTTGTGAATCTTATAAAAATATTGTATTTAGGTGTTGTACTAGGTTTTCGATTAATTTCTAAAATTGAGACTTTGCTGCTCAAATTAGTAAAACCGATTTTTTGTGATTTCTATTTTAGATGATGCATTGCATCTCGAAATTGTACAACTTGCCTGTGACGGTACAGCACCTCCAAGTGACGGGTGTAGGTCGTACAGTAAATGCATTGCGAAAATATGATGGCGACGTAGGAGAAGCTTCTAAGGCATTGGTAGCTAAGTGGAAAAGCATGGTAGCAGATGAAGATTCTAGCGAAGCAGACGAAGAAGACGAAGGCTGTGAACCAGATGCTTCAGATACTTATGACGATAGTGCCGAATCTCCCAAACATAATAAAGTCATAAATATGGATAAAAAAGAATCAAGGTATACGTATAAAACATAGGTATAATTTTATTATTTTCGATTAAAACATTGAATACTTAATCATGTTTGTTTTAGTCAAAAGAATCAAGAAGCACGGGAAAGACATAAGAATATTACAAATAAAAGTGATTCATCCAAACATAGTTCAAAAAATGCAAGTTCAGAGAATGTAAAAGCTAAAAATAATGAAAATAAATCACCACCGACAAAAAGTCAAGAAAACCAAGAGGGAAAACATGATTCTAAACATGCCAAAGATCGGCACGATTCCAAACATAGATCTAAAAGTGAGGAAAAATCAAAAAGTGCCAGTAACCCAAAAAGTGATTCAGACTTTAAAGATAAAAAATATGAGTCAAAAGATAAGAGCAAAGTTAAATCTGAGGATTCGCGAAAAGATATAGGAAAAGTTTCTAGTAGTAGTAGTAGTGGATTAAATAAACAAGTCGTAGAAAGTAACGACGATTCTAGAAAAAGAAAAGTAAGCTCTTCTAGTGATAGGCATTTCAAGAAGAAAAGGAGAAGCGATGAAGTAGAAAATGTAGATGAAATTGAGAATCAGCAGTCAAATTCGGAAGAAGATGATTTCACAGCCCTGCCAAATGTGAGTCAAGAGTCAGAGTCTGAGGAAGACGTTTCAAATATTTGTATTAAACAAGAACCGTTATCACCTTCACCCAAAGCTACAAATGAATTGCATGATCATAAAAGTGAAGACAAAAATATGAAAGACAAATCTAAGGATAATTCTGGTAAGTCAAAATCAAGTAAATCTAAATCCACGAATGAAGACGTTAAGAAACATGAGAATAGTAAACACAAAGATAAAAGTAGTAAGTCAGATGACCATAGAAAAAGTGAAAAACGAAAAGAAGAGTGCCATTCTTCCACTAAAGAATCTAAGTCAAAAAATCAACCTAGTTCCTCTAGTATTGAAAGTAAAAGTAAAAGTAGCGAAAAACATCACAATGAGAAAGATGAAAAAAGCAGGTCATCGAAGGATGCTAATAAGAGTAATACAAAGGAATTAAAAGAAAAAAAGAAAGTGAAACAAGAAATCAATGGGGATGAAGGCATAGACTGCTATTCTGGTAAATATTTATTTAAATTTGTTTTAACTGTCTTAAGTATTGTTGTCAGACACTGCCATTTAATTATTTAGGTGCAAGTTTTGCAGAGGCTTTAGGCATGTGTACAAAGTCACTGAATGTTCGAAAGCGAAATAGTTCTCCAGTATTGGTTAAAACGATTAAAACCGAACCAGGAACTTCAACGGTATCAAGTAGTCGGTCACCTATGAAAGTGAAGACAAAACCTACGTCCAGTACCGATGTCAGCGTAAGTACTTAGCAAACTACAAGATCAGAATTTTTTACATTTCTGGAAATTTTGTATTAAAATAATATTTAAACAAATGTGTTTCAGGAACCGCTGTCCCTTTTAGGACCAAACGTGAAATTGGAACCATTAAGTGTAGACTTAGCATCCACATTACCAGAAATAAGTCCAAATTACAAGCCTCTGCCTCACATCACTCCTGTTCACCGCAAACAGGAAGAGGACACAGCTCTTACTAAAGTGATATATGCTAAGAATCAAAGGTATTAAAAAATTCATATGCAAAATTTAATTTTTTTAGGTACTTCCGTTCAATATTTAATGTACATATTCTCTACAGGACAAAGGTATTTTCCGGAAATAAGACAGGATATACAATTGTGCCTACCCTTTACGAATTATGTATTAGAGTGCTGATAGAAAACATTGAAGGTATGTATTGTAGTTTTTAACGTTAAGCATTAAAGATGGGTTAAGAAATTTTAATAAAACTTAGTTCCCTATTTGCATATTCATTTTAATTAACATCTGCGTTTTAATTTATAGCACTTGAATTTACTGGAGGAGTACCGTTTTATATATTGAAACCAGTGTTGGAAAGAGCGACGTCGGACCAATTATTTATGTTAGAACACCATAATCCGTACCTGGTCGAAGATACGGATGCCTTATGGCAATTCCACTGCAATCGAGAGTTTAGAAATAAACAGCGTGAGGAAATGGAAACCTGGCGGGAGATGTATATGGTAAGAATACAATTTTGCAACTTGTGCGAGCATGGACAGTGAGTAAGAAATTTTGCGATGAATAATATTAATTTATTTATTTAAAACAGCGTTGCTTAGATGAAAGGGAGGCTAAATTGAAGGCACTAACGGCGAACATTAAACAGTCCATCGATAACTCACTTCCAGTAAGATCGACCAAACTTGCGTATGTGGACAACGTTGTGAAACCTCCACGTAATGTTCTAAGAAAGCAAGCGAAATACGGTACAGCAAAAGCGACGCCAACATCTACCTCAGATCTGAAGAACAAATTGATAATGGGTGGTGGAAACAATGCTGCGACCAACATTTCTGTTCCGCCACCACCTATGTCTCGAATAAAAACTTCAAGTAAGTAACTCGAGTCTGCGTACTCGCATCTTGTATTTCTAACGTTTTAACACTTCTACGTGTTTAAATTGCAAGATTAATTTTTTCCATTCACTGTTCCATTTATTTTCGTAGCGTCCACCATAGTAAAGAAGACGAAGGCTCCACTCATGGCGAAGGCGCTTCAATTAATAAAAGGACGTTACAAGCGGTAGATATGGTACAAGTTGCAGCTAGGATTTCTGAACTCAGAATCTTTAGTTAATTTATTTTGTCATAGATCCCGCTCGGTTAATATGTTTGTCAATTGTAGTATCGAAATTGCTGGGCTGTTTTCAGCCACGATTTGTACATACAGTTCTACTCGAGGTAGAGAATTTTTACATATTTCGAGTAATGAATTTGATCAAACGTCTATAAATACCCGTTACGATTTAGCGTTTTACTCGTATCAAGATCTGTACGATATGGAACCGAATAGATATACTTAAGTAAAGTTGAAATTAATTGCCGTTATTGTAATTGCTTGCAATCGAAGCTTTTCAGCGAATTTCTGGAATACGTAATCGCGCAAGCAGTGTATATTTTTTCCTCATTTATTTTTTTACTTTAAACTAGTGACTAAAAAATAAATCGTGTACAGTTCTATCGTATTTTTACGGTATCGAATAAGAAACATTCGTTTTTTACTTACCGTTTCAAGCCATCTAGGTGATATAAATACGAAATCGTAGTGAACTGTAATCGTTGTATGAATATATATTTTTTTTTGCTTGATTTGTTCTCACATGTGAATTCAATATAAAAAAATTAGAAGGATTATCTTAAAGTAAATTAAAACGAGGAATCATATACACGATACATTCAACGTCACCTAGGTTATCTCGAAACCGTTTGTCAAGGTATCGATGTCAACTATTTAGTCTTTTAAGTACCTATTTTTTACTCAGTTTTTTTTTTTAATTCTCTTTGAATGCAAACAATGACACCGGTATTACGACGTTATATTAAACGTTATACATAAGATATAACTCATCCATTGATGAAATCTAAAAACGTAATGTTTTCAACGATTGGGAAGCCTTAGTTACTCGTCCAGGTAGTTTTCGAATATTTGTACATATGAGACAGAACAATGGCTAGGCATGTAAACGGGAAGCGACCTTTAAGATCTCGTTTCACTCTTGCATTTAAAACTTCCTCTTATGAGTCCCGGATTATGATAAGTATCAAATCAATAGCGAATTGAATGATTGTCACGAACAAATGATTTTAAAAATGTATTTGCATGGTTCAAATGTCCTTCTCGAACAAGATATGTTAATTATCAGTCTAAAATAGTTGGCCACAAATTAAGACTTTAATTATCCGATCAAACCTTATATCACAGAACAAATACAGGGTGATTTTTGTTTAACATCATGTATTCATTACGATGGAGCATTGTGAACTTCTTTTCCCCATTTCCTCTTTTTAATAATGGAACCCTGTTATCCTTCACCATATTATATAAAATTTTCAATCGTGAACAAGTGGCTTGTAATTATTAATTCAGGCATTAGAATTATTTTGTTCGGTACATCGCACGTTTCAACACTTGTGTTATGTAAAGGTTTAAATAAAAATGTACATTGCGATACTAAGACCTGTGTACATAACTATACAACGCAGTTATGGCAACGTAACAATCAGTCGATACGAAAAAGAAATTATTACAAGGACTGGTTTACATTTTTACAGAACAATCTTTACATTATAATGGCAAACATGTGCAAAGTGTTGTTCAAGGAATGCGTCAACACTTAGCATTGCCAATTAAATTATACATCATAAATTCAGTGAGCAGTTTAAATATAATGTTTTTGAGAATAATATAGACGAAATTATAAAAAAAAGTGCGTGGAATTTTATTATTCTGGATTGAAAAAATTATTGTACTAGACGCCGAGGTAGTTTTCGCACATTCTCGTTACATATTGATATTGACGGATACGCGCATTTATTAAATATATAAAATATGCGGATTGTGGTCGGAAATTACGCATGTATTCATTTTCTAATACAGTAAAAGTTCGATAATCTCACATTCATCCGTTTCGTACGTCAGCGATGATGTAGCAACACTAGCATATACAAACTTTTCCTTCCTTTAAGTATCCCATCATTGCTCTATGTGATTTGTATAATTTAAACAATTTCACGCACTCCAAATTGCCGAACTTCCACTGTATTTGCATTCGAGTGCCTAATAATAATACTTATTGCATAGTTTACCAACATCCTTCCATATACAATACCGTAACAACAAAAGGTAACAGTTTACAGATAACAATTTGTCGACAGTTAAAACTGTTATACTTTTACTGCCGAAACTTTTGCCTTTTCTATAAACGTTTTATGCTACTTCCTCAGTCCTAACATCATTTATTTTAAGCGGTAGAATACCATGAGAGATCTCATTTAACCGTGAATTGTTTGTGACGATCAGTACATTTAGTAAAATTATTAAAACATACCAAATATGCGTGCAGAGGGCATGCACCGCAGGCATGGGATTTGTTTAAATAAACGTATAAAACACTTGAAGGAAAAAATCACTTTTTAGATAAAAATAAAACTTGTCCGGACTACTAAATTAACTAACATAAATATCCCGACTTTGATCATTTGATTTGTTAATATTGCTTGGAAGTGTACAATTTTAATAATGCTAATAGAAATATCAGTAAACTAGGGCAGTATTTGCAGACATTTAAGCCCGGTTATTCACTTTACAAAAATGAGCTCTTTAAGTATTGAATAAGTAGATATTTCACGCGTATTAAACGAGTTATGTTACAAGGAATTCTTCTATTCACACCTTGGAATTTCCCCTTTGTCAATTGTAGCAGAGTGGAAAAGTTTCCGAGTATTTCCTATTGAACGCGATCGATATAAAAATCAAAATGCTACAATTCTAAAATAATCCTGAGGAATTAAGACCTAATCGTAACTGCTAGTATAAATATAAATTATATATTAAAAAAGGAAGAAGCGGGCTTACGATTTAAAGACGAATAAATCCGTTTTGTTTGAATGGCTGAAAATTTAATTATGTTTAATAATTAGGCCTATACTGTTCCGATACAAACGAGGGAATTATTTTTATGGTAGTATCGAAGTGAAAGGATGCTTGAGCAATTTGTCGAATACGTTTGGCAACTGCCTACATCTGACTGTACATTTGTTGTCTCACTGAAAAATCAAATGCATCAAAGAACAATTTTAATCCTGCTTTAAATTTTAATGGTTACGTGAAACTTACCCAGAACCGATGCTGATATACTCTTGCGTTGACCACAATCGAACTACCCCATCCAGGCTGGCACTTGCGATGAATTGTCCATCAGGGCTCCAGTCCAAGTTCATTATTGTATCTTGGTGACCTTTAAGCTCGGTTAGCAATGCATTTGTGGCCAGATCCCATATCGAAACACATTTATCGTCGCCTAAAGTATGACATGTTTACCAAATTAATGTTATTATGTGAAAAATGAATTAAAGCACAAGGCAATATATTTTTGCTCACCGGCAGCTGCTAAGTATTTCCCATCTGGACTGAACACTAAACTGTAGATAGTTGACTGAGCACCAACGTAGACTCTCAAAAGGTTACCATCGTCTTTACTCCAAAGCCTAACTGTCTTATCAGCCGAACCAGTGGCTATATATCGAGCATTTGGGTGAAATCTTACACTCTGCAAAATGTAATTCAATTCTTGACAATATAGCTTTTAATCCAAGTTACACTTTTGTGATTTTTTAATTAAATTCAACTTACATTTACATCAAGGAAGTGTCCAGCGAAAATTCGAAGAGGAAACGTTCTATCTAACGACCATAATTTCGCGGTTCGATCGTGAGATCCAGTCGCTATGTAAATGTTGAACACACTAGTATCCATACACCATATAGGGTAACTGTGACCACTGGAAGTGTTAATATTAATATCAACTTCTAAACGAAACCCTATTACTCACTGGTGATTAAGAATACATACTTATATACCGCTGCACAAGAATAATCGTTAAGTCGCCATGCTCTCATTTCCTTATCACTGGATACAGAAACAAGAATGTCTGATTCAGCAATGAATCGTAAATCGTGTACTACATCTGTATGTCCCCTTAAGACAATGGCACCTGCTTCATCCCTTAAACAATTGACGTAATTTTTAAGCATCATGCACTTTTATTTATGAACATAAGTTAGAAAACTCATACCCATCGCCAAACTCTTCCGGAGGTCTACTCGTCGATGGAGAATCTATAGCAAGATTAAGAGATGACGATCTGTATTTTGGCCTCATTAGTACGGTATCTCCAATACCCCATAATCTAATCTCCGCCGTATTGAAACCCACAGCTAACCTATCCATATTAGGTGAAATTATACCACAGCTGGCACTGTTGAAAACGATAAAAAAAATTAATATTTACCATAGTTGACGGTTGTAGGTTTGTTCTACTGTTGATCGAAGAAAAAGATACAAAGAAACATCTTACCTTTCAATTGCATTATTAACCGTGAATATTCGTAGTGGCTGATGGGCATTGTTTCGGATCAACCGAATAGCTTCTTGTAACTCTCGCATTTCACGATCGACACCAGTGCCAGAAGGCTGTTCTACGTGGCCATTAATACCAATATCATTCCTTTGACTTTTTTCACTACCTGTCTCTTCATCCGATGGATGCAGCTCCATTATCCGTTTTATAATAGTAATATGTGTATTTATAACCTAAATAAAATGACCAACTCTAAATGAATTTAAAAGAAGCAAGGATCTAAGAAAAACAACTTCTAGAATTGATTAGAACAAGTCAAGAGATGCAAAAAGTACATAATTACGCTTATCAATATACTATACCTGCATCAAAATTACGTGACCATGTTTGGTGAGAAATTTCTGTAGGCAGATATGTGCTTCGTCGGACATATCCACTTTGTACTTCCTGGTTCTGAATGCATTGACTAATGGCCTTAATTCAATATCTTGAACAGAGTATACACTAGATAATTTCTCTAAAAAGTCTCTCTCTGTATCGGAGAGAAAGTCGCTTTGGTGTGTTTTCAAAAACTGTATCGCAGCTTGCTTGTCACCACCGTGAAGCATTTCTAAGTATAAATGGCAGAACACGGGATACAGCAATCCTCGCAATTCGATTTTCAACTTGTCATTAACTATAGAATTCACCCACATTTTCAACCTGTAAACGAATGCCTGTTAATTCGATGTTTTAACGTACATTGGATCTTTCGTTTCTCTCAATGCAGCTGATTTCATATAAATAAATGAATTAAAAATAAACTATGAATAAAGTGCCCTATTTATATAATTGACCTTGAATGAACAAACGCTGATTTTGTAAAGACAATACCTTTGATAGCTCTGGTCAGCAGCAGCAACATCATTGACAATAGCACTAAAGACAATCGAATTATCACGAGATGAGCCGCACTCAGCAGTCGCACTTAGGGTCATTTCTTCACTCGTTTGACTATTAGTTCGTTCGAATTTTCTAAACAGTTCTCCGTCCTACAGAAGTAATAAACATTTAGAGAGGTTAGGTTACTCAGTGATAGCGTCGTGTTTCCACCGACTTTGGCAATTCTTTATTGAGTCAAACCTGATATCGACGCCGCTTCAGATAAGACTCAAGCGTGGTGTTGATTATGTCAATTTTCGAACGTTTCATCTTCATTTGATCGCGGGTCGGTGGACGCTTTGTATTTTGAAAACACGACCCCTCTCGACGTCGGCATTGACGCCATCACGTATGTATGACTGCAACGCGCCGACCATATGTTGACAGTCATCAAATAATTGACAGCTGTGACCGATCGCTAGAATGAATTCTGTCGGATCTCGCCTAAGCCGGTGAACATCTAAAAAGGATCTTAAATTAAGCATTTAATCGACGAACCGCGTTTTAGGTAGTCAGCATGCGCCTAATCAACTTTGGTGGGTAAAAAATCATAGCCACTTACAAAAGATAGCCAATCATTGGTTGCCAGACTCCGGAGGATTTTCTGACGCATGTGCACAGGAATCTTTTACCCAGCGCCACTAGCGGATGGAATTAGAATTACAAGGTAAAATGCGGTCTCATCTTTCTCCATAGAATGATTCCCTTCTAGTCACGTTTTCATTCATAGGTTTAAATAAGCGGCAAGGCGGTGCAAAGCATGTAAATATTTATAAATAGTTTATAAATAAATATTATAGATAGTGTAGATAAACTGAAGTGTCAAAATGGTACGAAAATTGAAATACCATGAAGAGAAGCTGTTGAAGAAAGTTGACTTCATATCTTGGAAGGTGGACAATAATTTAAATGAAGTGAAGGTTATAAAGCGTTATAGGTTACAAAAAAGAGACGATTATACGAAGTGAGTATGATCTTTATGCATGGATCTGTATTCGTAAATGTGTATTGCATGTTTTTAAATTTCAGATATAACAAATTGTCCCGCTCCGTTCGTGAACTGGCACAAAAAATTAAAGAACTGGACTCTGACAGTACTTTCCGAATAGAGCAAAGTGCTTTGCTTTTAGAGAAGTTGTATATGATGGGATTAATACCGACGAAATGGGATCTGTCTTCTTGTCAGAAAGTTACCGCAAGCTGCTTTTGTAGACGTCGTCTGCCAGTAGTAATGATTAGAAACAAAATGAGTGAAAATCTCAAAATGGCAACACAGCTTATAGAACAGGGTCATGTCCGTGTTGGACCAGAAGTCATCAAAGATCCAGCATTTCTTGTTACAAGGTTTTTTTAACTACTTATGTTGCCACGTGTTTTTGACTAAATAATTTAATGCATATCTTTTTAATTTTAGGAATCTAGAAGATTTTATAACATGGACTGATACATCAAAGATTAAGAAACATGTGTTGGAATACAATAACATTGTAAGTATTAGGATGCCAATAATTCTAGATTATATGCATTATCAATTTCCTTTGTTAATGATTTTTTTTATTATATTACATTTATTTTCATATTACAGAGGGATGATTTTGAAATAATGTAAATTACACAAAGCTTTTGTGGCATATTCTACATTAAGTAACTATGATGTATTGTGAAGAGGAAATATTACATTCAGATGATTTAAATATACAAAAGATACAGCAATCATGAAATTTTTATTCTACCTTTTATTAAATATAGTATTCAAGACAAGATTGACGTTGTCCACATCAGAACTTTTTTCATCTAAATTCGGTTTGCCTTCATGCCTTTCTGCCTTCACTTTTGTAGTATCTTTAAGGGCTTTTTTATAAATTTCTTCTTCTGGCATTCCATCCTATGAACAATAACAAACCAACATATTCTGTGTACTACATATACTAAATACATCTAGGATGGTAAAATACCTTTTGTAGTTGTTGACAGGTTTTAATAAATTTTTGGCTTTTTGACTGACACTTTTTGTCTAACAGATTATAAGTTAAAAATTTATTATCCTTATGAAAACGACTGAAAACAAAAAAGATGATAAATATATTAAAATATCCAGTTACATGTTTCGAAGGAGATGAATACTTAACCTCACCTCCGAATTGTGTCCTCCTTGTATAGAATTCTTCTGATTGGAATATCTGTGATTACATTATCATAACGTGGCTCGTACTTAGGTGGAAACGCTTGATAAACGTCGAACCAAAGAGGCTTATCATTTTCATGTATTACTTCACCGTGTATCAATGATCTCATTCTAAAGGCAAAACAATAATATCAGAGAATAGAATAATTGTTTATGCTACGAGGAAGTAGAAGATACAATTTCACTTGTGGTTAACCTCGAAGATACCGATTGAACGGTTTGTTGTCATCGTTTCCTTAATATTAATTAATATTATAGGATTGCGAGAAAAGTAAACTAGTATGAAATCTTATTTACTACTATTGTCATTCAGTACCGTGTAAATATCGTCCCAATATATTGTAATCTTGACTGTGCCATGTTAAAATTATGGCAAATTATACAGTTCTTGATTTCAACCGATTTCAATAGAAGATGGAAAACTTCAAGGTGATGTAATTGTTAGTATAACGTGCTGCCATCTTCTGCAGCGCCCAAGAAATTTATGAACGTTTAACCCCACCTGCAAAATACTTCTACAACTAATAAATTTTACATCTACATCTTTCCCTAATCAGAGCCTCGACATCTTCAAAAATCCGCGCTTGAAATGTGGGATAAAGTTAAAATGCAGATTTAGAGCAGTTCAGATAATTTGAAAATGAAGAATTGCGCTGGCCAGCAATATGCGTGTTCTCGATGTGCCTTTCAAACGGTTGAATGTGACTCGTGAGTACTGCATATACTTTTCTATATCAATGACTACATTATCATTTCAATGCACGTCGCGGTGTGATAAATCTCCTCATTTTCTAAGGAGGAAAGATTGCGGAGTAGAAATTATTCTGAGAATAGCGGTGAATGGTAATGACAAGTGCAGAGAGAGAGGTTTACAGAGAAGGAGAAAAGGAAGCAAGCATCGCTAACGTCGCCCTCCCATTTTCAAAAAATGTCAACGTCATTTTATTCACTCCATCATTTGAGGGAGCATAAATGCTGGTAGAAGATTATTGACTAAGTTCTTAAGTACTTTTTTTATCATGAATTACCCTGACTGTCGTTAACTGTAATATTATAAAATAAATAGGAGCAAAGTAGAACTTTGCCGTTTCAGGAGCCAACTTGATATGTTAACAGTGGCCTATGCTCGTGATCTAAGATGGCGGCCGAAGGCGGCAAGATGGTGACGTGCGTCGATGCGCATGCGCGTTTTGGTGCATTCGAAAGGATATAAATACAAGCTACGCGAGGCAAACGACGAAAGTTGTCACGCTGCGTCTGTCGCATGATGGCGCAACGTGTTGGTTGCTCGCGTGTACCGGTTATTCTTCTGCTCAGGTTTGCATTTATTCACTTAGCAGGTGGCAACGTGTTGACAAGAACCGACAATTCCATTCAACCGAACGTGAGTTCGGCGAGTCTGACGAGCCAGGAATCATTACCTCTGGACGCGGAGTTTCCAGTTATTACCGGTTTCCTGGTGGAACTTGTTGGTACGGGTTTAGATGATGACCTTGCGCTACGGTGGTCGCTCACCGAAAGAGAATGCGATGAGAAAAAACCCCTCCGGGGGATCTGGAGAACGGAGAAAGGCGATCGCGCTGTCTACGAATTTTCCACCAATTACTCTCCCGAGATCACCGACATTTATTTATGCTTCAAGACAATTTCCCCCAAGACTGGCGAACGATGGATTAATCTAGGCATCAAATTTGCGCTCAATTTGACGAATAATGAGTGAGTTGTCTCATAATTACCATCTTCCGTTTACGTCCCACGGGTTTTAAATGGATGCGATTAACGTGGCCTAACCGGGAACGTACATTTTAATGTCTAAACGTAGAATCCATCCCACTGCTTGGTTATCATGATAAAACATCCAAACTGGTATTCAGACTAAAATGCATGGTAACGCGTTAGTGACAGATCTGTCATTCACTTTAGTGTCTGTATTATTGAAAAACGATACAGTTCTTGTACAGTTTCATAAAATCAGAAGCCATTCAACATATACCGTAGTGTAGGATGTGTAGATCACAAGACCAAACTTAATGCAAAAGGTCAACAACCTCTTGGAGTATTTTTAATTTTGTTGACCTTTGCATATCAGGGCCGCAATGTTATAGTAGACGGCATAGACCTTCTTCTAGCCTTTAAATATGATACCCTGTTTAATCAATATTGATGCCAGAAATTAGTATTGAAAATCAATCCATTTGGATTTAATAAGTTCTTGCCTATTAAATTGTAGATGTGATGTGTTCTTCGTAGATAATCATTTTAAATGGATTTCTTGAATCCAATTTTTCTATTATGAAAATAGCTAATCTACTGGATGTGCATTTAATACATGTTTTTGCTTAAAAACTGATGAGAAACAAAGGATAGAATTGATGCTGCTATTCGAGATGTAGGAGTAATGAGCAGATTTCAAATACAAAAAGAGTTTGTTTATATTTCTATTTTAAGCCTAAAAAGTTTATACCTAAGTTTGGAATGTGCATGGTAAAATATTTTTATGTGATGATCGTATGGTATGAGCTTTAACAGAACTGGTTAGTGTGGTTCACAGGAGGAGTGTAAAAATAGAATTTGTGACCCACATCTTGTATTTCCTGATACGCTTGCTTAATATACTTCATTAACTATCCAGAATTTACGAAAAAAACGATTCCAAAAAATGGGAATGTAGTTGTATGCAAATATTACTTTCCTAAAGGATTACATGTTATCAGACTATAAAGTTTCTATCAATCTAATACAAATCTATAGAGCTAATTATTATCTGTAAAAATAATTACCTGCTTATTAAATATAAGAATGTATGAATTACAAAGGTATTTGTTAATCATATATACGTTAATTAATTTTAGAAAATAGTAATATTTTGATTTTCAAAATTTCATATATTGTGAAAGCAAAACAAGATCATATTAAATGTAGCAAAGCACAGGCTTTTTTAATTAAGTAGAGGTGCCTAAATATTGAAGTAATCAATAGTAAGTGGTTTGGGAGTGTTTGAATACATCTGCACCCCTTGGGCATAACCGTTGGGCCAAGGGGTGGTCCTGTTAACCTTGACCTACAACTCCCTGACTATATATACATGCGTACATAGGCGGGCACATCTGCAATTCACTCTCAAATCCACCTATAGATTTTAAGAATGACTTGTCCCGTGCGAGGAAAGTAGCACATCGTACCAAATTAATAACTAAAATTTATTTGCAGTTAGATCTTTTATCATTTAATTTTCGACATACCCCCAATTTTTTATTGAACTCTTTATTGCCAAAATAAATATACATATTCGATTATATTGTTAAAAAATTGTCAGTTATAGAGACATGATTTTTTTCTGAATGTATAATAGTGGCAAAAGAGGTGACGGTGAAATTAACGTTTTTATGTAATGTATATATGTTTTAATTTCAGAACTCAATCGCGTTCGCGTCGTGAATTTAATTCAGTTACTAACGACCGAGTTGGTGTATCAGTGCCAGAGATTAAAATCAATGGGTTCAGAGTAGAAACTGCTGATCGAGACCCTTCGTTCACAGACGAAGGTATTCCAGAAATTCTTGCTCAGGGCAATGCGGTACTAAGATTATTTGGTACTGGTATTACAAAGGACACCATTATTACATTCACCGATGTCGCAGCAAAAAGGGGAGCAATTTGTGACAAGATTAAATCTGCGGAATTTCCAGTATGTTAGAGTCAAATAGTATTCCATCTTACGATTGTATACCATATTATTGTTTTACTTTTTCATCAGGTTTATGCAGTATCAGATCTAACCGCTCTTGTTAAAGTAGTCCTTCCATTGGGTTCTCCATTCTATATTTGTGCAAAGCAGTCTGTCTATGACGGCGAGAAAGATGACGACTTAATTCTGTTCAAGCACCAAGGGTTTGAAACATGGAATACTGTGAGTTTCTTTTTCATTCTCCACTGTTGGTAAATGAAATCACAGTCACATAGACAATTTCAATTCATTTAATAAAATGAAGGGAAAAGAAAATTAATTGGAAACATTTTTCAGATTCGTACCTACAAAAAATTGTTGCCAGTTTGGTTGAGCATTTTCATCATCTTAATGTGTCTATGTTTCTCAGCTCTGTTTTCTGGTCTCAATCTTGGTCTTATGGCAATGGATCGAACGGAGCTGAAAATACTTTGTAACACCGGTACTGAGAAGGTACGACCAATTTTTTCTTATCGATTTTATAATATAATAATTGTGTTCAATAAAACTACAGGAAAAGAAATATGCAAGAACGATTCAACCGGTAAGAGACCATGGGAATTATTTATTGTGCTCCATTCTATTTTCAAATGTATTGGTAAATTCAACGTTTACCATTTTATTGGACGATCTAACATCTGGACTCGTTGCTGTCATCTGTTCTACGTTAGCTATTGTTACATTCGGCGAAATTTCACCACAAGTAAGTGACTGAAAAATATAAGTTTTACATAAAATTCTGATTATTGGACACACGTATGTATCGTTACGTTTTTACCAGGCAATTTGTAGTAGACACGGCCTATGCGTGGGTGCTAAAACAATATACATAACGAAGCTTACGATGATTTTGACTTTTCCACTGAGTTATCCCATCAGCAAGATTTTGGACTATTTGCTTGGCGAGGAAATAGGAAACGTGTACAACCGAGAACGTTTAAAGGAACTCGTGAAGGTAAGGAAAGATTTATATAAGAATACTTTTCGACCGAAGGATAGCCTTTAATGGGTGATTGTAAATGTAGCATAATCTTTGAAGACTTAAAGATTACCTGCAAACTAGATGCCAGGTCATGTAAGAGACAATGAATTCTTCTCGCCATTTGGCGCTAATAAAAATGTGACTTTAAACAAGCCATTGTATTATGAGTCACAGCTTGTAGCTTATCAGAGGAACCAGTGATTCTCAAATTGCCTGGCACTCAACAGAAAAAGGTAACGTCAAGTAAGTAAGGTATACAGGATCGTATCTTTGTTCTCTGAGGAATCTTTCAAGACAACCCCTTGGTAATTCTATTCTCACAAGTGCCTTTATCTCTCGAGAGGCATGCGATATACTTAGCGATAATATCCGTGAGGAACTATCACCACATTAACGATCGCAACTGTTTAACAATGTATTCGTCTGAACTCCGTTGCGTACAACTCATTGAGCAGGTTCAGTGGAAATTCCAATTCTTTTCACCATTGATTTATCTGGCTATGTTAATCAAGTCTAATATTTTTCCTATAAAATCTGAAATCCCTTCGGTTCCACCCAAAAATATTTGTCTCTTAACTTATCTATAACAAGGAGATATTGACGTCAAGTAAACTGGTTACAACTGACTTTTGATATAGATCGATTTACGGTCCTCTGACGTATGTGGCATATAAAAATCTTTAACATAGGTGTTAGAAGCAATTCAAAGTGTACCATTGGAATTCGTCTATGTGTCCATTTTTGTTGTTATTTTAACAGCTACTTCATGGCTGTCCGATTATAAGGATTCTTTCTTTTCTATTGCAGGTCACCACTGGATATAATGACTTGGAAAAAGATGAAGTGAATATAATCGCCGGTGCTTTGGAATTGAGGAAAAAGACTGTGGCGGACATAATGACGCGAATCGAGGATGTCTATATGCTGGATTATAATGCTATCTTAGATTTTGAGACAGTCTCAGATATAATGAAATCTGGTGAGTCGTAAAGACCTGTAATAAGATCCCTTGTGTGCATTACTCCGTGAGTCATACGTAATTGGCAGTGCCAGACTTTGTTATATCATGTTATTTTATAACACGCGATAATACCTCATTGGATAATCAGTCTCTGATATCTATTAAAGATTAATCACTGACCGACATACGCTTGAGATAACAAGATGGGATGTACCATTCGAGTGCCTCAAGTGACGACTTAGTGCGCTTGTCCTTATTCCCACTTATTAATTCCTTATTAAATTAATCTTGTACCACATTTCGTTTCCAGGATTTTCAAGAATACCAGTATTCGAGGGCACGAGAAACAATATCATTACGATGCTCTACATAAAAGACTTGGCATTTGTTGATCCGGATGATAACATGCCGCTGAGAACTCTGTGCCAATTTTATCAAAACCCCTGTAATTTTGTATTCGAAGACGTTACATTGGACGTAATGTTCCAACAGTTTAAAGAAGGTTCGTATTATTTGCTAAGCCATGGAAGCCAGAATTGATAAGGTGACTTAAATTCCCGGAACGCATTTCAGGTCACAAAGGGCATATGGCTTTCGTGCACAGAGTTAATAACGAGGGCGAAGGAGACCCTTTCTACGAAGTAATAGGCCTAGTCACTTTGGAAGACGTTATCGAAGAATTGATTCAAGCGGAGATCATGGATGAAACGGACGTTTTCAGTGAGTTTAACTAACGGTCATATATATAGCGTTGAAATTCTTTTCAGTAACGGTGATTTTACGTATTTCCTTGTAGCCGATAATAGGAGTAAACGAAAACGGCAAAAATCAAGAATGCAGGACTTCACTGCATTCGCTGAGAAGAAGGAAAATCAGCGTATACACATATCGCCACAGTTGACACTTGCTATGTTCCAATACTTATCTACCAGTAAGTCAGCAGAAGGGCGATAAAAATACCCGTAGCATAAGAGAGGCGATAAAATTATAACGTTTTATTTGCAGCAGTTGAGGCGTTTAAACCCGACTCGATATCTGAAACAATCCTGCGTCGCTTATTGAAGCAGGATATAATATATCACATTAAAATAAAGTCCCGGGAAAAGGCAAGGAACGATCCGGGCACCATAATCTACCAACAAGGCAAGCCGGTCGATTATTTTGTTCTAATATTGGAAGGCCGGGTAGAAGTTACGGTAGGCAAAGAGAACATGATATTCGAAAGTGGACCGTTTACTTACTTCGGCTCCCAAGCTTTGACTGCAAACATCGGACTCGGTAAGAAATATTGCTCTTTCGGTTCGCTTCCTCGAACTACGTTTTCTCGTATTTCTACAAGTTAAATTGTAATTTTTTTATGCAGCCGAATCGCCAACAAACGCCAATCCTCAGTCGATAGGAAGTATACAATCGGTCAATCTGGATTCTATGCTTCGACACACGTTTGTGCCAGACTATTCGGTAAGAGCGGTGACGGAGGTCTTCTACGTAAAGATAAAAAGATCTTTGTACCTTGCCGCAAAACGTGCCACCCTTTTGGAAAGAAGCAAAAAAGATTCGTTACCAGGCCCGGACCAGTTCGACGACGAGGTCGAAAAGGTGATTGTGCTTTGTTGACGTACGTTAATCACGTTTAAAAATATATTATAATTAAATATTCTTTGCAGTTACTGCATTCCTTGGACGAGGACGACCGTAGCGAGCAAGAATCTCCGACACTTCCAAGAGACAAAGAGAAGCCAAAGGAGAAGGAGACGCTACAATCTCCGGTTCATGCTTCCACTACACCGATTTCTTATGTACCTGTCAGTGCTAGTCCAAATACCAATTCAAAGTTTATTTCCTCGAGTGGTCCCAATGGGAAGCTGAAAAACTCGCCAACTAAGGTCGATAATGTTGCATGGTCCATTGCATGATGAATGTAAAGAGTTATAATAAATTATACCAAGCGTAATTACGTTTACAGGGTCCGGACGTATTGGCTCCTGTGGAAGGTCAACAGAAGCTCGATTTAGATGCGGAAATCTTCGCCCGTAAAGCAGAAGCCGAGAGACTTTTATCTGCGGCAAAGTCACAGGTTGACGAGGAGAGGACTAATTTATTGCCTAAACAGGAGCACTCTTAACGCTCGGAGCGTGGCCGATGGAGTCCAATCCTGCCGGCAGCAGAAATGACAACGAAATTAAAGTGCAACGAGGGACAAGAAAAGCCAGCGTGACACATACTGCGACTGTAGTGCTAATTTAGTACGTAACAAATTAGTCACCCGACTGAACAAAGGTATCGAACAATATGGTGCGTATAAGAAATCTGGTATTCCGTCGAAAGGCTGTACCCGGTGATTATTACTTTTTTTTTTTATCTTAAGATCAGTAACACTGCTCAGGGAGAAGTTGCCAAGATCCTACATGCCGGTGATTAACGAAATACTCGATACCAGTTAACGTAATGGTGAACCGTATCCCGACAGGTTCATATGACTGCTCATTTAGTTCGTATACCGTTAAGTGTTGAGTAAGTTAAAACGAATACGTTATGACATTAATCATTCGACTCGTACTTCCTGTGACACGGACTCCATTTAGCGATATCTAATCCGTTTTTATTCTATTTTCACTGCCACACATTTCCTCTGGATGCCAAGACTTAACTTTTCGTCTCTATTAAGCGAAGCCATTGTACTTATACTCGGATAGTAACACTAAGTTTCGATACGTCTTACGATGCGTCGCAAGGAAATTCTTTAAATAGTTAATTAGTATGTCGGAATGCCGGTGGGGTCGTCGGTGACCGGCAATCAGTCGACGTTAAAATAGGAATTTTTCTTTGGCATTCTACGTGATTAATCACTGAATTAATCGAACTACTTGGTACTTAGGTGAAGCAATGCCAATAGTTACAAATTTAGAATATTTATGTATTTACGGGTACAGCATTTTGACTACGTAAACGGAGGAGAATATACATTAGCTATATAGCGATAAGGTTTAATCATCCTTAGAAAACTGTGCGAAAGTGTTGATCGCTCTCATTCGGGTGATTGTGCGACAGAGATGAAGGACTTTAACGCGCGTGAGGGGAAGAAAGAGAGCAGTACAAACTATGAAACGTTTTTTTTTTGGGCGCATCAGTCGATTCGAGTAGATCGTTCTCTAAATGCAGGGGGTTTTTAAGGTCTTTGTTTTCTTTCGTCGCTCTTTATGTTCATTGCCGTAGAGTAACTATTCTACGTAATATTTCTATTCGGTGCCAACCCTTTTAGAATCACTTTTGACGCTTGATCGATATTAGTTTTCATACAGTGCCTTAAAGACTGCACTTTGTTGGAAAACAATGGCGCATAATAAGCTTTAAAACTTGAAGAAGTGACATCTCGTGCTCTTAATCTTTCCTTAAGAAAAAAAAAAAATTGGATCAGTAATTTTTAATGCTTCGTGGAGAAATGTTTAGGTGTGCTTTTTGTGTAATCGCATATCAAGTAGCACGTAGATATTGAAATATAAAAAAGAAAGGAATGTAACGTATTTTTTATATTCAGATTTACCGCTACGGAAGCAACCACGACAGGAGTTTAAGACATATCTCGTATTTCCGGTTGATGTTTTTTAATCAGTGAATAGAACGTTATTTTCGAGAGAGGAGGTTATTTTCTTTTTACACACATAAATCATTGTTTTTTACACTCATGAATCGTTGACAGACTTTTAAAACGCCCTTCATGCAGAGGCCGTCATAGCGGTGAAGTAATCCGAAGTTGTTTCAATTTTATAGCGATGTTTTTTTTTTCCTTCGCAAGAAATTAATAGTTGACTTTCTAAGCAATGTTCACTGATGGCGCTTAAAATAATACGTAACCATGTAAGTTTCTTTTTTAACTTACAACGGTCGTGGCACGAAGCGAGTCATTTCGTACAATGTGTCCAGTGGTTTTCGGAATGATAAATGCGGTCCTGTCCGTTCTTTCTCGATTGTGTAAACGTTAATGGAATGGCACTCTCAGATTTTAAATGTATTTAAAAAGAAAAAGAAAATAATTGTTATTGTTTTAAATTTTACTCGTTATTATTTATTAATAACATCGATATTCATCGAGACCCGTTGTAAATGTTGGAAGAAAGATGAGACTCTCGCAGTCTTAAACTACGTATTGCATTCTCTATATTCGCTCTTAAAGATTTCGAATAAAATACATGTTATGCAGCATGGATTGCATGAGTTAACTTCAGTTATTATATACTAGTACCAAGCGTTTCTTCAGATTATACGATCATTTTCAAAGGCGAATCGACAGTCTACGTCTATAGGGAGTATAATCGCAATAGGATAACGTAAACTTTAATAAGTAAACTTAAATACCGTTCAACGTTACTAAATCATGTTTACTAACGACGAATTGTAAATTTGTTCACGTATATTGTACTTACCGTTCTGTACTTAATAGTAACAATGTGAGTGAAGTAATGTAATTAATTAGAGATATTTTTAACCGAGCAAACAGTCACGCCTTACGTATTTACGAGATATAAAGTATCGATCGTAATTCGGTGTTACACTTATTTATGAATAATATCGTATATGATTAGACGGAGCAGAAAGAGAAGGGACTTTGCATGAGTGCCTTCGGGTGCTACATAACTGTCCTTTAAGTAGACTTTAATTACACTTTTGCGCCTGCAAGTGGAGTTGTACTTTCTCTTTATACGAAAAACAGATTAAACAGAAAAAAGAAAAAAAAAACAACGTATCAGAATAACGTCATTGCGGATTTAGCGTTAATATTCTCCTCGCCTAGTTTATTTTTATCGTTGATCGAGGTCACACGAACGGGATGGCAGCTTCTAACACCATAAAACCCCATAAAATCCACATACGCAGGGCGGTTAGACTTACTCCTTTGTTGAGGCGAAATCCCGTTTATTCGTTTCTAAGCTGTTCCGTCGACGGTCTTGCGGAGGTAGAATTGAATTTTCCGGGTTGTCCTTTTCACATAAAAGGAATCCGGGGGGGTCATAGATTTATACGAGGCGTCGGGATGAACCAAGGCACCCCATGAAAGGGAGATCCCCTTTCAACGAGATGTGCACCGTTACATTAGTTATGCCCCCTTGAATGACGTCTTCAGGATACGTAGGAACGAACGGGGAAATTTAACTTCTGCGTCTCCCATGATATTATTCTAAATTACATTCCTAATTACAGGAGGAATTAATTTACTGTATTCGTTTTCAAGGGAAAGCCGTGGCGACTCTTCAGGTATTAAGGGGATGTGATAGTGGCATCCGAGGGGTCAATGAAACTTTTCATTTCCAATCTCCGAACTGGATATGCCGAATCGTGTCAAATTTTACAATGTGAATGTGGAGGCTATGAGGAAGGTCCTTATACTCATGAAATTTCATTTCTTATAACGAATTAAAAAATTATCTATGAACAAATTTCTGAGAAATTGAAATCTCGTGAGTTTCAGGACCTTCCTTATAGCCTACACATTTATATTGTAAAGTGTGAATCGATTCGGTACACCCAGTTTGGTGAAAAGTTTCATAAAGGGGAACTTTCACATCACCTTAATCGGAAAATCAGTCGTACTCTGGAGTTCGGTCTTACACAAATATTCTATATGCGCAGCAGGCCTTGAATGCACCAATTAAAGGACAATCAGGCAATATCTGGTTTAAGATCGCTGGCACGTGCTTTATCTGTAACATTATCTCCCTCGGATGCTGAAAATTCACCCTGCCGAGAAGAAAGAGAGAGTTCGGCATGTGCGGCAAATCGCTTTAAGCAACGATGAATTATCGATCTAGTTCTTTGGAAGAGCGGAGAGTCCTCCATGAATAGTTCAGACTTCCGCCGGGGTGCAGGGCTGGACGAGATAAAGGGATGAAAATTCAAGCCAAGGGGGAAGAACCCGATAGGGTGGAAAGTACAACCCCAGGACTGTTTTTTTTTCTTATACAAAATTCGAAATCATACTTTATTTTTCAATCTGCCGCGAATTTACGTGGAGTCCTCTCCGCCGCGAATAGCCGCTTTCCTCGTTGCGCCGCATTTACGGGGTAATAATTCGCAGGGCAAAATTGCATGCACTTTGTCACTTCGAATGACCCGGCATGGTTCATCAGTGGTGCAGAAATATGTTACCGGGGCACTGCGACCTTTTTGAATAGAGTACACGCGGTGCATACAGGCTTTTATAAGTGACGGTTTTTAAATCGATGCCGGAACAATGCCTGGGAAATGTTAACAATTGCCCTCGTCGATTACGTTCGTAAACCCTGATTACGGGTTTTTGGCGTTCAATGCACTTTTGAGCATGCTTATAATATCTATATACAAGTTTTTTAAGTTTTAGCGCAAAATTACACTTGATGTGTGCAGAAGTAAACTGCAGGTGAATTGTTAAAAGACTTTGGATTGCGGCTTTTAAAAGTGCCACTTTTTAAATCGATGCCTGGGAATTGTTAACAATTGCCCTCGTTGGTTACGTTTGTAAAGCCCTGTTATGGGTTCCTGACGTTCAATGCACTTTTCAGCATGCTTGCAATATCTATATCTATGTACTTATTTGTAAAGTTTTAGCGCAAAATTGCACTTAATGTAGGAAGTAAATTGCAGGTAAATTGTTAAAAGACTTTGGATTGAGGGGACGGATCAGAGAAAATTCAGCACGCGTCCTGCGCTGCAGCTGCAGGCGAGTGCAGCGCGCTCGGGCGTCGCGACGCTTCTTGAAGAGGGCACCGTTAAGGGACGCCGAGCGTCAGTCGGCGGGAAACGCTCGTCGGAGTCGAGTGGACGTCGAGAGACGTCGGCTTTTGGCTTTGTGAGAACCTGGTGCCAGAAAAGACGACATCACAGGGCGAATCTTGACAAGGGTGGAGCAGCGAAATTTCGACGCCGGTGACTTAGAATCTCTTGCGCGATCGCTCAGTTTTTTCGTGCCCTGAAAATATTTTAAACATATTCAATTAGTGTTAATAACGATACACGATGTAATGAACGAAACACTGCGAGTTGCCCCTCTGGGAGTTTTTCAAACGTTCTCGAAAAGAAGAGTTCGGTACGATTCCGAAAAGCCATACCTTGCGCTTAACGAGGACAATGTCTGCATCGAAGGCGCACCGATTCGCGTTCAATTTGACAATCTTGCAGTAAGAATGTCATAACGACTCGTTGCATTCCCTTAGAGTGCGTTATTGGTTCAAGATCCAGTGTCATAACAGACTCGTTAAGGACGTCAAGTGGTCTGCAACGTCTTCCAAGTCGGCGACAATAGCGCTTCCTCACTGCGGGATTAAATATAAAATAGTAAATACAGTGATTATTAATTATTAATTACATACTCAAAGAAAGTCCGACGCAATGAAGCTCCGAGATGTAAAAATAGAGGGATGCAATTTGAATCAACATCCATCCATCGGACATTGATCGGTAAGCTCTCGAGTCTTTTGAGTATCATTCTTTATCCGCCAGATCATGAATTAAAAGTCGCAAGAAATCGATCGCGGGATCGATGATCGAGGAGCACGATGTCTCGAGTTCACCCTACCGCGGCAACAGGTGTCGATACGGATACGAGTCTGCTTTTACAGGACCGCGAATGAATTCCTTTTCCGTTCCAGATATCTCTGGGAAGAGTTTTCCGCGGTCGGTATTTGAGCGTTAATGTCACCTCTGCAATTGTTCCGCGGGTACATCATCGTCGACCGCGCAACGAGGTTTTTCCGTGTTCCCTTGTATACATCTAGGATGCCCACCGAAGGCAGCTTTTCAATTTACCTTTGTTCTCCGACCTGAATTGATGCCTCGCTACCTTCTCTGAATAACGGACAATCGCGACATCGCGACCCGTGACGCTTCTCCTAGGAAGAGGCGTCACTCGGGCGCGCTTCGTTAACGCACATGACGTCTCTACGATCACTAACGATCACTTAACGATCAGCGAACTGGACATCGATATCACCGACCGAGAGATACTTCGGATACGCGCTCGACAATCCGATAAATCTAGTTGCCGCGTTCTCGAGGAATTCTTTTTTTTTCCTTTTTTTCTTTCCACCTCGGAGGTGCGAAACTACGTGACGTTAATACTCGATCAAACCGTGAACCAGAATCGTATCCATTCTGCCGTCTCCTTTACGACTTTCGGTAAGCCACGAGACGTCCGTACCCTTTCAAAGTATTAAAGAGACATCCTTCTCGCGTCTCTGCGTTGTATCTCCTGGGACCCTCGAAAAGCAGAAACTCTGGCTCGAGGTCATCGATTTTAATCCCTTTGATCTTTACCGCTGGTCGTCGGTTTAAGCGGTCAGATTTTTTGCCTCCACCGCGCTGATAGGTACACCAGCGTCCCTGGAAAATGAGGGATAACATTGATAACAGGGTCATTAGGGCCAATTATCGGGAAGTACGGGTGTACATCGCTATCATAGAAATCATTTCTGTTATCGAGATATATCGCGTTAAATGGGATTTAGATATAGAGGGAACTGACGTTATTTTACCTTGATTTGTGGCCCCTCGTGTTATCGCGATTTTTTTTGTTGAATATCACGGCACGAGGTTTCCACTTATCAGAGATCCAAGGGTGGTTTCCCGAGTTTCCTGAATTTCCTGAATTCGCGGAATTTCCCCGGTCGCCTCGGTGATCTCGAGGGACTTTCTCGACTCCTCCGAAAGAAAATTGGCCGGCTCGAAGCGCGTATCTCCTCGCAGGATGATTAATCCGGAGGCGCTCCTTCAAGGGAGGACCTCTTCGACGCGTCTGGCTCCTTTCCCATTTCCAAGGATCCTCGTCACTTTCTTCGAGTTCCTTCTTCTGTAACGACCCAAACGCTCTCGGCTCCAGATGGCAAGAGAGGCGCAATGTGCGAGTTTTTACAGCCACCGTTCTATGACTAGCAGATTATTCGCACATGTCGACCCTCCAGACAACGGTGTCACCCCGAGAAAGGTCTGAAAATAATTTCAACGGTATTAAGAATTTTTTCCCCAATCAATAATGCCGAGAAAAAGGTCGAAGAAATATCCGGCAACAAAATCCTGAAGCGTCGAACTGAATGAGCAAAATTATACGGAAGTAAGATAATTATTTAGTTCCGCACCAAATACATTAGCATGCACGAGTACTCAACGCCAAAGTTCGACACTTCAATTGTATCGTCAATAAACATTTTATTGTCAATAAAATGTTTTTTTTTTTCTACTATACCACTCTATAGATTATCGTACGCAGGTGGTCGCAAAACCTCGGAAATAATCTTTTCCACGGGGGAACCAATCGGGACGGTATTAATAGAACGCGATCGCGTTCCTTAAACTATTCACCGTCGCCATTCCGGAGAAACAAATGAAGTTATTATTGACATTGTTGCGACTAATATAGATCCGCTGACGCGCTCTTTATTAAAATGTGCGTGACGCACGGAATTACCACCACGTACGAGTTAAGTTACTTATTGTTCTCGACATAGTCGTGGGTAGATTTACCCGGTCCAAGACCTATCCACGAAATGCTCCCTTGTCTTAACGATCATTGATTTCTGCAACTATAATTATCGTCTCCGATGCCAGTCCGTTACAGCGATCGATGCTCGTCAGAGCTACATCCGTGCTCGTCCATAAAGCAGCAATCTATCTAATCTCCAGGTGGCTAATGTCACTGCGAGCAATCCTCCCCGTTATTCTTGGGCGAGAGGCCACGCGACATTATTTATAAATAGACCGGTCTTTTCGGCCGAATTATCAGGGGAAGCAAGATCGAACGTCGATTCGATTCGCGTCCCGCGGTAAAATCGCCATTTTGGAGCCCGCCTGCTCGCCGCTGGTCTTAAAAATTCTAGTCTAAATGATAACGACTCATAAATCTTGGGGAATCTTAACGACGCCCCCACGTTGAAATATTGTCTGGTCCGACCACGTGGAAAATAAATGTTTCCTTCCAGGTGGCCGTCTCCATCTCGTGTTTTTTTAATCCCTTCCTTTTTATTTATCTCTCCTCGCTTTCTCGGCCATCGACGCCGACGATGGACGCCGTCTCGAGCGTCTCGTCTCGGGTGATAAATAATTCCTGGGTTCATCAGCGACGTCTTTTGGCTTTGACCGGGTGCCAGCAAGAAAGGAAAGGTGAAAGAACGGAGGCTCGAGGGTGCGTGATCTCCTCTCTTAACGGCGGCATGAGGTCCTTCGGGGTTTTCCTTAACCAACCCTGAAATAGACACTTGGCCCGCGTGTCTGAAAGCTGTCAGGAAATGCTCGAGGAAACCCGACAGATGTGCGGCAGGAGGGATAGCCCTTGGCCGAAACGCTTTTCCTCGTATTCCACAATTTTCTACGGGACCGAAGACTTAAACTAAGAGGTCCACGTGGTTAAAGTTCATTTTGCAAGCTCGTCCGGAAGTCCAAGGAATCCCTTACACGGGCAAGCCGTATTTAAGGGTGTCCGCGGTCATTTCATAATCTCTTGACAATTTCTACAGGGGTGTGCCGGATATTAATAACCCGACCGAGCCCGCAACTTGTACCACTAGCGGCGCAAGTTTCGAATTACTCATCGCACTAATTGGCGCTATGTTAATGGAGTTAGTTCGGTAGGCGAGGCAAATTCGATACGGGGAAGAACCGATCAGAGGGTCTGCGGATAATCGACGAGCACGAGGAAACCTCCGTATTTTCCGAATTTCCCCCGAGAAAACCTTAATTTAGGGGTCGACGAGCGCCCGTCGAGAAGCTTGCAAGCAACCCGAGAGACACCTCGCCGCGGAAAACTTAGTTTCCCCGACGAGTCAACTTTTTCTTTCTCGGGATTAAAAATAGGAGCCGCGAGAAAGCGCAAACTCGCGGCTCGTAAAATCCTCGGATGCGCAGGATGTTTCTTTGTCCTAACATTCGGCTGGGCAGCTCATAAAAAGGAGCCCTGCGTCAACAGCTTTCTCGGCATCTTCCGTAGAAACGGTTGATTTATGTTTCCTAGCCTTCCTCTAGTAGTGGAATTTTCCTCGGCGAGCGTGTCCTGGAAAAAAAAAGAGGGGAATTTCATATCTCTGTACAGTTTTCAGGGAACGACGAGGTCGGGGAACCCGGGACGCTTTTGCTGGATTTGGCCATGAAACGGACGGACTTTGTCGGAGTCGTCGGGGCTGGACAAGAGTAAGGAACTAATTGACCCGGAGCCATTAAGATGAACTCGTCGTACATGCTCGGAGAGGACGAGCAATGGGGCCCGAGATACTATTTCACGTATTACAGCCAATTCGGGGACCGAAAGGGGAGCACCGGGATAGAGGTGATTTCATCGCCGAGCCGTACTTGGTACCAGAAATTAATAACTCCATAATCCGCATCTTTTTCCTCATAGGTGGTCGTCCTGGCCGTGACATTCGTCGTGGCGGTGGGTGCCAATCTAGGAATCGCCGGCTGCGTCTTGAGATACAAGGAAATGAGGACACCCACCAATCTGTGCCTGGTGAACCTCGCAGCAGCCGATCTGCTGTTCGCCCTAGGTGTCCCAGCAGTCGCCTACACCAGGTTGACGCAGACCTGGAGACTCGAGGAGACGGTCTGCAGGTTGCTGCCTTACTCCCAGGTGAGGCGACCCTGCAAATGAAAAACGATTTAACCACCCTGATAAAAATCGACGGAGACTTGCACACAGTTTTACCCACCTCGTAACTGAAACTCCACATAAGAAAACATTAAAAAAAAAGATATCTAAAGTGAAGAAATTCAAATTTACAAAATGTATAAATTTTTGCGTGGATTCAATGTAATGTTATAGAGACAGAGGAATTTTACTGAAATTTTTCGAGGCATCGAAATAAGTCACGATCGAGCATGGTAATTTACAGGGGCATTTTTATCGGTGTAACGTAACGCGAAAACGAATACAGGGACGAAGACGCATGAGGACGTAAATACGAGCGAAAAATATGGGCACCATCTGAGGGCTGTTAAGACCGCATTTCCATAAAATTGGAAAAGTTCACGATCTCGCGCCACCGAAAAAGAGCCTGGAAGCGAGCGTGTAGCGAATGGCGAGGGACTAAATTGCCTTTTGCTCGCATTAAAACGAGTACTTTCCTATAAAACGCGTGCACACATCTTGCAAACGCAGGAGTGTTCGGGCGGCATTAGCCATACCAAAACATGTGTTCCCTGATATAACGAGCCGATAACGCGCTGCAACTTCCTATTCAAAGTCAACGAGTTTCTGGTGATAACTCTTATCGCAACTTCCGCGGCGAGCCCTTCAAAAATCCATTCCGATAGCTCGGGTCGGCGAAGTCGGCTCGTGGGGAGCTCCAAAATCCGCGAAACTCCCGAGAGGTCTGATTCGAATATAAATGGGATCGAAAACTTCCCCGCAGGGGATCGATCCCGCGGGAACACGGAGAGTAATAAGTACACGAGCAAATCGAGATGAAATCCGAGGTCGGTAATTCGCACGTCCCCTGATCAGACCTCTCTGGCTCCCCGGAATATAATTTATTAATAAAATTAACTTAAAAGAAAGTCCGTAGCTCGTCATAAGGCGCACCTCCTCTGCGAAATGTCCGGAGAGAGAGGAGATCCAGGTCGAATTTCTCCCCTTTTCAAAGAAAAACTCGACCCGAACGTTCCCCCGTTAATCCGATTTTCCTGGAGATGTTGAACCGAGTTACTGAAGCGGACTCCAACTTTATCAGCGATCGATGGTGACTGTTATCGGGTGCTCCACATGCAGGAGGTCGCGAACTTCTCGAGGACCCAACTTCCGTACTCCGTGTAACACTTCCATGGATTTCTTCTCCTGTAAAAGATACGAATGTTTAAGCGTCATAGTTTTTGCTCCAGTTCGCTCTCCCACGTTTCGACGTCTCCTTTGCATCGACTCGCCGCTATCTGTGCCGAAATAAGGAGGCCAAGTGGCGGGTCGGAATTCTCGCGGATTCGTGAAAAGTGACCCAGTATCGGCGTATTCAGGGGAGGATTAGCTTCCCAAAGTTGATGCTCGATGGCATTGGGCCGTCGATGCGAAGGAAATTCCTTTGTGGCGTGGAGAGGCGTGAGGGTCTTAAAGGGTGAATGGGAGTAAGCCCATTCACGGTAGAGTGATCGCGTGCGCGCGCATCTTTACTACTACACTTACGCACCCTACAGGCATATAAACTACGCACCACACGTGCATTTCGAGGGACTCCCGCTTATCGCTATCGACCCGACATCGTATCGCCAATCAATTATCCCGTAAATAGGAAGAAGCGTAATTCACCGGGTAGGATTAACAAAAATGCTTAGGAAGAGTGACCCCTTGCCATACAATGTAGATGGGAATCGCAAATCACTGTCATTATGGTCGTTACACGACAAGGGGTCAACCCTTTCGCTACAGAATATTTAAATACATAGCATGAAAGGTGGATAGTAACATTACTCGACGGAGTCCATTTATTCGTTACCGTGCTACGTCGTTGATAACAATTACCTAGCCTACAGGCGCCAATGGTAATGAGTTGATACCAGTGATAATAAATCTATGCTGTCTAAAATAGGATTTTTGTCCCAGTTCGTCTGCGGCTTCGTGCTTCTGTGGACTTTGACTCTGATCTCGATGGACCGCCATCGATGTCTGGCAGTGGCTCCTTATCGCAGCGCATTGACAGTGGCCAGAGTCGTGACCGCGAGCTTTATCACCTGGATAATCGCAGCGTCCCTCTTTCTGCCTGCAGCCTTTTGGTTTCAGCCACGAGTAGGAGTCCTCGCCTTAAAATATGTATATTAGTTACCGATCTAGAGCGATATCTGCAAGATACATTCGGCTGGTTTCAGGAAGTAACGGGTGGTACCATCTGCACCCTGGTTTTCCCTCGGAGCGACGTGGTGAACGTCTCCCTCTGCTTCACGATCCCGGTGATAATCATCGCCTGTCTCTTGCCGATGACCCTGGTGGTTTACCACTATCAAAGGATCTTCCAGAGGATCTTGGATACCAGGAACAGATGGGCCGTGCCATGCGTTGCTCAGGTACAGGAACTCTCCACTCTGAGGAATGAAATTGATTAGTTATACCCATAACATTCTTTTATAAATATTTTTACATTTACTCGAAGAGTTCCGACTGCGGGGCGAACGGTCGAAGGGATTCGGAGTTGTCGGTGGTCGGAACCCTGGTACCTTGGGCAGGAAGGAAGATGTCCACGTCTTCTATGGGTACTAAGCAAGGTCGGGCGGGAAGTCTGTCCCATCATGAAGAGATTCGACTTCACAAGCACCTCCGGGTGGTCCGTATTTTGCTGTTGAACGTGGTCGCTGTCCTGGTGATGTGGCTGCCCATCACCATCGTTATGTTCCTCATCTACGTGGACGGTCGCAGACCAAACGAGGACACCAATTTTTTCCTGCGATCCCATCATTTTGTCTGGGCTCTAGTAATCGCTCAGCTGAACACCGTGGTTAATCCCCTGCTCTATGGGGTCTTCTCGGAGAACTTCAGAGCCTGCATCGTCAAACTTTGGAGGCGAGGTCTCAGGAATGGACACGGAGAGCAAGCGAGTGGAGGTACCGGGTCTCGGAAAGGTGGACGCTCCTTGGAAGCCTTGCAGGATCGTTTGGGAGGATCTAGAATTCCTGGTGCCCTTAGAACTCCCGTCAGACAGCCGAAGAAGAGCTCCAGCTGCAGCATCGGCAGCATCATCGAGGTGCCCAGCTCGGAAAAGCTCGGAAACTTCTCACTCGTCGATGGGATTCGAACGAACCAGGGTCTTCCCTGCAGCTCCGCGACTTGAGATCGTGGCTTCGTATCGTTATATCAAACATATTTCTGAGGCTTCTGATTTTAGGACTCGAGCTCTCTGGGACCTGGGAGCAGAAATAACAGAAATATCAGCGGTGACTTAGCTGGAGGGAACCAGGAGGTCGCTCTATTTTATGGAATTATCGATAGCTCCGAATTGGAGCACGAAACCGGGAAGTATCGGTTTGGAGGAAAATCTCGACACAGTGAGACCCAAGGAATTTAAATTGAACCGATATTTTGGCTCGGTGGGATCGACAATCCATTTGCAAGTTTCGCTGGAAAAGTGCCAATGCTTGCAAACACCGCGCGGGATCGAAACGTAGAACTAATATAACGTCGATATTGTTTCCGCTAAGCGGCATTGAACTGCGATTTCCGCGAACGCATTTTCTTACTACAGCTTAGGATTCACTCCTTTCAGGAACTCAGGATCTCAGTACCCCTTCGAATAGATTGTAAAGTACTCGGTGGAATGTACAATTTTGTAAATACGTCTTTCATTGGTAATAAATATGTTTTTTATAAAATATCTCTTTCAGTCCCAATTTTCAGACGAGAGAAGGTAACGTTGAAGGACGGAGGATCTTTACCAAACAATGCGTATACACAAATTGAAGATATTTTATCATATATTGATGATCATTTACAATTCTATTCGATACATCTATATTTCTTTTCTAATGCTCCTTTTTATTTCTGAGAGTTTCTTCATGTCGAGAGACTTATCTCTCATGAGGTTCCTTAGTACCGCTAGTTTTCTACTTACGAATCTCTTTTTATTGCCTGGTAAATGCTGTTTATCCTTATTATCTGGTAGCGGATCTTTAATGAAGTCTTTGATAAGGCACCAGGGACTACAGTCACTTACAAATGTAATTAAATCTATCTTGATTTTGATGGAATTGGACAAATCGGAATCGGATACTGGCATCTCAACCGATACCTCTGATTCCTCTACTTTTTGGATAGTGAATCTTGTATAAAAATCGTATTTAATAGCGACGACAACCTGTGAATTCTCAGGCAGGACATCGATAAACTTTACCGTAAGGAAAGTTTGATTCGCTATTCTATGCACTTGCATCTTGGGAATGTATCGCTTTTGATGTTTATATGCGAATATGTTAATCCTTTTCAATTTGTCTTGTTCTGCCTGTAATATTGCATTCAATGACTTCAATTCTTTAGCAGCCTGACAAATCTTGTCTACAATGAGATCCGAATACTCGAGCATTTCATATTTAAGTTCAATAAAATCATCCTTTTTGGGGTCTTCTAAAGCGATTAAATGCTGTACAGGATATTCGAACATTTCTTTGTGGGCAGTCAATCCCAAGGCAACCTTTGACTTATAACTTCTTAGGCAAATAAAGCTCGTACTTTCTTTTCCTAACTTCTGTACTAAATCATTATTTAGTATCTTCTTCATGTAGTAAGTATTAATATCATTGGAATATACTATCCAAATGACATCCTCTGAAAGTGTACCAAATCCTGCACACAGTGACTGAATTTTCGTATCAAAATGTATTTTTTCAAATGCCAATTCATTTCCTTTTACATACATTACAATGACAGTACTCGTGTCCGTTAAAAGTATAATACCCAATGTCTTCTCCGCTTGTTGCATGGGTACGATATCGGTAATGTTATAGTCGCAACAATATATCAACCAAACAGTTTCCTTTGACATTTTGAATAATCTGTTATCGCTCGCTAATAGACATAAATTTTCCTCTATGCAATCTTTATCGAGTAAAGCCCCTCTAAGCCGTTCATCTGCCTCGTCAGCATTGAGAGAACAGATACACAAGTTGCCAGGATCTTCTTTTGAAAACGTAAATTTGAAAAGGAATTTACTGGATCGATCCAATTTATTTCCTAGATACAGGTGATCATTTTTTGGTGTAAGCACCTCGTGGATTGCAGACCCAATACCGATGCCTGCATTGCTCAAGACCACAAATGAATAATTTCTTGAAAGCTTGTAAATACCGCATGGCATACAGTTTATAAAAATTCTCTCTGAGAAACATTGGATATTCTTAATTACTGCAGGTACATTTAAAACATGTGTGTTCGAAGCACACTCGTTATTAGAGTACTTAAAGATTATCAATTTGTCATTGTTCCATACAAAGCATGTATCTTCGCCATAAAATTTAAAGATTGTAAAATTTCTTGGTATAAAATTCTCGTCTTCAGTTACGACATACATTTTACCACTTTTCATGTATTGCTTTGCATGCAATTACAGTTAATAATATCAGAGATGAGTTGGATGAGTTGGGAGATTGCTCACGAGCAGATCACGCGATCGCGTCCTGTGCTGCCCCCTGCTGGTTAGTGCAAGCGGCTAACGTAGTTGCCACCTGTTGTCCCTCAGTGGCGGCGCAACTATCTCTGCAAGAAATGAGTTACCCCCAGGGTTGGGTAAGTATAATACATCAAGTAATATCCGTGGTTTTCTACACGTATATTGCAACGTATAATACGTGCCTAGTTTTCTACACAGGCACGAAGAATATTACCCCAAACTACACGTGCAAATCGCACGCGCAACATCGTCAATAGCCAAGTCCACCTATTTACCTCTAAGATAGATTCTCATTGGCTATTAAGAGGATTGCACTTTACGCCTCTACAAATCCGCGCATATTCAAAATCAGCCTTGGAAATTTGAAATGTATGCATATATGTGAATTTGACGTTTGTTTATAACGACTGATAACGACTATTTGAAGTCGTAAGATTTGTAACCAATATTTGTATCAAAATGTATAAAGATGGAAGACCAAAAAGTAAATTATGAGATGAAAGAAGTTTAGGTGGATCACAATAGGATTCATTCATTTTTCAAGTCACCATGGGTAATTCATCGCCACAGATCTTGCTGGACTTGTTGGTAAGAGATATTAAAAGATGTTAAACGATGTTTGTTATCACAGAGATGAGGAGGATCTCTGAATAGGGTTGCCGTTCGGGAGTTTCAGGTGACAAGTGCATTAGCCGTCCACATCCTCCACCGGTTTACTTGCAATTTCAACAAACGGGCTAAGATTCACAGAAAAATATTTTATTTATGGCACTTGTAGAATTATTTAATTGCTTACATAAAAAAACCCGTATACTGCACAGGTAAGACCTGTATCGTCACGTGACAATTTTAAATAAAAATACATTTCCTGACAGAAAAAACGTAAGATGACGTGTTAACAAAATTAAAATGTTTTGTTTAGTACGAATGTACCGCGTTAACTAATAATAGGTTGCTTGTGCAGTCATTAATTACATTACTGCTTAGACTATATTCATTGGTTTAACATACATGTTACGAAGTTGAACATAAAACATATAAGTATCGTCATGGTACGCCAGGCATATCGCGTTTTTCTTATAAATATACGAATCTGTAACATTTCAAACATAAACGAGACGATTTGGATGTTAATTACACACAACAATTATACGTGTCACATAAATAACATAATAACTTATGCACCAGGAATACTCAAACTCAGATATATACGATTACAATTGTAAACTTATTACAACAATTTGTACCGTATATTTACCAAAATTGGTATTGGCTTGTCTTTAAACCAGCTCAATCACGACGCTTGAAAATATTTGTTTGGGAAGTCATGATACCCTAACTTAACGAATGGTTCTATTTCACTAAGAAGCTAAGCCACTGTACTCTCTTAATCTTGGTTTCCATACTAAATTTTAATTCTTAAGAATTCATTTTGTACGTAACGCTCATCATGGTTATTCTAGTGAAAAATACTAATCTCTTGTAACATTATTGTCATGACATTTGCAAACACTTTTACATACGAGAACAACCATCTTTACTTTTGGAAGACAAGTACTTAATATAGTAGTACGAGTTTCAAGCAATATTTGTGCAGAAGTACACATTGTTATCAGTCATTTTAAGTAGCCGGACTGATAATCTAAGGCAAAACGAGTACTTACATTTTATAAAAAGGCTCTTTGGCTCAGAAAGTATAACCTACAATTAGTATAAAATAGATGAAAAAATATACTTTGATTCTTATCACGATACTAAAGCTACACGAAGAAGAAATGAAGAATTAATTTCATCTTAAAAAGATTCACATCCAGGGTACCTGAGTTATCGAAACCACAATCGCCTGTAGTTTCAATTCTCACATGAAGTCTGATTCATCGGCAGTGTTTGATAATGCATCGTAGAAACTGTCTTCTTCTTTTGAAGTTAATTCATTTTCTGATGAAGTTTCAGCTCCCAATAATTTTTTTTCCAGTTGTTTAATTCGTTGTACTTGCATTCGGTGTAAATTTTTCACAACAGCCGTCTCTTTCTCGAGCAAATGGGCCTTAACAGAATCCTAAAAGTAAAACAATGCAAAATAAATATTTAAGCTTTACCTTCCTTCATGCATTTAAAATGATACACCAGTGATATCATTATTAGGTTCACCAAAAAACTATTTGTACATCGTGACACTTTTAGGCAAGCATGATCATTTAACACCAGAGATAATGCGTGATTCACGAGATTCAAATGGAATAAAAATATAAAATTATGAAGAGAAAATTATAAAATACAAACAATTGAACGTACGTCTAGATTTCCTTTGGTTGTATTAGGAGAGAGTTCGGCTTCCAGTGTGCACTGAGTTAACTGATCCCTCTTATTATTTTGCCAAGTTCTGCATATTTTGCAGTCTTTTGCACACGAATCGATCAGATCTTTTTGTAGATCCTTCACTTTATCCTTTAACTGGTTGTTCTATAAGAAGCGCATGAATATCAAAAAATGAAATACCACAGAAGTATTTAAGGAAATAATAAATTATTTTAATAACACCAATGTAGTTAAAAAAAAAAAAGATACATCATAAACTTATCATTCCTTACTTTATCGAGGAGGTCCTGAAGACTCGTTTCGAGTGTCCTGCACTTCTTCTGGTATGAGAAATTTTCGCTTTCTATTTGTAGCTCGAGTGCTTTAATTTTTCCGTCTTTCGTGGCTATATCCACTTCCAACTCTTGAATCTTTGCGACTAAAATTTCACATCTACAACTTGAAAGGCCACACACCATTTCCAATTGCCTTTTCTGATTAAACAAGTCTTTCCTTTGCTGTCTTCTGTCATTTTCGAGAGATTGACCCTTCAGGTTACTGCAATTCTTTTTCTGAGTTTTACTTTCATCTCTTATTCTGTCTCTCAAATCATCGTTCTCCAATTGCAACTTCTCACAAGTTTTTACCATATTCTCCAACTTTGTAGTAAGAACATGCAGTTGTTTCCGAAGAATTTCTATTTGTTTTTCATTATTTTCCGATTTTCTGATCATGTTACAATTTTGACAACCCTTCTTATTACGTTCTTCATTCAATAGAGTAAAATCCTTCAGTTTCTTATTTAAACTATCGATCTCAGCTTTTTGTTTCTCAATTTCTTTTTGGCAATTTGTCAATTCCTTGTCTTTTCTTGCTACGGACAATTTTACTTCGTTAAGTTCCAAAGCGATTCCATTTTTAGCTTGCAACAACTCTTCATTATTCTTCTGGATTTTAAGCATTTCTAGGTGATTTTTCTTTATCATCACTGAACTAATTTTCAATTGCTCATTTTCTGTCAGTAAAGTTGTACGGGCTTGTATTAACTCTACACGATCTTTTGATAACTTATGATTGTCTTCTTTCAACTTGTCAATTTTAATATTGGATTCATCGAGTTTCTTCTGTAAACTGCTTATATCATCCCGTAGCTCTTTCATTTCTAAATTCACTTGGGTTTTGCTTATACTATTTTTCAATTTTTCAACACATATTAGATTGTTCTGTTGCAGGTCCTGGTATTGTTTCATAAAGTCTTCCAGTTTTGCCTGCAAGGCTTTTATCGTGTTAGTTTTATCAGACAATGTCTTGTTGAGATTTATATTTTTTATCTCCTCTGCACTAAGTTTTTCGGCAAGTTCCTGGATCCTGAGTGGAATCTCAGCTTTAAGGGTTTCCAATTCTTCTTTGTACTTCTTGTCGTAAGATATTCTTTCAGATTTTTCTCGTTTAAGGGTATCATAATCCGGCATGATCATTTCAACTTTTGTTTTGTATTCAGTTAACAAATCGCACTTCCTTTTAAGTTGGTCAGTTATTTCCTGCACTTTTAGTTCATTTTCTTCGTATTCATATTCTAGTTTCTTGTAACGTTCTTCAAGATCACTGTATTCTAAAGTCACGGTTTTAATTTCTTGCATGTACTTAGCGATCTCCACAGTTTTAGCATCAGATTTATTTTTAATTTCTTCTTCATTTTTCTGTAAATCTTGTAACTTCTTTTCGAATTTCGTGCATTTTGTTTTGTATGTTTGTAGGGTCGTTATCAATTGTTGTATTTTTTCTTCCAACTTTTTTCCTTCAGACGTTAGTTTTGATATCTCTTCTTCTTTACATTTAATAGTTTGTAACTTCTGGTTTTCTCTCTCCTGCACTGTGGTAAGAATAGACTTGTCCCGGGACAAAACTTCTTGAAGTTTATCGATCTCCGCTTGAAGGTTGCTACACTCAGCCTCATACGTTTGTACCTTCTCCTTTAATAAATTATTTTCGCGACTTTTTTCTTCTAGAAGTTTCGACACCGACTCAACATCTTTGTCTTTGTCATTTAGCAACTGCAAATTTGACTGTAGCTTATTTACCGTTGTTTGTAACTCGTTTATTCGATCATCCGAGATCTTTTGTATTTTTCTCTGTTTCGACATTATAATGTTTATAAAACTATTTAATAAAGAAGGCAATGACTTCTGAGACAACTCGTTATTTTCATTGCTGACTTCAAAAAAGCAAAGCTCTTTTATAATACTATTTCTGGATTCCATTAGTTCCGTAATTAATTTTTTGATGTTGCATAGAAGCCCGTCATTATCTTCATGCTTTACATTTGATACGATTCTTTCTGATTCTCCTGGGGGACGGTCATCTTTAATTACACCATCTTTACCAGTACTTATATGAGAATCTTCTTCTGCTTTATGACGTTCACTTATCTTTGATGTTAATTCAGTATCAATTTGACCAATCAAATGTTTGCAACATTCAACGAAACCTTCCTTCTTCTTTTTTGATTCCACTAACTCTTGACTTAGTACTGCATTTGTTTTCCTTAATTCGGTAATGGCCTTATTTAATTCTACCACCTTCTTTTCAAACTCTTCGTTCTTCATATTTGCAGTATTTCTTTCGGTTTCTAATTTCGAATTTGTTTTGACCAAATTTTGAATTCTCAATGCAGATTTCCTACTTTTATCTTCTAACGATAATACTTTATGACTGAGTTCTTTAATTTTATTTTCTGCCATCAATACAGACTTCTTTTCGTTGGACAATTCCATTTCCTGTTGTTCTATCTTTGATTTCAAAGAATTAATCCTTGTTTGTTCAGATTTTTTCTTACTCTTGAATATTTGAAGTTCAGCACTAAACTTAGACTTGTCGTCTCTAATTTGCTGCAGATCCTTGTCCAGATCTTCAATTTGTTGTTGTATTCTACCTATCTCATCTTTACTCGACTGCGATGAATTGAGTTGAGACATTGACGTATCAAGAAAACTAGATTCATAAAGATTAGACAACTCTGTCAATTTTTCGTTGTATAATACTGAGAGTTCATCATGATTTTTTTTCAAAGCATTGAATCGGTTATTTAATGTCCAAATCTTCTTTTCAATATCGGCAACATTTATTTCATCGGATGCACCAACAGACAGATTTGAGTCATCCATACTGACATGCAAGTCCTCGTTCACCTTCTGCTTTAAAATTTCCAAATCCATGCATTCCTGATTGAATTTTAGTTGCATTCCGTGTAATTTATAATCCGCAATCATGACGGCAAACTTTAAAGTTTCATTGAAATCTTTCACTTTCTTATGTTTTCCGCACAAAGAACAAGCATTCTTCGAATCAATCGATTTGTTACCATCGAAAGATGTATCAATGTTGGAATTTTCCCAGTCATACATTTCATGCACAGAGTCATCGCTGCATTCAAAAAATTGAGTGGTTTCATATCTAGAATCATTAGTTGCATTCAACTTTGATGAGATTGATCTACGACGAGGTGTAACCGTGATAGTTTCTTCATTAAAAGACATTTCGGCCTTATTAATATCAATATCACGATTAGTGTGATCATTCAAAACGTGGGTGGTCTCATCCACTGCTGCGTCACGATGTATCTCTTTAGATCTTCTGAGTTTCATGCCTTCAAACTTTACAGACTTGAATGCCTTTGAATTTTTCACTTCGCTAGAGACTTCGTTCTGTGGATGTACTGAGTCTGTATTTTCAGCTAAAATTTCTTTCAGTTCCGTCAATGTAGTCAACGCATCGAAATTTTCCCCATCAAATCCTGTCAATGACTTATTTAATTTCTTTACCGCTAATGCAATTTCTTGTCGCTTTTCGGTTGACAAATGATTTTGACTCATTAAACATTCATGATTCTTATCCAAAAGGCATTCGATGCAAGATAACGCGATTTTTAGTTGATACTTCATAAACTCATCATGTCCATCAATATTCGTGCGGCGTAATGCTCCTTTTTCGATGTCAGCCAATTGTGTTTGCATTAATTCCTGCTGTTTTAAAAATGCGGTATTTTCCCTCTCGAGTTCTTCACGAAGATCTTCAGACTTCTTCAGGTTCAATTTCGATGTAGTATGTTCTACACTTCGATTTTCACTTAAGGATGGAGTGGAAATTTCTCTATACATTTTTAATTCGGCAATTAAAGACTCATTTTCTTGCACAGCGTCCTAATAAAAACAGAATAAGAATGAAAATTACATTATGGGAGAAATTAGACACATAAGACTGATGTAACAAAATTTAGTTCTCTAACAGTACATGAAGATGGAAAAACTGAAATAAGAATAACAACCTTTAATGAGGTAACGAGTTCTTCTTCCCGTATTTTGTGCTTTCTTTTTATAGTGTCTAACTCATACGTATAATCGTTGATTTCGGTCTTTAAAGATTTTATTTTCATCCGCAACATTTTCTAAAATGAAAATACTATGAAAAGGAAGTCAAAAGTACACTAGTTATTGTTCAGCAATATAAAAAAATCCTATACCTCTGTTGCTTGAAGCGTTATATTCTCTTCTTTTGTTACTTTAAATTGTGATTGCATTACTCGCAGAGCTTTGACTTCTTCTCGAAGATTCACACACTCGTTGCAATTGACGGATATGTGGTAGTCTTTCGCTGTATTTACATTTTCTGTCTATTTCATTCAAATAATTAAATTAGTACACAAGTAAACAATCGTAGAAATGGATTCAAAATAGTACACTATTCTGAACGGAACTTGTCATAAGATTTTAATAAAAACTAGAAATATAAATGTATGTATAATCAAAATTATTTTCTCTGACTTACTTGACGAGCGTAGGTGTGTTCCTTTGGGCAAAGATCCATTTCTATGCCTTCGGCAGTAATTTCGGTAGACACATCTTCATTATTACTGAAAAAGGTCATTAAATTCATAAAGTTAGATACAATAAAAAGAATATTAAAAATTTTACCTTATAGCAGGAATTGTTTGATAACTCCTGTTTTGTGTTTCGTTTTCAATGATCACGTTACTGTTTGAAAGTTCTTCAATATCTTCATAATTTTCACTGACTTTATGCTGTGGTGATTCTGATAAAATAACAAGGCATATCAGGAAATACAAAATCACCAATTAATTGCTACATTACAATTAAACCGTACTGCAGTGCAAAAAATCATATAAAGAAAAAAAGGGACTTCACGATACTTTACTTCCAAGTATAATTCGCAAACTTACCTACTGATGCTACTTTTTCGTTTTCTTTAATTGTAGGAAGTGCTGATGAATAACGGCTTCCCCTGAACGAGATTCTTCTTTTTTCTTCATGTGGTGAAGTATTTGGTGATGGAATATCAGATTCATTGAATTCCTCTGTCGTATTAACAATTGATCCATCCAGAGTTTCTGATTCAATACTCTGCTCGATATCCATTTTTCCTTCCTATAAAATATATCAAACCCTACATTCTTGGTACAGTTTATTAAGTGTCGTGTGTTCCTCAGCAAGTGAAGATATAAAATGTTTCTTTATAGAATTTATGTTACAGAATGTATGTACTTATTATTAATTTAAAAACAGCATTAAATGTAGTAGGATATCTTACAGTATGTTCCATGTCTTTCATAAGTTCCTGAAAATCTTCCCAAACGTGACTGCATATTGGTGATTTGCTTTCATATTTGTTTACTCGTGGATAATTTTGGATGCTATTTACTCTGAAAGCGAAGCTAGAATAAAAAAGACACATATGCTAAAAACAAGTACGGAATATAATAATATACCAAATGATATGCAGCACAATATCAGAACATTTTATTAGCCTCGATAGAAACATAGGCATCACACTTTCCCAGGCTATAAAATAATAAGAGGAAGAAAGATACATTATCCTTACTTTAACGTGGCTCTTGTTTCTGTCAGGTTTTCAAGAATTACTGGACATACGATCGTTGTTATAGAATTGCCACCTAGGGCAGATTGTAATGCCCTGGTCAATTTGCTCCTGTTATACTGAATATATTCCCATGGGGTTTCTCGTCTACATAGTGCTTTTATGATTGTGTCAAATGCTACACTTTCGTTAGTTTGATTCCTACTATCAGAATGCCTACGAGTTGCATTAGCACCTTCTAATGCTGCAAGGTCTACTAAACTCAACTGTGATAATTGAATTTCAGATCTGGAATTTTCATTTGAATCAATACTGCCTATGGTCTGGAATATAAAAAACAGTATATGAAATCTTTTTTCAACGTAGATTGACTGCAAACAAATGCTACATTCTTGGAAAATGAACAGATTAATCAGATATAATAATATAATAAGATTTAAATCATATCAAATACTTACAATTTGAAATATCGTATGAGCAGATCTCTCCTGTTCATTCTCTTCTGCCATCTTACATTTGTCTTGCATGATCTTTTCTATAATATAGTAAATGTCTTCTGGACTGTCGACCCGTTGATTGTGACATTTTATCTGTCTTTCTTTTTCATTAATCTTAACAAAATGCAAATCTGTACTATTTGCTTTTAATAGATCATTTATTTTGTTATTACATATTTCTACACAGGAGACTCTACAAAAGAAAAACTGTCAATGTATGGACACTATTTTCTATATTTTCTGTAACAATAGTCAATGACTATTATTAATTAAATAAACGGTTAGAACGACCCGATAGTAAATAAATAATGAATAGAAAAGAAGTGTGTAAAGAAAAAAGAACAATGCCGTTCTGAAAACCATATGTAAAGACAATATACCTTATTAAAAAAACCTGTTCTGCAATATTTTCGATCCTTTCAAATATATAATCGATCGAATACTGTAATATCCCTGGACTTTCTTTGGTACCCATCATGATATGGGTTTTTCCTGCTAGTTTCTGTCCATAGGTTATAATCGTGCCATTGAATCCTTTTATAACCTCTTCAATTACATGTTTGGCACCAATATCAAACACATCTTTGTTTGTTTCTTCAGCACGTACATAATGAACTAAGGAAACATTTTAATTTTATTAAGTCTACCTCCTTTCTTGTCTATCATATCAAATTTTATAGGACAAAGTAACATGGTTAATACTACACAATCACAAATCAATATAATTAAACATGAATCAATATAATTAAAACAATTTGAAAAATATTTCTTGTTATGAATACTTGCTATGGTTTAGCAATAACGAAAATATTTAAAGTTGGCCATTGGTCTGTTTACTACCAGTGATTCATAAACATGACGCAAGTCAAAGGATACATGTTTATTGACACGAAGTTGACACTTGCCCTTACAGTTTCATGACTTATACACAAGTACAAAAAAAGCACTTTACAAGTAGGTACATTTAAGAACTTGGACCCTATTAAAATCCGATTTATCTTCCGAATTAATGTAGGACCTCTTCGATGCTTCAAGAAAAAAGGTACATGTAATAAACTACTTAACTATACTCTTGCATTGTACCTCTAATAACCAATACACGGTTGTGGGCGTAAAAAAAAAAACACGTGGCCATGGAGAAACTAAGTTTGTTTAAATCAGTTAAACATATATGTTCTTTCCTAATTCTAGACAGTAAATATTGCATAATGTAAAAACACATTGGGAATTATACCAAAGCGTTTGTCCGTTTGCTGCGCAGATTTCTGATTGACGGGGACAATGGTATTTCCCTCAATCTTCCATTCTGCCGGTAAACTCTTGTTTTTGCCGGCGAGCGCAGGGCGAGCCTTGACAATCACTTGTATATTATTATTAGACATCGTTGCTACAAATGTTGACTAACTACACGACCCTCAACATCGCGTCCTCCACGTGACGCAGTATATTTCAACTTAACGAACGTTACAACACGACAATACGTCCACAAAACACAACGATCCAACCAAACCGTTGGCGACGAGTGACCGCGAGCCAGCTTCCTCGCCCTGCTATCCCTACACTTCTCTGTTTTTCGTTCGAATTTGAACCATAATCTCTGATTCGCCGAATACCGCTAATCCTCCCTTCCATGATTTAAATACGCAGTTTCTCCGCCCCCAGAAGTGGGGATAAAGGAAATATGTCGCAGCAGCGGTGAGTTCGTAAATGTTAGGTTATGTTCCGTACGTGAGCCACTAAAGACGATAAGTCCAGTTTCCAACGGACGTCGACCAGAGCAAATAGAAAAGAAATACCTCGGGATCTATTACGTAAAGCAAATTAAGCGAAAATGTGAAAAATGAGTAGCTCACGGTATTACGGAACGTTTTTGGTGGTGAAAATGCGAGATCATTAATAAGGGTATCTTTTTCTGGTATCCGCGGGCAGGTGTCGGTCGGGAGAAGGGACGGTACGGTAATTTTCGATATACAAGGTATGTATCTTTATTTAGCAATATTAATAGATCGGAAGTGCTAGTGATCTTGTTCTTTCATATAGCGAATACGTAATTCGGTGAATAAACTCACGTGAGATGAAAGTGCGAGAAGTGAGCGCTCTTGTCAAAAATATGTAATAAACGCCCTGCTCTCACGAAAGTCACATTTTCGCTAATTTTCCATCTTCAAAATCGCCATACAATATGGTAAAATTGTCCAAAAACAAATAGAAAGTTGAAAGACATTTAAACGGTATGTTTCGCGCTATATTTTCATTGGTTAAATCGCACATACTGGCTACGTTGGGGAATGACTATGATTGGTCCATCGGAAGGGCGTAACTTAGTTGCTTAACATGATGGCGACGAGAGTTGCAGATGGCGCCACTTCTGATGGAGTCGTCCGCCTTTCTCGGTTCGTAGTTCACGGCCTGCCCCACCCCGGCTCGAGATCACAGGCGGGCGGGCGGCGGCCATATTATTAGTGAGGTGTCAGTGTTTGCTCAACGTGACGGGATTTTTGGGTGTGGATCGCGCGATTCCCGGTCACAACCTGTCCCCCGGGAACGGTGAGAGTGTAGTGCTGCCGGGCTCCCGTTAATGCGCGGCTTACGTGCGGAAGGATCCTCCTCGTAGCCGGACCAGAGTAAGTCGTGCGGTGTGTCTCAGAATTCGGTGCGATTCGCCGATCGGGCGGCTCCAGGTGAACCGGAGACGACTCTACTAGCGCTTAATAGGCTTCGAAGAACGAGTTCTTCGACGTCACGTTTGCTCGTCGGACTCTAATTTGAACTCTTCGATATCTCTCCGCAATCGGGCCGAAACTCCGAGTCCTCCAAAGGAAGATAGCCGTTTGCCGAAGATATAGGTTACCTCTAGACACGTACCCCCTGCGACGCCTCGGGGCAATTCTCAGTAGGACCCTGATTTCTCTAGCTTTTACTCTTACCAGGTCTCCGATACCTTAGGCAAACAAGACAAAACCATTTGATAACCCTCTCGATGTCTCACCTCGTACTCCAGCAGATGGGAATCTCAATATATAAATGTAAACCCGACTTGCATATGTAGGCTAATTGGTTGCGACCACCACAACCTGTCGAGACCTCCATCTCCGGCACCCGATTTGTGGTGCGAAGCTAGCCTTCGAGCGAGTCGCAGAAATACTCATCGAGGATCTCGATCGACGTTCTTCCGATATATTTCCCAACGTCTCGATCCAGAGACCGGCTCTGTGACAAGTAATTTTCTATTTGCAGTGAAACAGAAAGCGTGCTTCGGTCATTGACGAGGTTATTCAAGTCGAGGGAGGTGCGTTAATAATTCATTGGTTGCACCTTCGGAACTAGATCCACGTAGAGATGAGGTTTTTCTCGAGTCGCTTCGAGCGGAAGCTGTTACATCGATCGCTCGGGCAGCATGCGAGGACTTTGCGAAACGCACAGGTAGTATGACGGATAACTAGACGACGTTAAAAGCCAGGTTTGTTACGAAAGTCGGGTGAATTCCGCGGGAGTCGTTTAAGCGCCGAAGCGATCGCTCGTCGTTGCGAGCCGGGATTTCGAAACGATGTCGCAACGGTACGCGTACCGTTTCTCCGTCGATAACGTCGCGTAGAGGTGTCTCGCGGCGAGCCGGGAAGATCGTGCGGTGCGTAACGGTGATCCGTGTCATTGGAATTCCCGATGCGAAGGAAATAGCTTAGCCTGGACTTTCTTGCCCCGAGTCGGGCACGCGTCTTTAACGGTTTTCCGTCTCCGACTTTCCGGTAACGAGAACCTCCTTCCCCTTTTCCCCGAGCGCGTCCGCCCTAAATCTCCACGTGCTCGGTTACTTCTGGAAATCCCTAAGACTGGAGAAAAGTCTCATAATCGAGGCGTTACCTCGCATCGCCGGTTATGAAAAATCTACGTGGGATCTGAGATTGATAAAAAGTGGGCAGACTATCGCTCGATCAAGCTTTACGTCGACGCGGGCTTTACGCACGGAGGTCGTGTCCACAGTTTCGAGCGCCACGTGCGACCTTGGAGGAGAAGATGAACGGTTAGGCGAATCGCTCGGGTAGATTCGCGATTTCGCGCGTGCCGCGGTACCTGTGCACCCGAGGCTCGTTTAATTCCTCGCTAGCCACGTATTACGTCCTCTTCTTCTTTTTTTAGAACCTTTCGATCCATTCAGTGATTTATCTCAAGACCCGTTTTTTTCAGCGAAGCCTCATCCGGTACTTCGACGTTTCCTCGAAGAATCGCAAACGGCACGGAATCCCGTCCCGAGAATTTCCTGGTGAAGCGGGTACTCGAGTGCTCGCGTTGCTCCTCTTCAACACCTGTTTCCATGCACGTGGAGAAGACACGAAGACCGATCCCGAGATATCCCCGCAGTGATAGGCAACGTCTTCTTGGATTCATATTTCTATATCCATACGTTTGATACCCTGAAATGTATGAATGCTTTGATACAAATCCGAGAAGACGTTATCTTCTTCACTTTTCCCTCGCGGATCGCGGTTATTCGAAATTTCCGTAACTGTTGGCACGTAAAAGTCCTGCTGGTTCCTCGCTTGGACCGGGCTTTACCCTTTTTCATTTTATTTCCTTACAATGAACGGTGCCATTTCATTGATGCTACTCGTGACCGCGTACACTTCTTCCTGCCGTGCGGATTGGAAGTTACGGGGAGCGCGCACGAACCGCAGAAACATACCCGACACGTAATCGCACTTTAACGTGGCACGAGACCTTCCATTGGTGGTCTCATATGTGTGCACCGACTTATGCGTGTACAGTCGTTTAGGGACTAGGCGCATTTCGCATTTTCCTCCTTCGAGGAGAACTCATCCGATTTATTAGGCCGGCCCTATCAGCAGTGTTGATAACACGCAGCTGCTCGACGCATGCGTTTGGCTTAACTCTTCCGCTACGGGAGATTTTAATGCCTCTCGCTCATTAAAGAGTGCGAGAGGGTACAAATGTAGAGGTAGTGTTTTTACATTTTTGTTAGTACGAGGTTGCCACGTCGATGGACATTTTCGAAACCGTAAATGCTAATGGTACGTTACGAGCGAAAGTATTCCCGTCTATAGGCGCCAGGAACGAAATGGTTAATGAGAACGCTAGGTGATACCGCTACGTTCTAAGCGGATCTCGGTTATGTGGATTTGCATTACGATTAGTCTCCTCTTCGTTATATCCTCGAGATTTTGGCCGAGAAGTCGACCAAGAATATCTGGGCAGGAAGTGGCGGTTCTAAATTAAGGGATTACTCTCCTCTTAGAGCTGGTGGACGTATCGGGACGTTCGAATGATTCCGTCATATTTCTACGGCCTTTTCCTCAAAAGTTACTCAGCGTAGGCGGTCGCGGTCGGTTACTTTTAGACTCTGCTTGTTGTTTTGTTCTGCTCGTTACTGGGTTCTGTAAGAGTAGGATTTTATTAACGAGTTAATGGGACTCGGATGCGCCGATGCAGAGCGGACTTGGCGGGATTTCATCGATTTTCCTGTCTGGTTTGAACTCTTGTCACTAGAGCGTTCGCTCGTTTATTCGCATATTTGCATATTCGTATATTCGCATATTCGCATATTCGCATATTCGCATATTCGCATATTCGCATATTCGCATATTCGTATATTCGCATATTCGTCTATTCGTCCATTCGTCTATTCGCTTTTTCGTCCATTTGCTCCCACCGCGGTGTTTCCGCGTGTCCGGGTGCGTAACGCCCGTAAATGTCGCGATATAGGAAAGTGATTCACGGGAGTTTGCGGCGGCACTCGCGAAAACCCCGCCGACGTCTCAATGCTGGCCGCGACTCGGCGAGGCCCGAGCGTCCCTCCCCGCGGTTCTCACGTGTGGTCGCTTTTCTTTCTGCTCCAGGCTGACTGTTTAACCGACCAGGACCAGAGCAGACGCAGCCGCCAAGATGCCGAAGTCGGTGAGTCCGTGCACCCTGGGGCACATTTCACGTCGAGAAGTCTCACCTAAGCTCACCAGAAGGCGACCACGTGATGATGTATCATGGCGATATGTAATCGAATCCTCTAGCTTTCGTATATCGGTTAAATACATAAAATCGATTTATGCGGATATATCGCGAGGATTCATCGTCACGTGGTATGGAGTCATCTAAGTGAACGCCGGATATATGGGAAAAAAGGAATATACCTATCTCGTCGCATCGTGGCTACTCGTCGAGCGTCCTCTAGCCCGGCTTTCCGTTGAATCCGGCTCGCGCGGCGCTTCCCCGACGCGTGCGCGCGCACCCGGTACCGGGCTCGCCTCCCATTGGCTGGCGGCCAGGTCACGTGGTCGATTCTCCCCGACCCTCCCACTGCCGGTTCCCAGATCTCGGCGCGGGGGTAGAGCGAGACGGATAGAGGGGTTAGAGGGGAAGGCGCCGGTTGCACTTGGCCCCGCGGGCCATTGTTCGACCCGCGTCGGACCCGGTGGGACCGAATTCCCCCCCCCCAGCAAGGACCTCTATAGAGGGACTACTTTACTCGAGATCCCCGATGCAACCTTAAACCGTATATATTCTAGACTTTGCATCGCAGTGGAGGGGGGGAATGTACCACGTGAGGCGGCGACCGCACGGTTTTAAGGTTATATGCAAGTGGCGTCACAGTGGTCTCGTTTGTGACACTTTTCTCCGAACTGAGGGCATCGAATCTTTTCGAAATTCACGATGCGAATGGAGATTGTATCCGGAAGGCCCCGATATCCGTGGAATTTCAATTCCTTTTCATTTGTTCATGGATATTGGCGGAGACATTTTTGGTTGTTATAAGAAAAAAAAAATTAAATTTCATGAGGGTCGGAACCTTGATTATGGGTGTACATTTTTGAGGTGTAAAATTTGAGATGCTCAATGTCAATTGTAGACGGCTTACGGAAAAATTGGGCGTGGGAGGTCCGATGCACATTTTATGTGTATATGGTGGAAGGATACAACCTAACCAGAGGGGACTTCTCGTCACGAGGGAACCGATTCCACGTAACCCCGAGTCCCGGATGCGAAGGCGCAACCACGGATGTTTCTTAATATGCAATCGCAGTTTGAGGACGGAGAATTCGAGGCTATTACGGCCAACGGGAAGGACGTCTTATGAGAGTGCCAGGTTGCGCCGGACTCGGTAGTACGTTACTCTTGAAATCCATTGCACTCGGACGTGACGAATCGGCCACTTCGTTAGCGGCCGTCCCGGTGCAACCAGAGATGCAACAGGTCCCATTGTTCGGAGGAGACGATTTTGATATCCTGGGGCCGCGAGGTGAGGCAACGACTCCCGAGGGTGCAATGAATTTCGAGAATAACGGCCAAGAGAGGCGATCGCAAGTCTCGAAGTGCCATCCTATGGTTACACGACGTCCGTACCATTTGTCAACGTTTGTCGAGACGTTGATGCGCGTTGTTAAATTATCGAGGTCGGGACTCCTTGACGATTACCTTGATTTCGGTAACTCGACGTACTCCCGGGTGATACGGTGAGACGGTGCGACTCATCGCGTTTCTCGTTTTCTAGATGAACGTGAGGGTGACGACGATGGACGCGGAGCTGGAGTTCGCGATCCAGCACACCACCACCGGGAAGCAGCTCTTCGACCAGGTCGTCAAGACCATCGGGCTCAGGGAGGTCTGGTTCTTCGGGCTGCAGTACACCGACAACAAGGGCGACCTTACCTGGATCAAGTTATACAAGAAGGTAGGCCTTCCAACGTTCTTAGAAACCGTTGGGTTCTCTCTTCTTCCGAAGTCGAGGACACGATTATCGGAGCCTGGACCTGATCGATCCCGAATATAGGGTCTAGAGGCAATATCGAGACGTCCGTTCAAATAGCACGACCTGGTGGTCGTTATAACGTAATGAAACATAATACACGGGAGAATTTAGCGCTCTTTTGTTCCTACAATTGTTCCCCGATAAGAAACGTTGCCATTACGAGGATAACGCGGGGAATGCTAGCGTTATCATCGAGCACTAAATTTTTCCGTTCATTTTATTTCATCGTGCCGGCCTTTGACGGACGTGATATCGAGACCCATCGAGTCCGATACCATGTACTGTATGGTGTTGGACACGAATGCCTTCCCTGCGGATACGGCGCCGCCAGTTTTGGACGAGAAGGCACTCCTGTCCGCTACTTTACCCTGACTCCATATATCGGCAAGGAATTCGGCTTGCCTCGGTACTGTAACCGCGCTCGTTACAGTTACCTCGGAGAAAGCGAACTTGCATGTCGTACGAGAATTTAGATTTTCTTTTTTTTTTCTCTTCTCTTCCTCCCATTTTAGTAGTAGGCTCGGAAGTTGTGGCGTGGGAGAGACGCTTGTAAGGCCCCACGAGCGATGCATCCCGTACAATTTCACGTAATTTAAAAAGTGCCCCTTGGTGGGGACTTCTTTTTTCCTGACATTGCCACCGCGTTACTCTGTGCGCGGATGCGTTAACGCGACACCCCGCGCGCCATGTATTTATTGCTAGTCTCTAGTCAATATCATGTAATTAAAAAAAAAAAATTCCCCCGAGAAATTCTGGCCTGTCTCTCACTCGGTGGGGACTTTTCTTTTTTTTTTTTCTGACACTGCCACCGCGTTTACTCCGTACGCGGATGTATTACACGAGACCCCGCACATCCCGCACACCGTGTACCGCCGTTCCCCGGGTAATTGTAGCGCGTACACGCATCCTGCTTCGGAAAGAACGACCGTGGGTTCCCGAACTCGGCCCTCGCCCCCCGGCGTGACGCACGGAGAGAGAGAGAGAGAGAGAAGCGTCTGGCGCTGAGACGAGTTCGGCCACTTATGTCATGCCGATAAAAAAGCAAAAGCAAAAGGACACGGCCGGCGACAAACGGTGATGTCACCGTGCAACAGCGGCGGCAACCGCGGTGTCTTTTAACTCGCGGTCCTATAAAAGTCCCCTTTCCGAGGCGCCGTCCGCGCTGCAGACCGCGGGACGTCACGGCGAAGAGCTCTCGCTGTATTTTCGGAACGAGGTTACGGACTGATCCTGTGGAGAGAGAGGGAGAGAGATCCGCGAACACGTGATTCGAATTACCAGGCTGAATTTTTGTGTCCAAGTGTGCACACGGTGGGGGAATTAATAGTACAAGCGTTAAAGCGTTTTTAGGGCGAACTTTGTACGAGGTTTTTTCCTTTCCTTTTTTTTTCCTCTCCCACTCTGTGCACGGGGATACGTGTAATTTATTTGTATTCCGTCCGGAGGGGGGAAAAAGTGCCCCGTGCAGAATTTCATCTCGACCTTTTTCGAGGCTGCTATTCGGGATACTTTTTGTTTCTTCAGCGTCGAGATTCGAGATCAGGAGAGGGGACTCCGCGAGTTATCTCACCGGACATATCTCGCGACGGATTGGGTCTTTTATTTATGCGTTTACACTTTTTTTTTTCTTTTCCTTTTTTACTATTTTCCCTCGTCCCCAAACGAAAGTCTGGCACGGTCGGCTGGGTTTCCACGGGAATCTTGGCACACAAGGTGGGTGTAAACCCGTTGCTTTCACCGCGAGAGATGCGTCGAGACGCGCCTTCACCTTGACACGGTGACGTCCTCGCCGTCGCGATTGGCTAGGTGTCTCTTGATTATCCTGTCCCGATAATAGAATCACAACGATTGAGTGTATACAGGATTTTTTTTTGTTTAGAAATAAGGGAGAATCCCTTGGCGGCGATAAATTTCTCTTTGAACTTTCTTTAGAATCCTGGGAATTTTTTCTATCTTTTCTTTTTTGTAGACTCTTGGTGTAATTTCCCGGAAAAGGGGGAGGATAATCGTAGGAAGGAAAAGCATGGGAACGCAGGTGGGCGACAGGTGAACTCGGGTTTCACGTAAGATAGTTTCACGGGAGGGGGAAGGAAAAGTCGATACCCCTTATCGACGATCGCTAATTCGAGAAAGCAACGAGGAAAGCGGTTCCTCGAGTTCGCTCCGGATACGAGGATCGGAGGAAGTCGGCGATTTCCTCTCGATTCCTCGTCAGGTAAATGTCGACTCTCCGTGGTGGGATAATTTGTTAGGGTGGTTTTCTTCATCATTGTCAATGTAATGAAATCGCGACAGGCCAGGCCTTGCGATCGAGGCACGTAAAAGGCGTCGCTCGTGCATAATAACTGCCTCGATAAGGAGAGACGGGAATCTTATCACCGTAGGTTGTATGTATACATGCGTATGCTAGAAGTGCTCGTAGGCGTCGAGTAGAGTAGATTTCTAGTAGAGTTGGGCTACTCCATGGTGTTTCTCTCCTGGGAAAGGGGAGACTTCCTCTGGGGGGTCATCCTTTTCCTCCGTAGTCGGTATTAATGGAAAATGTCCCCTCGACTTAAGAATGGAATTTCATGCAGCCCGAGAGCGCTATCACGAGGGTCGTTAAGAAGGAGGTGAAAAAGAAGGTTCGAAAGCTGAGGGGATGCTCCGATTCCGACACCGACGACGAGTTCGAGGACGACCTGGTAAGCGGATATCCAGGACCTCCACGTCTGATAATTCAAGGATATTCCTATACCGTCAATTTTTGACGCGGGAAATACGAGGGGAATTGATTTAAAAATTAAGAAAAAAAGAAAATCCAGGAGTCCCGGTTATTTATTTTTTTTTTGTTGGATAAGAAACATTGTATCGAGCTATCTTGAGAGGCGACTCGAACGGGAAATCAAGTCGAAACGAGCTTCCTGATTAAGTGGCGCCGATTAAATAGATCCCGATAATGCCGGCCAGAAATCCAAAGTAAACCTATTTATCCATCCGAGATAATGGCGAACCGTCGTTCCTCGATTTATTGCTGCTGGTAATTTTCACTTTTACTTTTTTTTAATTTTTTTCCCCTTCGTGGAAACCTCGGCGGCTCCATGCAAATTGAACGGTACCGGTCGTCCGGTCTTTTCCGAGGGGACTAATGACACCTGTTCAAGGTGCTCGCTCGCCAATCCAGTTATCCGTATCTGGTCTCGCTCCGGGAAACGATAATCCTCTTAGAGCTTTATCCGGGGCATTCAGGAAACATCGGCCAAAAACAATACATCCGCGCGTATTGATCCGTGCCCCGACTGGTGATCCTCTTTTCTACAAATGAATCCCCCCTCGTCGAAGGATTTGATATCAGTGACAGTTCCGCAGTTTCGTCCCAGCGATCACCGATCACGTTTATTGCGAATTATTATTCTCGAATATTTTCACCGTATCATCGTAGGACGAGGATGCAGAGATTGTTTTGAGAAACGGAATGAAATCCACTTCATTTGTACGTCGACTCGATCTCTACACCTGGGTTCACCCTTCCTAATAATTAATTTCCTTTTCGTTGTAATTATAATAAATTCATCGTCGCGACATCGCGGCAATTAGCGACGGCTTAAATGGACCGTCCTTGATTTTTTTTTTCTTCTTTATTAACTCGTTGACGTCGGTAAACCAGACGGTCGAATTGTCATAATTTGCCGAAATAAAACGGCGATTTGTTTCAATCGAACGGAGCACGTCGATGTTGGTGCGTTAAGGAGGTAATTTATTATTTTTTAATTTTTTCTTTTTTGTCGCCGTGTCGCTGCGGGTTAGTGCGCGGTCAAGGTCGTTGTAGTCGTTGCAGTCGGTGCAGTCGTTGCAGTCGGTGCAGCGCGCGATGCCCCTCGGCGGAGTCGTCGCCGACCCCGAGGAACGAGCTGGGAGTCGAGAGAAGGCAAATCCACAGGTGGTTTCTCTCTGGTAACCACGGACTATGGAATCTTGCGTAACGAGCCGACCCTCGGGCTCGCACGGCCGGCGGAAATTCCGCGTGTCATTCCGCGGCTAGTGTCACGCACGCGGAATCGCGTGCGTGCGGCCCTCGCGCGTGCGAAGCCGGCCGGATCGCTGCAGACTCATCCTTCTTAATCGGGATAAACTGTGGTTTCCTCTATCTCGCCGTCTGATAAGGCTTACCCGACGACGGAAAAATGAATCCTCGTTGAAATGGATATAAAATAAAACTCAAGATTTCTCGAGGATTTTTATGGACTTTTCAGGATTTTGGAGTTTCACTGATGATCATATTGGGGTGGCAGCTGAGTGATTGCGGATTTGAAATAAGAGTAATCTATCGAGAAAATCCGCAATCATTTAGTTGCCAACCCAATAATAGAGATGGATAAGGTGGGGGACGAGAAGTCGGAAATTTGTTTGCAAGATTTTCCAGGATTTTGCATTTTCGTCGATGATCACGATCAGTCGGGTCTTTGGCCGTGAAATTCTAATGACAACGTCGATCTTGACTGGTCGAATATCGACCCTAACGGCACTCTTAACGGATCGGATACAATCCCGCCGTAAAACGCATAGCGGAAACGGCGACGTCTCCGTTGAAGACGCTGTTCCACCCCAGATATATCGCTATTCTTATGTATGGAGACGAAGTATCCGTCGATTCGCGCTATTTCGATCTCTCTGCCTCCTATCACTGCCCGATAAGGCCTTTTCCTCGGATCTCCTTCCGGATCCAGAAACCGGCCGAGATTCCGCGGTCCGAGGGAGATACCCTAATCGTCGTCATGACTCACTCAGGAGGTTCCCGGAATAGCGCCATAAAGAGAGCGATTCCTCTACTTTTCGGGGAATTTTGTCAGATACATATTTATCACCGTTTATAAATAATCCTGACATATGTATCGTATACATGTATCGAGGGACGTTGCCACTAAATGCAGCCTTCTATCGGGGGTAACCGTGCACGCGATAAGGGACTTCGTCTGCGAGTATTCCTGTCGTCGGTATTTAATAACAATTAACCCGAGGCTAATGAAACGAGGCGTTAATTCGCGTCCGTGAATATTCATGATCCCAAGTTTATTTTCCTACGGGCACCGGGACGTTATTCCAGTGCCTTCAGGTGCACGCGAGTACGCGTGTTACGTCAAGTACGCGTAACACGACAAATTGTTGCTTCTGGCCGATGACGAGCTCTTTGGGAGCATCACGCTCGCATGGGCCTTTTTTCTCTTCCTTGTTTATCGTTTTCTTAACGTCGCCGCAGCTAATGGATGCGCGCTCGTCGTCGGTATTGTTTATTGCCGGGATCGCGTTGACGATCGGCATTGATGCGACCCAATTGATAGCCGATAATAGGAGGGAATAATGAGCCGGACAATTGCCGAGGACGAACGCGCACCCGTCGACTCGATCGACGAGGTACTGCCTCGTATTCTCTAACTTTTATCATATATGTCCATTCTATGAACGCATGCCCACCGGAATACTAACAACTGGAAGAGTGGACTTCCGTTCTTGTCTAGGGTAAGCCTAAGAAAGTATTAATCCGTTTGTGTGTATCCGTTTGTTATGTCGTTTGCATGGCGCTGACTTAACATCCAGCTCGGCCTCTATGATGCAAAGTGCATATGGTAACAGCGTTTGCTCCTATAATTAATCCTACCTCTATATAATTAATTGTAAAACCTATACCCTGAAGAAAAAAAAAAATGTTCACTGAACCAGAGACATATTTCCTTGAATGGTACACCAAAGGAATATTATTATATATTTTTTTTTTTTAATACAGAGAATAATTATTTCCCTCGAGGAAAATCGGGTAAACTGGATGCGACGTGTTTCTTCGGAGTTTTGACGATTTATTTTAGGCGGATGTAATTATTCTTTCAATTATACGTACATTTCATTGGCACTATTCGAGGGAATGTTTCTAAGGTCGAATGAATTTTTTTTTTTTCTCGGGGCATCTTGATACCGTTGGGTCAGTGCAAGATACCGTAAGTGATCTTGGTCCCGGGAATGATAAATATTAATCAGTGGACTGCTGAGCACTTTTGACGTATGGCCGAAATTCGCGACCACGGGCAGGCGATAATGGACCGAATGTCGGGTGTATATATTCTCCACTCGCAGTCGAAGGGTTAATTCATATTTTTACGATCCCTGCGAAGAAGGGAGATTTTCTTATCGGTACATCTCGAGGTTCGATTTTCACTGACCTTACGTACTTAGCAGTACTTGTAGTGCTTGTCGGTAGTACGTTGTAATTAAGTATTTATATCGAGGTATCACTTTCTTTTTTGTTTTTTTTTGGAATGGTACAGCTGTACCCTCCGTAATTATTCGCGCAGTTTCCGAGGGTCCTTGGGAAAAAGTCGGGCAAAAAAGCCGCCGCGTCTCCGCACACGTTTTGCGGCCGACTCGCGTAACGGGCGTTTCCGCTTCGCGGATTCTCTCGTATATTTTCGCAAATAATGGCCTAGTTCACACCAGACCGCTTATGGCTTGCAGACGCGAAATTTGCATCCGCTGGCTAAGACTTCCTCCATTGTTCTCGCGTATCCGTACGAAGGCGTGGACGGAAGGATTAAAATCTCTCGCCTTTCTTTGGACCTTAGCCCGACGATGATTCTTCTGCCGATCGTCAAGATGTACCTGTAAATTAAACAGAATAAATAAATTAATGATTCCGGGATGTCATAGCGATCCATAAAGAAAATAAGTAGAGCGGAACAGTGTGACCTAGGTCGGTGCCGTGCCCCAGGTCATGGTCGGGCCTCGATAAAGTGATCTTCTCGATCGATTCTAGATCGCATATGTACCCCTCGATCGAGAGATGAACCCTTGGCGAATGATTGCAGGTGGTTCCCTTCGACCTGCGAGCGATTTGGCACGTAAGGAAATTTCCTTGATTGAGACCGAGTGGCGTTATCTATTTGTGTTCACCCTTTCCGTGTTCACCCGACAATTTCGTGGAGACTCGAAAACGAACGAGATCACGACACGGCACCTTTTTAAATCCCACCGACGTCTAGCGACACATCAGCGACGTTTAATTGCCACCTACGCTGTCGTTTTTATAATCCACCGTTTCGTAAACATTTAATTTTGCAATATTTCCTTGTCGCCATCTCTTGCACGTGGCGGGCTTTTTGAAAGGGGAGATTTCCGTGGGATTGCGATATCTTCGTTCCGAGGATGAGAAGAGTTATTTCCGTGGTTTTTTTTCCCCTTTCTTTTTCGCATCAGAGGGGAGCGCGGTTAATTTGAATTTGAATTTTTATGTACAATCGCTCGGCTCGCGGGCTCCCATTTTTGTGGCGGAATTACGTAAGGAGCAACGCGTGTGCCTATCGGCAATTGTGAGAAATTATGTCACTGGCATTGAACCACGGGGGTCAAGGCGACCCTGTCGAGGAGAGTTTCCTGGCCAACATCTGCGAGATACAACCCGAGCAGGACTAGATGCCGATTAAGCCTGCCCCTAGGATATGCCGAGATGGAATAAAATTATTCTGCAAAATGTAGCATTTTGCCGTTGCAATAATTCTCCTGTAGTTTGACAGTAGAATATCCTGCCAATTGTTCTCAAATTCTCCACTGTATTTTTTTTTTGCCTCTTTTTGTTTATCCAACCCTATTGTGTGAGAGATTTCTTTTCTTAATTTAGTTTGCACGTTTCTTTTATTTGAGTATTTCAAGAAGATGTATCGAGATGTACCCATAGACGGGTTCTGTCGTAGACTCGGCACTCGGAGTCGTTCGAGCACTGATAAGCTCGTGGTGATTACAGGTGATGAACCAGGATGTGAAGAAGGAGAACCCCCTGCAGTTCAAATTTCGTGCCAAATTCTACCCGGAGGACGTGGCCGAGGAGCTCATCCAGGAGATCACCCTTCGTCTCTTCTACCTTCAGGTACTGAATCGGTGAAATTATTCGTACGTGAAATTATTCATACGTCCGTATCGTCACTTATTTCGGGACGAGGCAGGTACGCGGTGCCACGTATCAAAATATCGAGCGATAAGATTGGACAACAATGTCGGAGCGGTTGATCAGCGCCGATTAAAGTTTGGGTTAATCGGGCGACTTGGAGTCGGTCGAGGGCAAATCACGTAAAGGTGATGAACCTGGGGGTCGGGGAGAGCGTAATCGAGAGTCATCGACCATGTTTTCCAGATACGATAGCTTATCTCGTGGGAGGTACTTCCGAGTACATTTTAAGTTTTTGGTCAATTACGCTGCGTAATTTTCTACGTCTTCCCGAGTTACATTAGGGAACGATGAGATTATTTTACAAGGGAATACTTGGTCAATGAACCGAATGATTTTTTCTTTTTCTTTTTCTTTCTCAGGTGAAAAATTCCATTCTTACCGACGAAATCTACTGTCCACCCGAGACCTCCGTTCTTCTGGCCTCGTATGCGGTCCAGGCTCGCCATGGTGACTTCCAGAAGGGAACCCATACCGCAGGGTTCCTGGCGAACGACCGTCTGTTGCCCCAGCGTGTCATGGACCAGCACAAGATGAGCAAGGAGGAATGGGAGACCCCCATCACCAAGTGGTGGCAGGAACATCGCAGCATGATGCGCGAGGATGCCATGATGGAGTACTTGAAGATCGCCCAGGTGTGATAAGAGACGTATTCGAATATCCCTGGTCGTTTTTGATAAATGTAAATTGTACGGGGGAGATCACACGAGCCTATCTTCTTGGCCAGGACCTTGAGATGTACGGCGTTAACTACTTCGAGATCCGCAACAAGAAGGGCACGGATTTGTGGCTGGGCGTCGACGCCCTCGGTCTGAACATCTACGAGAAGGACGACAAGCTGACGCCGAAGATCGGCTTCCCGTGGTCCGAGATACGGAACATCTCGTTCAACGAGAAGAAGTTCATCATCAAGCCTATCGACAAGAAGGCGCCGGACTTCGTCTTCTTCGTCTCCAGGGTCAAGATCAACAAGAGGATCCTGGCACTCTGCATGGGCAACCACGAGCTCTACATGCGCAGACGTAAACCCGACACCATCGATGTTCAGCAGATGAAGGTGTGCCTTTTGGCTCGGTCTATCGATAACTATTGTTGATAAGTCAGAATCTATCGTTTCACTTTCTATCCTGTGATGTTTACTATATTTGCTACTACTGATTGCCGTGATCTGAAACAGTTCTGAGGATGCTTCGCTTTGTTGAGTACCAGCCGGGTGTTGATTATGGAAATGTGGGAGAGATGAGAAATATTGAATTGTCTAGGCTCAAGCTCGAGAGGAGAAGATCGCGAAGCAGCAGCAACGGGAGAAGCTGCAGCTGGAGATCGCCGCGAGGGAACGGGCCGAGAAGAAGCAGCAGGAATACGAGGAGAGGATCAGAGACATGGCCGAACAGATGGCCAGGCGGCAAGCCGAATTGACCGAGGCGCAGGAAATGATCCGAAGATTGGAGGAGCAGTTGAAGCAGCTCCAGGCAGCGAAGGAGGAATTGGAGAATCGCCAGAAGGTTCGCTTGGCTTTCGCGAGGTTTACTTTCCTCGTGACGTCCTTATTTACAGAGTAGTTAATTATAACTCCGCGCTCTTTGACAGGAATTGACGGTGATGATGGAGAAATTGGAGCGATCCCACGAGATGGAGGCTGTCGAGCGAGCCAAACTCGAGCAGGAGATTAGGGACAAGCAGGACGAGGTGCAGCGCATCCAGTCCGAGGTCGAAGTCAAGGATGCGGAGGCCAGAAGATTGCAAGAGGAGGTCGAGGCCGTCAGGTAGTAACTCCAGACTTCGAGTTCCCAATCATCCCGGAGATCTTTAGATAATTACCCTGAGTCGAGGGTATTTATTTAACACGACGCCAAATTTAACAGAATGAGACAGTGGGAGGCCGACCGGGCGCTGCAGGCGAACACGACTCCGCATCACCATCACGTGGAGGAAGCCGAAGAGGAGGGCGAGGAGGAGGGCGAGGACGAGACGCCGCACGGCGACGTCACCAAGGAACTCGCCACCGACGAGTCCATCATCGACCCGGTGGAGGAACGACGTACTCTCACCGAAAGGAACGAACGTCTTCATGATCAATTGAAGGTGAGTCGCGCTCGCCGTTGCGTCTAAAAAATACATTTTCTTTTCCCCCCCCCCAGAAAGAACGGAGCATTTTTCATGACAAATCCGCATATACGTTCACAGGCATTGAAGCAAGATCTTGCCCAATCGCGGGACGAGACTAAGGAGACGGTCATGGACAAGATCCACAGGGAAAACGTTCGCCAGGGTCGCGACAAGTACAAGACGCTCCGCGAGATCCGCAAGGGGAACACCAAGCGTCGCGTCGATCAGTTCGAGAACATGTAAATTATGCCCAAACCTTTTTAAAATCCCGATCGTTACACCGTATACCTACATACCCTCCTCCCGACTCTTGTCTTTGCGTCACCGATGTGCGGTAAATGCAGCAAGTGCATTGAACGCATCGGGGACTACCGTGGACCGTACGATCGGCACGCGCGCACCGCGACGACGAGTCGCTCCTCGATCGTCGGCGACGCCTTGTTATTATTTTTTTTTTATTTTTATTTTAAATTACAATCCTGCACGATTACTCTCACGCCACGTCTTCTGCGACCGGGCCTTCGGCAGAAATGGCGGTCGATCGATTCCTAAGGAGCAGCGACGCGTCGATACAGAGATTCGCCTCGATCGTACGAGTCCACGACGTTGACGCCGAAGAGCCGTAGCTTAACGATCGGTCAAGAGACTCGGGCAACGCAGGATTAATCTGTCTTCCGTATCGTTTATAAGGTAATCGTTTAGATGCCGGGTATAACACATCGTAACGATGTATCCTGACGAGCGAGGACGCGATCTCGCGTGCTGTCGCTGCTATTCTCGTTGGGATTCTCGTTTCCTCGTCATGTAGCCGTCCACGGTGCCAGCGCTTCCCTAAGGAAAAGGAAGGAAAAAAAAAAACTATCCGTCTAATCAATATGTATGATATGTTATTTTACAACGGTGCGGTACTCGTCCGTCAAGATCACGTCTCGGGCAGTATTTTAAATGCATTTCCTCGCAAGTTCGCTTGGCCTTCGATGATGATTCGCGAGGTCGTTGGCGAGTTCTTCTCGACCGTTCGTTAAGGCGCGTTTTCTCGACAAGACGTCGGTACATCTCGTCCGTATAACGGCCGGGAGCAAATCGGCGTTTCCGGCTGGAAACGTCCTCGGATGCTGCGTCTGGCTACGTTAAGTGATATATCGGATATCAAAAGGAATTTATATATAACTTTACAACGATCCGCGGACTAGTTTGTAACGCTCTATTTACACGATTTTTGCGATGCGTCGATTAGAGCGAGTTTTATATTGAACACACTTGTGGCCTTTGATCGGTACCCGCAGGGGGAACTAGAGGTACGATATGTAACGTTAAGATATATACCGTAGGGACGTCCCTTCGAAAAATGTTAGTTATTGAGCTCGCCTGTTAGAAGAGAGGAGCCCCAGGGAGGGGAGGCTGAGAAAGAGAGTAAGAGAGAATGGGCGCGTAAATGCACGTGAAAATGGGAATGTTAGCTGAATGACGATGCGCGGATGCAAGTGAATGGGGGACCGCGTAAGAGAGAGAAAGAAAACGACGGGCTTGAAAGAAATAGGACGGAGAGGGGGAGACGGAGAGGGAAAAAGGAACGGCAGGCCTGGGATGCCGTGTGTTACTTTTAAGCCAGTTTTTCTTTTTAAGGAGGAAACCTAGGAAGGCGACCACTAACGACACTTAATCCCCAAAAGCTGCCAATCTTTGCCGCGCGCGAATTAAGGGTGTTAACACGGGATGGGGACATCATTTTCAAACATACGCGCGATTTCGGAACAAACGTGGGGAGTGAGAGAAATGAAAAAGAGGAAGAAAGATTAAACTAGACGGCAAAAACATGGAAATCAATTAATCGATTCATTTTTATTACCGTTTTCATTGTGCACTATTTATCACCATGCGGAGAGGGAGAGAGAGAGAAAGAAAGAGAGACGAGGGGAATATGAAATTAGACGGCAAAACATGGAAATTAATTAATCAATTAATTCTTATTACCGTTTTCATAATACACTATTTATCACCACGCGTTACAGCCACGGCAACAACAGAAGGAATTACGATAGATATTTTTTGATTATATTTAATATTAATATTTACAAATTAGTAGCGTTATTATTATTATATTATTAATATTAATATTTACAGTATAGTAGCGTTATTATTATTAATTAATTAATTATTATCATCAGGATAATATTAAAAAGTGAACTAAAGCAGAGCATTTTATAGTCGTCCATTTCTACTGATGCTGAACGGCGATACTTACGTATACGTGCGACAATTCGACACGTGGCGGGATTAGGACTCGCAAAGGTAGAAACCGAACTCGACAATAGAGAGGTCTTTTGCAAACATTCCATAGCCACACGGTGTTCTCGAACTTGATCCGGGTCCTTTCGACCCCGTGAAATTCCGAGCTTAAACTCGATCGATTATTCGATGGAGGAGGCCTACTATAACTCGATGCAATAAAGGATTATCTACATCTCGGTTGAAATTGCCTAACTAGTGTCCGGTTGATTTTTCGGTTTCGCACAACTACTGCACCGCGAAACGATACCTGGGAAACTCTCGTTCCCCGTTTTCTTGGGAGGTGCTCCCGCGTTAATTGTCATTGTTGCGAGACATGCCGTGGGCCTTGTCGATATATCAATTGCAAGTGTTCGGTCAGGTGTGCGTGTCTGACTCGGTCGTATGAGATGTTCGCATTTAATCCTGAATTAGGAATTGCGCAGGACGTGGGACTTCTCTGTACGAGGAGAATGTCGAGGTTTTGTTGGGGTGTATCGCTTGAGAATTTACACAGAAGGTACAGAGAGGTCCAACGCGTAACAATGTGGTGATCACGGATAAGGACAATCGGTGCAAATGGCATTCAATATGTAACGCGGTGCTAGAGCGGTTTTATGGTTCTTTTGTGGCTAGGTAGATGAAGACAGAGGAGGGATTTCTTTTTTAGAGTATTTCCTTTTAATCGTATCCGTCTTTTAAGAACGCATGTCGGTTCTCGAGCACCTCCGGCGAACTTCTTCACCCCTCCCCTCGATTGAAATTCTTCGTTTCGTTACCTTTAATCGGGCGTTTGATAACAGGTCTGTAGTAGCAGTATTATTATTGCGTTGGGTAATTATCACACGGAGCGATTCGCACGACCGTAGAGACACGCGGGTACCATCGAGCCGCGGAGAGACACGTAGATACTGTATATTAATTCGAAACTGTTGGTGCGAGGACATATGAGAAAAGCTACTTATATACTTTTGCTGAGAAAACTAGACACTGTTTAAATAAAAATTATATCTTATACCGTGGGGCTAGTTTTTTACCGGCCCTCGTGCGATAGCGTTAGAGGTATCTCCTCGAAATGCGGGGTAGTCGGTTCTTTTGAGATGCGAAAGTGCTGGAAATGTCGGGGCACTTTTTAACGGTGCAGACACGATAAGCGGCTCCCTTATCACGGAATGCATTCTTGCGATTTCCAGATTAAGAGCTATGCTCGGTCTCGGGCTGTCCGCTCCTACGTGCAGAAAGTGAGGCCATTTTTCTCCAAGTTCCCTGACGGCGTTTCCACGGCAGGGGTACTCACTGCTGAGGTGAGCACGCTTTCCGATTAGAGGCCTTATCGCGGCCCTGACTGCGGCACTGTCTGGCGTAGCTGTAAGACAACTTTGACGTTATTTGTTTAACGCGCTCGCACTGCGATATGCGAGATAACGTTTACGCGCCTGCAAGGGAAGTCGCCAGATTGATACCACAAATGGTGGACGAGTGCAAAGTAAAGAACGATAAGGTGTTAACAGCTCCTGTCACCTGTTAATTCTTTATTTATACGCCTCGCATCGACGAGCCGGTTATTAAATCAGGCCGATTACTTCATGGGCAGGAAGTGATCTCGATTGTAAGCAGCTTTCTTCCGCAAGAAACGGTCTTACGGATCTGAAATTTAAATAAATTGTGTCCTGGGCATTCTCAACGTCTAATACAGTTTTTAATGGGATATCTCGGATTCTCTTCGATTAGTAGGTGGGTTTTCGTTTATTATTTCGTTAAGCTGAGGAGCGAAAGCGAAAGTGGAACTCTGCCAGTCTGGGGCTCTCTCGGATCTTCCGGCTGGCCGGTTCAAAGTTCGACCCGAGGCCGCCGCCATTTTGAATTTTCGCGCGCATCTGAGAGGCGGCGACGCCGCGTGTCAGTGCTTCCGAACGACGCTTAGCATTGTCAGTAGATGACGGCAGATGACAGCGATAGATCGTGCCGAATGGTTTGGGGGTCAACCACGTGTGTGTTATCGAGGAGAAGATGTCATTGAATTATGATTGGCAAGCCGACGGCGACGACTCCGACGAGAGTGATCCCGGCAACAGGTGAGCCGGCCGTCCGGGCGGTTGCGTCATGCCGGAACATGATTTACAGTAGCATTCTAGAGTTTCGCGAGGAATACAATGGGATACGGCTATGTTTACACATTTTTTTAACAGCTCGGTATCTCTAAATGACGCACGATGCATGCCACTCGTTGTCGCCGTAGAGTTTGCTTTTCAATCAGTTTAATCTTGGGCAAGTGACGACCACGGCTAATGGTGGAACCTCAATTTTCACTTTTTTTAAAGTACACGCTGACAGGTGGCACGATATCAATTGTAATTTGTGATAAGAGGCGAAATCAGGACTCGAGGGCATTTCTGGGGCCGCCGGTTTGTGTACTTTTTGCGGTAAGTGTCGAGTAACCTTCTAGTGGCGTAAAAAATATCTGGGGTGACAGGAGGGCACATAACCTCACTCGATGCCAGTAGAGCGCTCGCCGAGTCCTGAGATACATTATCTTAATTACTGATCGGTTTAATCTTAGGTTCTGATATCCCTGGCGCCAACAATGTCAGTTAACTTGAGTCAAGTCACCTGTAAAATTGGAACACGCAGTTCATGTGCAAAGGCGAGTGTCGGAGTTCAATGGTCTTGCTTGTCATGGAACGGAATCAAATCACATATACTGGATATTTAAATCAAGTCGGAGTAGTTGAGTTTGTCATCCATCAAATTCAGTTTGGAATTTGGCACCAGGAAGATAACGATCACCCAAGAGAAAACATGCTTCGAAGCAGAGAACATACCTCATTATTCGACCGATGATTATACATTCGTCGGAATGTCTCTTTACACTTCCTGGATTCGTGATGTTTATTATTATTAGTCCATATTTAACGCGGATTCGCGGAGGCGCTTGGATGCCTGGCTTGTTTGAAGTTACTAGGAGAGTCCGGACAGATGTGAAGAGGTTTCAAACATGCCCTGTTATCTAACGTACCCTTCTCCCTGATAAGGCGATGCGCTCCGAAAATAATGTCCGAAGGTGTGATTCCTTATCGGCGAATCTCACTCGTTTTGTCAATCGCAGTCCCGCGCGAGCCTTTTCTGCATGCGGTATGTGTTCCTGTGTCTCCGTCTTCATTATAATTCTATTGTTAGATTTATTAATACTAGCGAGGGAAAACGCGCTTTTAATCCGAGTATTAACGAAGCATCGCTACGCAATGGATTTTCTGTGGAAGTCGCGAAAGACAAGGAGTAATCGCAGTGTGGCCAGTTTCGTGTGAATTCCCTAATCTTACTTTTGGATATCCGTTAAGGAGAAATCGTCTTAAACGTTGCTTTATCTGTTCCCGTTGGAAAGAACTGCTGCTAATTATTTTCTCACACACAGGTTTTTCGTAATTTTATCATACAGCCATTTGTCGGCCGTTTCACCACTCACGATGGCGATTACGTTGTACAGATACTAACGTTTTAGGAGTGCCGATTAATCGGCAAAGTGGCTACCTTTTATCAGATTATATCAACAGATTTCCGACGGAATTGCCACGATTGGGCAATCCCGGGTAGTTCAGGCCTGGAACTGGTTCTGGATTCATTAAAGTTCGGAGGAAGAAAATTAAATTCGTGCCAAAGAATTTTTATGTCTAACCGAAAATGTTTTTCTGTCGTAGGAAAACCGGCTCTTTCAGTCCGCCTTCGGAATTCGAGGACTCTTTGTATGTTATGGCAGATCTTTACGGACAGACACCGCCTAGAACACGACTCATTCGCAGACAGAGGCAGAGAAAGCAGAGAGTATCGGCTGGGTAAATACGGAATATCATTCAGAAGTTGTAACCTTGCGAACCAGTAAACAGAGATTTTCAACGACCTCATACATATCACTATTCAATTTGATTTGGAAAGCTAAGTACAAGGCATACACCATGAGTTTTAAGAGACACGGTTCATCCAAAAGGAGAAACAAATTAAAATTGTGAGCATTGACATTTTATTTATACTCTGAATTTTATTTATACTCAGGTTTGTATTCATTGTCAAGTTTATATAAAAGGATTGGGGGAAACTTTAGTCGTCTTTCCACAGGGAAGAAAAATTTTTAACCCACGAGTCTCGACCCAGGACCAATCCTTGTCGCCGAAGCAACTTGGACACCATGCTGGTCAAACCTACCTGTGATAAAACTGTCAAGATCTGCGAGGAGGGAAAAGAAGAGGCTGCTAAAGACGGGAGTCGGAAGTGTAAGAGAAGTCTGAAATTATTACGCGGTAACGAGAGGGATTTGAAGCTGGACGTTGGCGCTGCTCTCAGTTACGTAGACAAGGACGATCACCTGCAGGTCTCCACTCCGAACAACATGAAGGTAGGCATTTAAACAAAAAAAGAGGCTCGGATTGTTTAACGCCGGCTAAAGCCCAAAATGCATTGGGGTTCCTTTCAGGTCGAGACTAGAAATAGATTTCGCTGTCTGCTGTCCAAACCGGTTGGGGTAGAGGAGAAGAAAGCGGAGAAGGTCAAGACGCCTCTCGTGAATTCGACAAAGGAAGAGACCGCCGCGCAATCGCCGAGGTCGCAGAGCATTAAAGAAAGGGAGATATTCCACGACACCTTTTCCTTTCTAATCAAGCTCGTAAGTAGCGTCTAGTCGTCCCGAATTAGAGAGTTATCGCATTTCGGGGACGAACCTAGTGAATTTCCCCGCGTTGAGGTATCTCGGTTTTCAGGGGAGTTCCGACAAGGAGCGCAATTGCCATCGACAGATGAGTCGAGAGGAGACGCGATGGCAGAACGAGTTGAAGGACTTGATATGGCTCGAGTTGCAGGCTCATCACGCGGAACGCACACCGATGGCGCAGGACGAGTATCTCTGCAAACAGAGAGAGGCGGTCGGCACGCTCCTGGCGGAGATCATCAAGTACAGGTGAGACCTCGCCGACAAGTTCTACGCCTAGAGAAGGAGAAACTCGAATGGAAGACGCTGCCGCTTCGACAGGTTCGATTCGACCGCGAGAATTAGCGAGACCGGCTCAGCCTCTATGACTTGTAACGACGACCCGGAGAGCAATGCGAGTTCCCTGCCGAGTCCGAATGTCGATTCCAACGTCTGTCCAGGATGTCTGTCGATGTTCTGCCGAGCCTGTTCGCGGGCCCAGTCGGAAGCTCTGAAGCAGGTCGAGGGACTCCTCGCCAGGCTGGAAGCCGCGGAAGTCCTGTATCCGTCGTCCCATGCCTTCGCCACGCATTATCCTCTCTACAAGAGCCCCGAATTCACCGACAGAGTCAAGGCCATGTGTCTCTGGTACAACATGACCAAGCACCATCGACTAAAACTCCTCATTCTTGGGAAGCTTCTCATGCTTCTACATACCAAAAAACGCCACGAGGACTCTAGCGATTCTGGAATCAGGTGAGGTATTAACGCGGTACCGTTTATTATAGGATATGGGCCTTAGAAAATTGGCTTCATTTGAGACGTGTTACCTAGGACGATTTTTATGTCGATGGGACCTTACGCGATTTAACGCGTGCAAATAATATTTCAGCTCCCGATCCTCCGATACGGTAGATTCGATGGAGTCACGGCAGGTCCTGGTGCGATTTGAGTTGTCCCAAAATGAGGACAGCATCAGTCCCTCGGATAGCAGCAACAGTAATTCTTCGTCAGTCGGTGGATTTTCATTCGGGCCAACTTGGCCTTCCAGGCCTGAGCTGTCCTATTCATGTCTGGATGACGATAGACTCAATCGCTTAGACTTTTATCTCTTAGAATTTGACAGAATTGCGTACAGGTGAGTTTTTTGCCTGTCTCGCGACTACTGCTTAGTATCGTTTAATAACTCAGGAAATACGTGTATTTTAGGAAGTACATCGAAGACGTCTTAAAGACTCGAGGACTTAGGAAGAGCTTGAATTTTTTGGAGCGACTGCACACGTCAATTTTGAGAAAGGCAAGGTTGACTTTACAGAAACCTGACTCCAGCGACAGCGAAGGGAGTGCCACCGAGGAATACGAAGGCGATCGCGAGTTGAAACGTTACGGAGTTTGGAGTCCGGAAGCACAAGCGTTACATCTTCCGTCTTATAGGTATCTCGAAGATTGTAACGACCACTATTGGTTGTTAAAAGTGTGGTGAATATGTATACATATTTTTTTTTAGGGCAGCGTTCGTGTTCCTTTCCCGTGTTCCCCTGGACGTGGTCCACGAGTTCCTCAGAATAAGACTGGAGCAAAAGCCAGATCAACCGAGCACTTTGTCGGTTGGTCAGTTGATGCGCGAATTGAGAGAAGGCATCAGAATCGCTTGCATACATCGGGACAGATTTGCAGCTCACTCGAAAGCAGCTATTGCCTCCGACGAGAGCATTCGCGAAATCCTTTTCCAAGAAGACGTTAAGGAGTTCGATGAGAGCCTTCAGGCAGTTTTCGAGGTCTACCTGGATTATCTTCAACAGTGGGTAGATATGGTACAACGTCAGAGTTTCAACAAGAATTTCATCGAAAATGAGTGGTTGTTCGTTGAATCCATCTCAGGGAAAATAAAAAATGGCCACGTCATCGCAGCATCGAAATTCTGGTGTGTAGATATCGAGATCCTTTCTTGAAATATTAATTATTCTTGTAATGATCCAGGAAGTTTCTTTTATTTTTTAGTGGGATCGCGTGCACGTTGATTCAGCAGGTGAAAAATTTTCTTACGGACCGTCCTCGAAGACTAAGGGAGTGCGTCGAAGTGAAGGAAGACGATGAATGGTTGACTAAGTAAAATGCTATTTCCATATTTTTTTTTTTAAATTATAGGATTTATTATCGCGATGGGGTTTTATCCAGCGATTTTTTTTACAGATTTCACATGATGTCCATCGGTAGAGAGTGGCAATGCATGTTTGTCGAAGCTCGAGAGGAACTTGTCAAAAGTGTAGCTTTTGCTAGAGCTCTAAGGCGAGATATTGAGAAGTGGTCTGACGGGAAAGAGGAGATAAGCGAATCGGTTAGCAAGTTAAAGGTAAATATTTTGTCAAGTGTATGGATTTAAGTGCAATTTATTTCTACCGATTTATCCTTTTCTTATAGAATGCCGTTGTGGACTTGAGGCATATGATCACGGTCGTGATAGAGAATTTTCAAAATGACATCAATCAAGCGGATGAGCCTAAAGTCGAAAGTGATCGCGCAGCGATGCGCACGAGAATTCGAGAGATTCTTCACCAAGCATACAGAATGGGATTTGAGTATTACAAAGAACTCTGCAAGCTCTTCCTCCCGGAAGAAAGAACCGTTCTGGCTCGTAGTCTGGTGAGCTTTGCTCGACTTTGGATGGACTTTGTCAGGACAAGGTGCGAACGAGGTAGGGGACTGAGGCCCAGGTGGGCCAATCAAGGCCTCGACTTTTTAATGACCGTCTGTGAACCACTCAATACTAAACATTTAACCGACCAAGAATTTGAAGAACTGAAGACGTGCATGGATCGATGCATATCACACGTCGTTGGTACCGCTACGCCAGTTGGAAATTCTGACGTAGAAAGTAAGATTCGTATCGCTGTAAAATATCCGGATAATAACTTAGTAATTGACCTGTTATAAATGTTTTACAGATTTGAAGAAAATTCCCAGATCCAGAGCAACCTCGCCGTCTCAGCCTAGGCCAAGGACGTCGAGTTTTAGTCTTTCCCAGAGATCACGAGAAAATTTGGACTCGCCAGATTCTTCAATGAACGTGAAAAAATATTCAGGCTCTCCTGTGATAACCGATGGACAGATAGTGGCTACCTTAACCGTGCCGGATCGGGCTCTTGCCAGACAACAAAGGATCGCTTTCGCGATTAACAATGTAGAACGTGAGCTAGACGAGAGATTAAGAAGTCGGGAGCTGATAGGGCAGGTTACCGATAGGAAGAAGGACGTCGACAGGGTCTATATCAAAGCGAAACGGGTTACCTTCACTTGGCAGAGAGGCATCAAAATCGGTACGGGCGGTTGAAGGACTCGGAAGTTTAAAGTAAGGTACTCAATAATCGCTAATTGCGTATTCAAATTGTAGGGCAAGGTAGATTTGGAAAGGTTTACACGGTGGTGAACAATAGGACCGGGGAATTACTGGCCATGAAGGAGGTCCAGCTACAACCTGGAGACCACAGAGCGATAAGACGAGTAGCGGAGGAATTGCAAATCTTTGAAGGAATCCAACACAAACATTTGGTTCGTTATTACGGAGTTGAAATTCACAGGGTACGTTCTTCACTTTTTATCCATTCATCTCGAGGGAATTCATTTGTCGATCGTGCGCTTTTCTTGTCTAGGAGGAGATGCTGATTTTCATGGAATTTTGCGCAGAAGGGACTCTACAAAGTCTGGTGGCTTGCAGCGGAAATGGACTACCAGAGTCGTTAGTCAGAAAATACACCCATCAGCTTTTACTAGCCGTAGCGGAATTACACACCCATGGAATCGTTCACCGTGATATTAAAAGTGAGGTGATTTATCTCCTGTACGCACTATTTTAAGCTTTGCTTTAATCGTCTTTATCCCACAGTTGCTAACATTTTTCTGACCGACGAAGGCAATTGTCTGAAGCTGGGAGACTTTGGTTCCGCGGTGCAGATCAAAGCTCACACGACGATGCCTGGCGAACTTCAGGGTTTCGTTGGCACGCAAGGTTGGAGCTCTATGTCCGGTTCTCTGATTTTTAGGCATAGGTATTAATTACTTCCTTCTGCATTGCAGCTTACATGGCACCCGAAGTGTTTATGAAGACGGAGAGCGAAGGCCATGGAAGGGCAGCTGATATTTGGTCCGTGGGATGCTGTGTAATCGAGATGGCCAGTGGTCGACGTCCATGGGCGGAGTATGATTCCAATTATCAAATTATGTTCAAGGTTTGGTTCAACAAAATTATGATACCGTATATAACACCTCACACCGTTTTTTTTTAATTTTCAAGATTCAAACTTTTTAGCTGAATTAGTCGATAACTGGATATTATCACTTGTTATTAACAGGAGTTTTCTGTTGTGGGTTCGCAGGTCGGAATGGGAGAAACACCTCCACCCCCGAAGACCTTGTCGCAGGAGGGTATTATCTTTATTCAGAAGTGTTTACAGCACGATTCTAAAAAACGAGCCACAGCTAGTGCACTGCTCTTGCATACTTTTGCTCGGTCCTACGAGGACGTCAACGTAGATCTTGTCAAGTCGAGTTCTTGAACACCATTTCGCGCGGTTCTTCGGGCGGCTGACACATGGGTAGCTTTATTTATGTACAAATGTGACTTCCCTGAAATGCCTTAATTTATATCCTTCTCCAGATTCTAAGTTGCAGATATACTTCGATGAGCGTACCTGTAGAATAGAATTACCTCGATGGAAACATGCCCTTATAATGGCTAGACATATGTGTACTTCCGGTAAATATAGTGGCTTGAGAAACACTTAAGGAAAACTGGTAGTCATATAAAAATAGACAAGTGAGTTACAGAGATGAGTTGGGAGACTGCTCACGGGCAGGATCGTGCGATCGCATCCTGTGCTGCCCTCTGGTTTCGTACGTTAGCTTTCACCGTTTTTTGCCCCCAAGGGCGGCGCAACGAATTTCTGATAGGAGCTCGCGCACTCGCGATGGCGGTACCATCTACCAGTCGCCGTTGGCGGCTCACGTACTCGTGATGGTAATACCATGCGGCAGTTAACGGTGGTGGCTTACCTACGCTTACCAACACTGCACACTTTTGATGGTAAGGGAAGAACACTCGTGACGCTCCATTTGACTTTATCTACTTATCTACTACTATTAAGTACATTGTTGCCTCGAAGTCGACGTGATGCGGAGCTTTGGGGCACGCGTCGGTGTCGCGTACGGAATTCTCATGCAGCGAATCTGCGTGAGTGCGATCGCTCCTAGAAATCTTCGCGCGTCCCAACCAGCCAAGCGCCAAGCTGCGGGTAGAGATGTTGAATATATGTGCGTTCGGCGCTACACTCGACGAGTATGCGTGAGAGTCGAATACTGCGAAAAATCCTCCCGAGGCTTACCTAACTGCGGATATAAGACGAGTCTTTTCGCGTATGATTTTTACATTTCCCTACTAGCGTTATCGAGCGTTTTTCAACCGTTTTCGAGTGTTTTTCGAGTGTTTTCGAGCGTTTTTCGAGTGTTTTGGAGCGTTATCGAGCGTTATCGAGCGTTTTTCGGTTTTTTCTTTTAAAAATAATAGTGGAACTTACTTTTGAGACACCCCTCGTGTTCTTCTATCCACCTCCGTTTGATCTCGACGTATCTCCATTTCCTTTGCATCAACCATTCCTGGAATTCACGTGATTATGACAACCTCTTTGACACAGTGACATTCTCCTTCTTATTATTTTATTATAAATAATTACCAAATCGATGACGACTGATTCGCGCCTTGGCATGCCCGTAAAATGAATCAGCATTTGGCTCCGGCTTGTGGATAAAAGATAATGGTAATTGAGCGTGTTAAACTAATGTCGCAACAGAGTTTATTTATGCACAAAGAGACGTACATTAATACCGCAATAACTCGGGTGATTTTCCTTACCGAGGTATGCTGTGTATGCTTTCCGTGTAGACGGAAAGTCGAGTTTACTTATTCGGTACGACTACGCGATATTTGCATACGGCGGCGATATCGTGCGCGTGCAAACCCGCGGTTCTAAAGGAGCCTCTTCAGTGGTCAATCAGCCGATTCCTCGCAAAACTACGATTCCTACCCTGAAAAATAAAAATTTCATCCAACCAGATGAATATTTCTTTAAATTGTATCAATGAGATATCTTGTTAATTCGAGGAATAATTATTTCACTCCAACAAACTCGAATAAATTGGACGCGACATTTCCTTCGGAATGACGACAATTAATTGGAGTTCGTTCGCGTCCAATTATTCACTGAATTAACAAAATATTTATTTAGTTACTAAAAATATATTTCTCTGGTTCGGTGGATTTTTTCTCTTCGGGGTGGAATTAGTTTCGATTGCGCAAAAAGAAAGTGGACAGTGTAATTACAGGTGGCGGGATTTCTTTCTGACGCTATCGACAGCGTCCTTTAACAATACTTTAGTAGTTACCGACATTGTCTTAACTATGTGGGCTTTAGCCTGGTATGCGTGTGATATTCTTGGCCGCAAAAATGCGATCACATAAGTTTTTGATATGTATCGAGTGATAACACCTCGTTATCGTGTGTAGTTTCGCACTTATAGCTAGGATAGAACACTTTCACATGTTGTACACTCGAGCTTGATAGCACATCTGCATTCGTACAAGGCGTACGTGTAAGATAAGATTTACCAAAACCAGATGAAAAGTAGATTACATGCAATTTGGTATTTTACGCGACGAACGATACTGGTTAAATTAAAATGTCATTCCTCGGAAGAATCAATTCCTCAAAATTTATCTGGCCGCTGTAACATCTCTTGTTTAGATTGTAACGTATCGTAACTAGAAAACATTTCTTTTATCACGAATTGTTCCGAACGATACGATCCAAATAAACTGACAAATCGATGTCGAAGAATATCACAGAGTGTAATAATAATTTAATATGTTAAAGATTGTTGGGGATGATAACATAACAAAGACAACGCTTCTGTACCTGCAGAGAAACGCCCTACGCAAGCACATCTTAAAATTTGTTTATATATATATAATATGGCTATGCGTTCGTTTCTGTAACGATAACGGAGATACATTTTAGTGGCAATTTCTTTCTCCCTTATATGTACCGCGTAAAAAAAAAAAATGTCAACGCTCCCGAAGCAGCTAACGAACTCCGGTTGTAAACTCTGTGTAAAACGTAACTTATGATCAACGTATAGAAATAACTCTAATGACATAACGAGCCTATATACGCGTATCGCAAAATATCTTCGGTCGAACGCCCCAAGGTGCGTCCTATCGATATACCGACAATTATATATCAACAATAATAAATAGTAATCCCCGTGCAAGTATCAACATCACGGAGAACCTAACGTCGATGCGATCGAAGGATCTTGCGTAGAAACTATATCTCCGCATGTCCAATTAATATACATATTATATATATGTATACGCCAATCTTTCGCGTATCTATGCACACTTATCTGTAATAATTATCACTACTCGATCCTACGCATGCTCGTAATTAATATTAATAATATTGATCACATCGTCCGGCGAGTCTACCGAGCACCACTAGTTTAATACACCACTAATTGCGCTAATTAATTTATAACAAAGGAAATGTTCCCCGATTTTGATATCGTACATGGTACATGGTATTACAGCGCGTGGTTATCCCCTTAACGTGCATTAAACGTGTAAACGTCACGGGTGAAAAATGTGAAAATTGTTGGTTGGTCGAAATTTGACCGGTGGAAATGATCGGATCGATAGGATCGTAAAAATCGATCCGGTATCGCGGGACATTCCCTTTGTCAAAATGTCTACGGTGGATAGAGTCCGTTGACTCGGGGTCGTACAAGAAGTTAAGCGAATGACAGTCAGGCAGACAGGCAGACAGACAGACAGACAGACAGACACAGACAGAGCTACTATCAGCCATTGACAATCCGAATGCGGTGACAATTCGCCGATCTACTCTAAGAAATGGACAAGAGTTTACTGTGCGGGCGCCAATGCAATTGCGACTGGCCGCGCTTATCAGCGGATAAGACGCGGACCCCCTGATAAGGACGACCCCTCGAAGGGCTGCTATGTGCAAGACCTAAAGTTGTTCCGCAATTTGTCCATAATTTCAATTTCAGAGCTCAGTTTGCGAATGAAGTGGAGGGAAAAAATGCACTATCGGTAATTTCATGTAAATCCAAACCGTTATCAGGAGTCTTCGAGGAGTTGTCCCCGGTAATCCGCGGAATCCGCAGGAAAATCGCGCTGTAACGTGGATACCGATCTAAATGAAAGGCAGAACGTCGGTTCCAGCGAGTGAGACATTATTTACACCATAAAGAAATTTTACAGTGCAAACTCGTACAGACGCCGACGTAATGTCGATAGTTGTCCGGTGTAATTCCGGAATTCCGGGCGGGGTAAGACCAGCACCTGCGTTGTTTTTTTTTTCTTTTCTTTTTGACACCTGGAAATTTACACCGGAACCGATTATACATGTCGATGTGCAACGTTACCTGCGGTGTCGACTTCGGCGTCGCTTATCACGGTTGCGGAAACCGCGATTTTGGACGCCGAGTTTGCCACCGAATTCCCACGAATATATGTGCAGCGTGTGTACGAGTACTCGGAGAGACTGTACAGACTATTTCTAAGAGAGTCTGGTGATACGATAATTCGATCTATATATTGCCTACTACACGCATCAGCGACTATTTCGAGGGCCTCGACGCCGGCGTCGCGACGCGGGCTCGTCCTCTTCATCGTCTACCATATCGAGACACGATTTCTACTCGAGCTTAATGATAACGTCGCCGTTATTTCCCTACCTTATTCGATAACATGCGTAACGCGTGATATATGTATATTCTCGGGATATGTACGTAATAATCCGTAGGTACTTCTTTGGCGTAAGTGCGAGTGCGCACGAGTTTCGAGAAATTCTCTAGGCGTTCTTCGGCATCTCTTGGGTGCTTATCGTTAACGTTACCGTTACTACTGGAGTAAATACTCTCGTCGTTGATAAAAATTCCCATGTAAATTTACATACCCAGCAATTGATCATTTCTACGCGACAAGAAATTTCAGGAAAATTACATCGTCTCTGTGATATCATGTTCGGCATCTAAGCTGAGTTAACGCAAAAATGATAACATAATGTTACGTGTTTAATTTAAGTAAAAATCCACTGACATTGTAAATGTACGACGTTAGGTGTATTTATACACCTTCTAAATCTTCGATTAATTTCCGGCATTTCTTAACGATCACGGAAGGAACTGAATGTAACGTTAAAATATCGTAGTAACTGTAACGTTAACTTATTATTAACCTTACTACTCGCGACTAGGATAAATACTTTCTTCGCTTTCGAGGCCTACGAGTGAAATTCTCTAAAAACGCTCCGAGAGCCTCGAATTTAATTTCCGAGATTCCGGAATTCCAATGTTTCCTATAACGCGTTGGAATATCTTTCAATATTTTTTTTTTCTCTTGTTGTTATCTGTTATTTATATAATTATAAGGAGTTTGTAAAGGAGCGTCACTCCTTTCTGGTTCGCAGCATGTTGGCCATTGATCTCAAACTTTGTTCCAGGGCCCGAGCGAACCTCATCGCGTTCGTTCTTCCATCACTGTGGAATGCCGAGACGCAGAAGATGAAGCCATTTTTCCGCATGTTGTAGGAGCAGCCATACCCGTCCGGAACGACCGGTCCATATCCCGCCATGCCTTCGTTCTTCGTTGTCACCTGGAAAAGGAATCGCCTCTTCAGCGTCTAGGATTTCCATTTCCGGCTTTCCGGTCCCTGCCTTCCCTTTTTTCGCATTTTTCCACAAGCCAGCGAGGTTCCCTTCCTTTGGGAATATTCAGGGATGCTCATACATATTCAGCAGGAAAAGTGTACTAGTTATGCCACGCAAATCCCGGTCCCTGGAACCGAGGGAAATAACTATACAGGGAAGAGTGTTATTACCTAATATCCTGCAGAGAAACGGCGACGCAGGAGAAACTTTTTCCGAGCAAACTGCGATTTACAAGGTTTTTATATGTCACGCTTTTATCGGGCAATTGGAAATTTGGTAAGCAAGAAAATTTGGGCGTCTCGTACTTTTATCGGGTAATCAGAATAATTGGGGCAGATGGTCGATAAACATTTCTTTGGTATTCTTTTAGGGCGCTCCTAAGAGAACGCGAGTCTTCATCTTCTCCGGACCATTTGGCGCCTCAGCCCTCGCTGTACGTATGTACCCTTCTCGTCGAAGATTTAAGGGAGCAAGGGAGCGACTTCCTCCCTTGCTAGCACGAGCCCTGTGATTACTTCCGGTCCCCGAATTGCGACCGGAAGCTACCGGCAATTGGTTTCGCTGCCCAATTCCACTCGGATCGAGTAACGCGAGGGTTGCCAGTCTTGGAACGCTTTCACCCTCGATTAACCCTTGTTCATGGCCGGCAATACTTGCACCAGTTACTCCACAATGTAGAGAGTGGATTAACAAGCGAAGACCGATGAAAATGTAGATTGGAAAAATTAATTCAACAATTTTTGCACTCTATTCTTCACGAGGAGATTTTATACGAGCCATGATTCTCACCTGAGAAGTGGACAGGGCGAAGTGGTTGACAATTTTGTACGCCTCGTCGGTGAAGATGTCGGGCATGGGTTCTCCACTTTCCTTGGCGGCATATCTCAATCCCATCAGATGATTATCTATCCCATTTCCCAGGATATTATCGGTAAGCTCCCTTGCCTGTCTCTGCGCGGCCGCGTCGAAGAGCTCTCGGATTTGCTGCTCCTAAAAATGGCAAAGGGTTTTCTCGTGAAAGCCCATTCTATTCGGAACTACGAACAAGAGTTTAACTTGGCCAAAGCCGTGCAGATAATTTCCCATCGCCCGAAGACGTCGTTTAAACGTCGATCCCATCCCCCGCGGTAACGAAGAAGGGTACACGATTACCAACCCTCGTCTATACCTCTCCATTACCGAATATCGGAACGAGGAGAATGTTTCCAGCTAAGTTTACGGGAGACGGATCACCTGAAATAACAATGGCGTAACGAAGACAACGTGCACTAATTTTATAGGGAGAGCTCGAGCCCAGAGAAAATAAGGAATACCCTCTCGATATTTGCAGGCTACTCGAGAGGGGCGCAAACACTCCTGGGTAACGAAGGTTCGATCCTCGACTCCGATCGTTATCCTTTCCTCGATACCTTGCCACCTCACCTAAACAATTGCCACGATACGTTAACATTTTACCGAATTAATTACCACGGGTGCATTGCAGGAAAGAAAAGGATGAAGAAATGTTCTAATCTACGAAATCAACGATCCACGCCGTGAAAAAGAAAGATGGCGGCCATGCGGATGCAACGACCTAAGTACCCCAGTCGACGCTCCATTTTGCCACAACGAGGCGAAGCTCTATCACACGGTCGCTACCGAAAAATGCGAAGATTCAGTTACACTGTAAATGGTGAACTGAACTCTTTTGGTTCCGTCCTCTTGATCGGCGTATCGTTGATCAGCACTTTGGGATTCAGGGTCGCCCTGACACATGGCCTTCACCCAGGCGAGGGTTTCAGGACTGGCAGCTCTGATGCAGTCGACACGACCCAGGGCGAATCTCCGTATACCTGCACTCTCGTACGTGGCCACCAGACATCCGTGCAACCTGAAGAAGATTACCGAAACTGGTACCACTACCTGCACCACCCCCGAAAACGAGTCGCGCAACTTCCCCTTTCTTTTTTTTAATTTTTCACCGATTTTCCTACGTCCTTAGAATAAGTCTACATACTTGAAGTACGTTAGCTGCAAGGCCAGCTGTATGTAGGCATCTGGACTGACGCGGCAGGATTTAACGAAGTCCTGTGCGTACTCCTGGAAGCACATCACGCAGAGGTCGAGGTCCTCCACGAGCCTTTGCAAAAGGAACGAGATGTTACTATAGAGGTACTTTTCCTAGGATTTTAAGTATATTCTTACTTTTAATATTTCCGTATTTTCGTATTTTCACATTTTCACATTTTCACATTTTCACATTTTCACATTTTCACATTTTACATTTTTCACATTTTTCACATTTTCATATTTGCACATTTGCACATTTGCACATTTTCGTATTTCCGTATTTTCGTATTTTCGTATTTTCGTATTTTCGTATTTTCGTATTTTCGTATTTTCGTATTTTCGTATTTTCGTATTTTCACATTTTCACATTTTCACATTTTCACATTTTCGTATTTTCGTATTTTCATATTTTCATATTTTCATATTTTCACATTTTCATATTTTTCAAGGGACTTGCTCTTATGGGGCCTAAAAGTAATCAAAAATGTTTAATCGGATCACTCACGCATCGAATGCAGTCATCGCCTCTCTGATGTCGTTCAGACTCTGTTCGGAAAGGGTCCACTCGAGTTTCTCCGGTGCCGGAAGATGCGATGGCACCTGGTTGTCATCAGGGGGTGACATGGCGTCCACTCTCTCCGTGAGCTCCTCGAAGGTCGACAAGACGGAAGAAGCCTCCCCGGTGGAGTGCTCGTAGTTCATGCCCCACAAGCCGTCCTGAAAATCGGGATGTTGACTAGAAATAGACCCAACGAAGCCAGGACTCGCTCGACGAGAGTTTCACAAGCGTCTCGCTTGTGACAATGAGTCCTTGGCACACTTGTCGATGCCTCCAACGTTCTCCATTCTGGCGTAATGGCGACACCTAATCAATCATTTTATTACCCACGGCAGGAGGGCCGTGATTAAGATGACGTTTCGGGAGGATGGCTCGTCTCCGAGTCTTGACGCTGACACGGGTAACAAAGTACCTGTCTAATGAACGATCTTTAAGGCAATTTATATGAGAAGCATGAAACGTGCCAGCATCTCGGAGACAATGATATCGCTCGGGACGTCACTTGCTGCATGTTTGATGAAAATGATAACGCTAATCTGTCTCGATTTGACGTGGGAATTTTTTTTTGTTCAGGTCTTCCGGGATTTTGGGTGCTTCTCGGGAAGAGGAGATTCGTGGACCGCTGGAGAATTTAATCTGGGGAGATGACCGCAAGGGTGCCGATCGTCTCTGCCGAAATAAAACGAAATCCTTGACGCGGGACATCGGGGTTAATCTTGGTTTATGCCGATTTAAATGGGCATTACCTTGCCGAGGATTAGCTGCACGCTCTTGTCGTACCAACGATTGCACCCGAGATGCCGGGACCCGCCGCCGTGAAGAGCATGATGAAGAACGTTGGCGTAATCGCGCTCGCCGATCCATCGATCCTCACTTCTATAAGGATTATTAAACGTCGCTGGAAGGACGTCATCGTCGATGCACACCACGCAGAGACAGCGCTCCAACAGCTCGAGATTGTGTCGATTGCGCTCGTCTGAAACGATAAGGACGAATCGCTTTATACGTATGTTTACCATCTCAAACGTACCTATCAAAATGAGCCAGGTTAAATTTTTTTGTCTTTTTTTCTTATCTTGGATTTTCGACCAGCATCTCGCTTATTGGATTTCTCAAGGGTTGATATCTTCTCAAATTCGCCAGGTCAAATTTGAATAAATTTTATACCGAGATTTTCGGTCAGGACCTCGCATCCTCGTACGTTAAGCAGTTACCGCACCGCTTATTCGATTTGTAGGTCGCGCCAAGGGTTGGGAAAGGTCCGGGTCCGGATTAGGGAGCTAATGGGAATATTGCGAATATTGGTGCAAGGAGGACGGTCGGATAATTGTAGGAAAGGTTAAAGGTGACGCAAAGGAACGCGATCCTTGGCCTGTCCTGGATGTCGCAATGTGCAATTACCGCTCAAAAGTATTAGGAAAAAAGTTCAGCGAAATGATAATCGCGGGGATAATAATTACGATTATTCTATACGAGACAATTTCTGTCAATATCTCAATTTGTAAATTTTATCGGTGCTCCATAATTCTTGTCTCGGATAAAAAGAAAAATAATTCCACGCCTTACTTTTCAGCAATTCTTCTCTCGCCTTCGCCCAGACCGGCCTCCGATTGGCGGTGAGCACCCCGACGAGAGGAGTCCTTGGATCGGGAGGAATTTCCATGATCTGCAGGATCTGCTGGGTCAATTCGGATTCCGTGACGCGTCCTCGATCCGAGGCCCTAACTGGGATGCTGTAAAACTGAGGAAAAATTCTCCTAATTAATAATTCTTCCCAGAACGGGGCAAATTCTTCGATGTCTGATAAGCTTTTATTTTATGTTTCAGGAGGTTGGACATTAGGAGGATTTGGCACCTGGTTGTGATGCGCTACTATGATGTGATCATCGGAGGAAGGTCTGTCGAAGACGACCCGTTCGTCGAGGTCCTTGCCGGGTCTCCTGTAGGTGATAAGGGACTGATAATGCTGGGCCATGCAAAGGGGCTGCCAGGACTTCCTATCCTTCGTCTTGACTCGTTCCACTTCCAGTCCGGACCTTGAAGAACGGAATCTCTAATAGAGCCCTTTCTTCGGCAGTCTCTCCCTTCGTCTGCTCAACCACGAAGGAAGTTCCTCTAATCGGGGAATCCGAGAGCAGGAAAAACGTTCTCGAGGAGGCAGTTCGAGCTCCTCGCCAAAGGACCAGACACTACCAGGAGGGCTTTCAGACCTCCACGGAGTGGCATTCTCTTTGCCATGGGTTTCCATGGATCTTAGAATCCGGATTTCCTCGAGGTAGTCCAAATTGATTTTAGTGCGGCTTCTTTTTGTCCGCTCGAAAGCCCGCGAATAACGCGAGAAGAAAGGAGGGGAGGTCCCGAGGACTCCTCTCCGTCTACTCCTGGAGGGAGGAGTTTTCACTCATTCAGAAAAGTTCATTTTGTTCCGTCTCTCTCTTCTTCCTATCCCTGGATAATCGAGCCGAGGTAAAGGGAATTAATTTAGCCTGAATATCAGGATCGCGTTGCGGAAGTAATCGGAAAAATTCGAGCTTTATAAATTCCCAGGGATATTTGTGTAGCAGTAATTGCGTTCTCTGTCGCCAAAATGGCCGCGATAAGTTGGCGAATAATTAAAGTCGCTTTAATTACGCGGTATTCCGGCCTAGTAGGTAATTAAAGGAGTACTCGAAACGCGAAAGTACTCGAGAGACTCCCCATCTATCTTTCTCTGATGTCGCCATCCCGCAGAGACGTGGGTAGACAAATCGATTCTCCTCGTTGCAGTGTCCTTCCATATTTCCAGCACGTGTACCTAAGTACTCGTACCGACCTCACGTGACTCATGACTCTCCTAAACTTTACAAGACCCTTGCGAATCATAAGACTCGCAGCCCTCGCAAGTCGAGGCTGCGAGGTAAAAAAAAGAAATTAGTCCAACGCATCACATCAGGGTCGAGCCGACGTGGAAAGTTTTGTCAGACGCGAGACATTTATTTTTTTTTCACCCCTTTATATGTAATAGTTCGTTGTAAAATAATAATCTAGGGGGAAACAACGTTATTAACGAATTTTCTCACCTGTCCAGCAGTTCCTGAAAATCAACGAGCTCCGTCAGGTACCGAGCAAGGAAGACGGCAGCCTCCCGTTGGTTGGAGAACCTCTTCGGCTTTGCAACAATACCTGGATTGCTGTTAATTGGCAGAGCGAGAGGTACCGAGAGGTACATGTCGTTCAACCACCAATCGGTTGCCTGGAATCAATGGATATGGATTTCACTTATAAATATTTCAAATTGGAGCCATGGAGCAACGAAGAGAGGAAGACGTGCCTGCAATTTTAGAATTTTTATAATAATCGTTATTTAGTTATTGCCTTTTAATTTGCATACTAACACAATGGGGGATGATATAAGGGGTCCTGAAAATCAATTCCGAGGCCCAACTTGGAGAGGGTTTCCTCGATTCGAGGGAAAATTGGCGCTCGTCGCCTCTTCCGCTGCCTAATCCGAGTTTAATGACGCGACGTAAATCCGCGGCGCGGTTGTTGGAAATTAAAAAATAAATCTCGCCCTGCAGGTCCGCCCGGGCGGGATCGATTGTCTCCTTGGCGGCCGGAATTGCTCGTCTTTTCCAGTCACCCTGTAATTTTCCGACTGTGCCAGGAATACTTGCGACATAGATAATAGCTGCCGCTGTCACGCTGTCATTCGACTGCGAGACACGTAGGACGGTCAAACGTTGTCAGAATTGTTCCGCGAGGCTGATCGATTGTGCAAATTTCTCAGATTCGATTCGAGAAATGTGGCAATTGGATGGCAAATTGCCAAGAAAGGGGCACGTGATGTCCCTGCGTATGCTCCTATTATTTTTATTGACATCTGATAAGAAACGTCAGAATTTCCCTGCGATGAAAACCGACTGTGCAAATTTCTGAAATTCGATTCGAGAGGTGGCAACTTGCCAAGAGAAAGGTGCACATGATGTCACCGTATATGCTCGTATTATGTTTATCCGCACGTGACTAGAAACGTCATAATTATTCCGCAATTAAAATCCATTGTTCACATTTCTGAGATTCGATTCAAGAAATGTAGCAGTTGTCAGGATAACTGCCAAGAAATTGCACGTACCGCTGTAATAGTTGGTATTATTTTTATAGTGACAGTGATTTTCCACAGGGATTTTTTTTTTTCTTTCGTAGCACTATCTCAAATGGTTGTAAATCGTGCATGAAGGTAATTTCTCGGTGGAAATGATGCGTTAACCTCGAAATTCACCCACCGACTAACAGGTGGAAATCGAAATCGGTTCTAGAGCATCGGAGAATATAGAATCGCTGCATGTGGTGTATATATAGATTTCCCCAATGGAGTGCAATATATGTGTACATGTATATAAAGGCAGAGGAGCCTCCATCCTAACTATAGACGGTCTCGACCCACGAGTACTTGGTGTATTTATCGACTTCAGGTACGGTCTCGTGAAAGATTCACGAGGCTCTACGTCCATCACAGTGACCCAGATCGATCACGGCATTTTCCAATCGACTCAGTTTTTTGTCGCACGATATCCATTTTCAGCCGGGATAATTGCGAATATGCATCGCTTAACTAGGTTTAAGTAACGACTTGTATAAAATTCAGACAATGCCTTAGAAAATCGCTTCCGCGATTTTTCTTCACCTCGCAAACGAGCTGTGAGGGGATCGTAAATCGGTCGTAAATCTAATAGAGGCTTCTTGAAAAATTCCTAAGGAAAAACGAAAGGTGCAGAATTCGTTGCGGAAAATTTACGCGCAGGCGGGACGTTTACGCGGCGGAAAATGGCGATTAACGAGCCTGCAAATGACGTTTACGAGTGTAAAGACTTTTGCGGTTAAACGTTCGACGGTCTCCAATCGATTTCGGAACGAGTTTTCGCCCTTGTTAAAAAAAATCGCAGAATCGGCCGATCGAAGTTCTCTGGCCAAGAAAAAACCGATTCTCTCAACTCCGCGTTTAACGACAAATAATAATTACTCCTGCGTCGATGATGGCGCGGTTAATTCCACCGAACGAGCTAGTGCCAGAGGTGAAATAAAACGCTGATTTTCTCGGGCATTGATTGGCTACTTAGCCTGTAATCTCACGCATCGGTTAATTTTAGCCGAGCCTAATGGCTTTGTTTAAGGTTAATCACGTAATATGAGGTGCAGACCTTCAAAGAGATATTTATTAACAGGGGCTCCCCCTCTGAAATCCCCGATTAAACCCGAAACCCGTGAAAATCCGCGATTAGTTAACCGAACCGCACACTTTTTTCTCGAAATAAATGAGAGAAATAGGGTAAATAATATTAAGTCGGCATTAAAATGGCAGGTGATCTGGAAAATGGACGAGACAGGATGTGTATTTACGGGTTGTCAAAATTCTAGCGGGTGAAACGTAAATAACGCGCATTAATCGCATTTAAAGAGGGCGTAAATCGGAGCAGTTTACGTGTCGCCATTACTTTTCCAATCGGGGTGGAGCGGCTCCTTTGACCTTTGGGAAAATTTCCGCAGCTCCACCTGATTCCGCCTGCGGAAATATTGCTCCCTCTCTTCGTGTGCGACGATCGTTACACGCATGCGAAATTTTCGTGTGCCGCGGATTAAATCCTCGAAGGGCGAGTCGAGTTCGCTCAATATTCGCTCGCGCGTGCCGAAATGTCACGAGCGATTTCATGTCCCTAGACGACGCCAGAAATGCGGAAAATTGTGCATGAAATTCCGAGAGGAGTCGTTCCATCCCTTCCAACGTCCTTTAACATGAACACTGAACAAGGCTGCACCGATTCGATGCTCTTGCATGCATCGCGAGCACGTCTTGATAAGGTTGCCGCAATCGCAGATAATACAGTTCTCTCGGCGGGTCTGCGGAATAATTTACGTAATCCGGGGTTTTGCCATCGCGGATCGTTGCCACGCAATTTCTGTAACCCTCGAGTTTCGCGCCTAAAGTAATATCGCAAATTTCTGCCCTGTTACTTTTAATCAGTGAATACTTTTCTGCGAGGCGATCAAGAGATTCCGATATTTATTATTAAATATGGACCGCGGAATATTATCCAGTGAATTAATCACCGGATTTTTATATATCGCGAGGGATGAGTATTCTAGAAATTGAGAAGATTTTATATATATATCTTTTGTTATTAGATAAAAATTGAAAGATGGGCATCTCTTTGGGGTCTTCTCCAGCATCCGGTCGGAACGAGATCAAGTCGTCGATTTTGCGAAACCGTGTCCCTTCTCTCCGTAATTCCTGGCTCGATAATAGGACGACCGGATCGCGTGATCGATGCATTAAGAGAGCCTCGAGTAATGTGGATTGCTCATTGAATTACCTGCAGTGCCCCCCGTCCCACGGACTTTAATAAACCCAGAGATCTGGTCTTCTCGGCGGGCGTTCGCTTTGTCTGCCCCTCGAGACCATCTCTCAAAGTCGGAAAGAGACGGAGCCATCCTCCTTTTACCTCGATTTCGTAATTTTGCACACCTCAGAGGAGAAATAACGCTCACCGCTCGCTCGAATCCGAGCAAAACGAGTGCGTGCACTCTAATCGCTTCTCGCGTGTACTTATCACTTGCGGTTTAATATGCCGATTGCGATAAATCTGGCCTCCGACGCTTTCACCTATTTTCTCGTCTCAAGAAATGCAATTTAATTATTCCGAATTAATTAAACCGTTAACCGTGAATTTGTCGGATTTTTCTTTCGAAGGTTAACGAGCGCAATTTCCCCCGATCTTGCAGCAATATTTACCCGGTGTATGGCGACTGCAAACATTACAGCAATCGTGACAACAAATCCCGCGAAAAGTGCCAATCCTATCTATCATATAGCCTTCGCTTTTCAGCTGGTGGCTTAACATTCATAGACATCACTCGTCGACATGTTTGAGCCGAGGTCTGTTGAATGCTCGCTTAACGAGCGTAGATCTACTATTGCGACAAAATTCATGTACTCTTGCCTGTGAGGTAAGAGATCCCGGCAATAATAATAATGTCTTAATGCGTCCGAGGGTAATTGCAAATTTGCGCGGTACACGTGATAACTCGATCGAGTGCCGGTCGTCGTTACGTGGCGGAATCGACGGATCGAATAGTCCTGCAGGACGATATTAATTACAGGACGGAATGACACGTCGTTAAATGAGGTGGAGGATCGTCGATTAATTTCGACACAGAGACCGCGTCCTGTTAATAAATCCCTTCGAAATATGACCTGATTAATATCGAAATAAATATAAGACGTCGAAAAGGGACGGCTCGATATCGTTCCTCTTGTCTCTCGGAAATTGGAGGATAAATTTGGATGTGTTATTAATTGCAGAGGTGGAGTGACGCAGCCCTGGGAACGAGGTCGAGGGATCCTCCAGGATAATCGAATGGTTTCGGAGGATCCGGTTACCGAGGGATGTGCACTGGCTCGTCTTCGGAACGAGGGATACATGTACGGAACGTAATTCAACGGTAATAATTCTCCATGAAATGGTAACTCCTCGATTCACCTCTCGATCTTAGATTCCCTGAAATCGCAAAACAAGTTCGTTCTGGTTCCGAATATTATCAATAGGTTATTACCCTTTATTATCCCATATCCTCTATCAGGCAACGACGGAACTGAAAATCCCAAAAATTGGTCCCAGTCCCTGGCCTTTTAATTTTTTTACTCGACTCAATGGACCGGATATCAACTGCAGATTGAAATACCAAAAATGAATGCACAGGTTTATACATTTTTTTATTAAGTCTCACAGGTGTCAAATGGCAGTAAATGTTATTAGAAAAATATCCAGGATAATGATCAAGAGTTAATGCTTCCAACTTTTGTCGAGTTTCTTCTAAGTAGGTTATAAATTATACGAGGAAATTACAAAAATGTTTTTCTTTTTCATTTTTTTTTTCCTTCAGTCGGTTCAAGAGCTCTTGGTGTTCGAAGTTTCGGCCGGAGACATCAACCCCATGGACGCGTGTTCCCGGTGTCACGTTACGGAGACTTCAACGGGGGTTGTAGCCCGAGTGGGAGTCAGGGTCGACATAGTTTCGCTTCTCCTGGCGAGCGCGATAAGGCGCAAACGCGGCCTTATCGACCCCGCGACACGCGACGCCCGTCGCCGTTCGTTAGCCCGTCCTTTACGGGGATGTACGTACACGTGGGCACGCCTGCACGTACACGATGGTACATGGGTCGGTACATGCGAGTGATAGTACACTCGCATCCCGTGT